ATCAGATGGCAACTACTGGTGCTGTAAATCTTTAGTGCACTCTAAACCAAAACATAACTTGTTTATTTAAATACTTAAATAAATATGTTTGTCAAAACATTTTAAAATGTCTATCCAATCAGCTTACATATATTGGATAAAAAAAACCTTGAATCTTTGAAGATGCATAAATCATGCCACAGTAATTTTACTGCAAACACGACTTTGTATACTGAAGCTAGGTAGGTATTGCTTAGTGACAGAAGTTAATCTTAACAGCCAAATCCAGATGGAAATGGAGGATCCTTGGCACTGAAGAACATTTGGCTTTGGATCATCAAATTCTTGAGGTTGTTTTTCTTTTTTCTTTTGTTTTGGTTCAAAAGGAGTAAAATGGTGTTGAACAGTATTTTTTCTATACTTCTTGTATCGAGAGTGTCATAATGAAAGAATATCGAATCTCTTATTCTTCCAAGAACCTTCAGGCAATGACCAGAAGAACACCATGCTTGCATGCAGAAAACCTTGCATTCTCTTCGTAAACTTCTTTTAGAAAGAACCTTCCAGTTTCTAGAGCTTTTACTTTGATGTCACTGATATGAAAACATGCTATACTAAATGAAGGCTCTCGATCTGTTTATTTTCGATGTCACTGGCTAAATTCTACTTAATCTCTTATTTTTCTAGTACGTTAATTCTCTTTTTTCCAGCTTTTAGTTAAGCGACACATATTCCGTTTCTTATCCATGTATTTTGGTCGATCCATTACTGCATGCATCTAGGGTTAAGGGTCAGCGACTAAATCTGATTCTAAGAAACTCCCAGAACTCTTTCACACAGCATAAAGTGCATGGATTTGCACGTAAAGGATAATCCTCATCATAAAATATGTTATATATTAAATTATAATCTATCATGCTTTAGAGTGATCTATCTTTTAATTTTCAGGCAAACGTACAAAGATGATGGCTGGAAATGGACAGTTATCAGTTCCACCAGGTTTCCGTTTCCATCCAACAGATGAGGAACTGCTGTACTATTATCTGAGGAAGAAAGTCTCCTATGAAGCCATCGACCTGGATGTTATTAGGGAGGTGGATCTCAACAAACTCGAGCCTTGGGACCTCAAAGGTCAATTCACTTTCTTTTTATTTCTCTTATACAGTGCTAACTACCTACGTATATACTTGACTTAGTAATTTTGTCTCCTAGACCCTACTTTTGATTCAATTCAAACAGCACGTTCAGGGTTGATGGATGTTTTCTTAATAAGTTGCACGAAGTCGTACAAATGAAACCTATTTAGGAGTCATGTTATGAAGTATGAACCTTAGAAGGAAAAAAAAAAAAAAAAACCTTTGATTTAGCATCTTCGGTCCACATAAACCTTGAAGATCAGCTCCGTTCAGTAGATCCCATGAACGGGATATATATTTATGTTTTTCTATGCAACGACATCTTTGCGGGACCGGAGTTAATAATTCTCGTTCTTTGCATAACTGATAACTATAATTCTCGTTCTTTACATAATTGATAACTATCTACAAGATTGTCCCCATTTTTGATTGAAAAGGAAAATTTCACAGATTAATTAACTGGACAAATTTCATCGAATAACATTGGTTTCTGAATCCGATTACATAGTTTTCTTTTCCTACAGAGAAATGTAGAATTGGATCCGGTCCTCAAAACGAATGGTATTTCTTCAGCCACAAGGACAAGAAATACCCAACTGGAACTCGAACAAATAGGGCAACTACAGCTGGCTTTTGGAAAGCAACGGGAAGGGACAAGGCCATCCACCTCAGCAACTCTAAGAGGATTGGTATGAGAAAAACCCTAGTTTTCTACACGGGACGTGCCCCTCATGGCCAAAAGACTGATTGGATCATGCACGAGTACCGGTTGGATGATGACAATTCTGAGGTTCAGGTAGGAATATATACGATCAGATTTACATAGTTCAATTATTAGACATGCATTTCCCTCTCTGATTCGTGCCTACAAACATATATAAATATCTACTTTTTTGCACTTTAAAAATTCAATTATGAATATTTTCTTAATTACTCTACTTTATGTAGCAGGAAGATGGGTGGGTGGTGTGCAGGGTGTTTAAGAAGAAGAATCACAATAGATGTTTCCAAGCAGAAGGTGGACAAGAAGAACATTTCACTTATAATATGAAAGCTAGTGGTTCTTCAGCTCCTCCGGAACCGAAACAAAATCATCTGCAAGCAGTATATGACTATACATTTGATGGTTCCATGCATCTTCCACAGTTGTTTAGCCCGGAATCAGCTGTTGCCCCATCCTTTGTTTCACCCATCTCTTTGAACACCATGGACCTTGAGTGCTCCCAAAACTTGTTAAGGCTAACATCAACCACTTCTGGAATCATGCAACAAGAGAGGTTCAATGGTGACTGGTCATTTTTAGACAAACTTCTTGTTTCTCATCAGACCATGGATCAAAATAAGTGCAACCCTTCATCTCATCAAGTTGTTGACGTGGGTACTTCAACTCATCAGAAATTCCCATTTCATTACCTTGGCTGTGAGAACGACATTTTAAAATTTTCCAAGTAGAGTCACAAGTATTTCATGATCAATATGGAATTTTATCATATATATTAAGCTGTGGAATACACAATTTTACTCAAACTAGTGGCGCAGTTGTATTAACTAATTCCTTCTTTGAAATTCTATCCTCTGACTAATTTCTGAGTTTTGCTTTTTTAGAGTATCGAAATGTATATACATAAATAATAATTCCAATGCCTCATGGAGAATGCTAGTTTAAACAGTCCTCTTTTTCCTTGGAAAAGAAAAAAAAAAAAAAATGGTTAACTGTTCGGTCCTTCTTTAGAGCCATCCTTACATGAACAAACACAAGCAAATACACATATATAATCTGATGGAGAGCGGCTAGGTCCACCGTCAGTTTTTCTTGGTGACCTTCTCATTATATATATCATTACTTCTCTGGTCAATATCGTACAATATATTTATATTAGAGCCATACATATTTATCGTTGGATCTTTATATATAAAATATTATTTCACTCCAATAAATGGATTCAATGATATTTAAATATGATTCTGATATAATTATATTAAGATGGTCTTTATTAGAGAATTTATGATATATATGAGTAAAATTTCTCTATAGTTATAATAGTAAGATCGAACTAATTTATTATTATAAGAAGGTTATAAATTAATATAAATATAGTTATAAAAATTGCGATTTGATTTCTTATTTTATAATTTAATATATTAAAATTTCTTATTTCTTTTTAAAATTACTTGATTTCTTATTTTATAATTCATGTTTTCGATAAATATTTTGTTTCATCTTAAACCTTTAATGTAATATAACATATATTTTTTTGTAATATACAAATAATTATTACTATATATAGATAACTTTCTTAAGACGGAAATTAAAAAAAATTATAACTTATTACAATGTGGAGTTTTATTTTATCTCAAACTTTTAATGTAATATAGTATATACTTTTTGTAATATACAAATAATTATTACTATGTGGAAGTAACTTTCTTAAAACCGAAATTAGAAAAAATTATAACTTATTACGATATGAAGTTATTCCTACATAGAATATCAATATAGAGATGTTTTATTCATAATCATCTTAAGTTGGGACTAAAATTTTTTATAACTACTGTTATGCCTAGGAAATCAAGGGCTGATGTAGGAAATCACGTGGTGGAGGGGTGACCTACTCCCGTCAGTACGGTAATCACACTTCAGGCCTGCCAAGAGCTACGGAGCTCCCACGTGTCCATCTCTCTGCTCCAAATCGCGTGAAATTAGTTTGGAAGGTGGGAAACGTGACATAAAGCCGGATTTAATCCTGACATTCACACCAACCCATGAATTTAATGATGATTACTTGCACTCACCTTACTATAAAAAGAGGAAGACCCCTTCATTAAGGGGATTCGGCTATTTTACACTCTGAATTATCCCTCTCTCTCTCTGATAACTTCGTATTTACTTTTCACCAATCATTTATAAGTTAGTCCGCTTTTGCGACCTGACCCACTATATTAATACAAATCAGTGGATGTAGGACTTACTACCTTAGCATCCGAACCACTTTAAAAGGCTCTCATTGTATTTACTTTACATTCTACCCATAATCACATGTGTTTCTTGACCAATCAACGTTATGTATGTTTTAATTAGTTAGTGTCAAAAATCACGCATCAACAACTACATAGAGATTATTTATTAGAATATCAATATAGAGATGTTTTACTATATATCATTTCCTTCGGTAAAGTTATTGAAATATAATAATAGACAATACAAAATCCTGTGTTGTGTTGCTACCAAATTATGAGCTTAATTTAGTAAGTTCAGTTTGGTCTTCTGTCTCAAATAAAATTCACACAAGGCATTCGATGATTTATATAGATTTTTGCGAAAAGCTCTCCTAGAATTTCTAACATTATTTGGCGTCCTCAGCTCAACCTTGTATACAAAAGAACTCAGACAGAATATCGGCATAGCACTTGGATGTTGGGGTTATTGTCGAAAGAGTAATGTTAAATTCACAACTCAATCTCATAATTTTCTCTCAGAACCTTCGACATAACATTTCATAATTGATTAGTTTACAAATAATTCTCACTTGTTTGGTATGAGTTTTACTTGTCTATTTACGAACTGACCAATTATAAAGTACCAATTCAAAAATTATTAGAGAAAATTATAAAATTAGATTATAAACCTAGTATTAATGATTGTGGAAATTCTATTGGCTTTTTCCTTTTTCATTTTTATAATGGTGAACTATCTCCAGTTACAATGGCTGTGCTCGTATGTTTTTCTGACCATATTTTCATGCCTCCCCGGGATCTTCAGTCTCCACATCAGATGGCAGCTTCTGGTGCTGTAAATCTTTAGTGCACTCTAAACCAAAACAGAACTTGTTTATTTAAATACTTAAATAAATATGTTTGACAAAACATTTTAAAATGTCAATCCAATCAGCTTACATATATTGGATAAAAAAAACCTTGAATCTTTGAAGATGCATAAATCATGCCACAGTAATTTTACTGCAAACACGACTTTGTATACTGAAGCTAGGTAGGTATTGCTTAGTGACAGTAGTTAATATGTTCCCTTCAAGTCTTAACAGCCAAATCCAGATGGAAATGGAGGATCCTTGGCACTGAAGAACATAGCCGTCGTTTAAAGACTCAAAATCCAGCTTCAACCTGAAAACATCTACCCATACTCAACTACTGTACAGACATAACCGAAGCCCACAAAAAGCCCCTCGAAAACTGATACCATAACCAGAAGAGCACGGCCACAATCACTGAACTGAGTTATGCACACCATTACCATTGCTATACACACCATTTAATGATCCGTTCGACAACTTAATACCATTTCCATTTTGATGGACTTTCCCCTTTGGTTTTCCGTTACTCAATCCATTAGTCAATACCTGGCTTGCATGGCCATACTTTAGGACTGTATCCAACTGCCCACATGCTGCTGCTATAAGTCCTGCAACATAACAGATTAGATGCTGAAATTTCAGCCAAACGGTCTAGGATTGATCTTCAATGAAAGACTAACAAAAGACTAAATAAGTTGATTATGTAGATATTAAAAAATTAACTACCTAAGAATACTGCCGATGGTTTTCCTGGCCTGGACTTGAATTCAGGATGGAACTGAACACCAACAAAGTATGGATGATTAGGCAGCTCAATGATCTGTACACAATATACCAAAAAGTTGTTGGTTACTAGGATAAAACAATAGAAGTTTTTGCACTTGCTTCAAGCTCCTAAATATAGATTCCTTGAAATACAAATGACTTAGCTGCCTACTTTCAGAAAGACTTACTTCCATGCGCTGTCCACTTTCATCTCTGCCAACAAATGATAGACCAGCACTTTCAAGTTGTGACACCATGTCAGGATTGACCTATAAAACAGAATTTTTTATTTCAGAAACCTCAATGTTTTAAGAGCAAAATGCAATGCACTTCTCCTGTATTTCTCTGTGCATGCATTGTCTTCCAATGGGCCAAGCATTACCTCATATCTATGTCGATGCCGCTCATCAACAAATCTTGCATTGCCATACCTGCACAAAATTCCAAATCATCGAAAATCAATCAACCAGAATGTGAAATATCCAATGTTTGGAAGTACATAAGTGCAAGTCATAGTCCTTACAACTTTGCAGAATTGCAGTCAGTAACCTTAAAATATGTCCTCCTTGATCCCCGACGCATAGTTCCTCCCATATGAGTTTTTGAACCCTATACAGGACACAGTTAAAACAATGAAAACAGACTAAGGTGAATAGAAACCTGGTTAAAAACATGTAGGATTATATACCTCCGGCATAAATATAACACAAGGATTTGAAGTTTTAGTATCAAACTCTGTGCTGTTTGCATTGCGCAAACCAAGGACAGAACGAGCAAACTCAATAACAGCAATTTGCATCCCCAGGCAAATGCCCAAGAATGGCACCTTGTTCTCACGAGCATACTTTGCAGCAAGAATTTTCCCTTGGACTCCTCTATCACCAAACCCTCCAGGAACCAGCACACCATCAGCACTCTGCATTAAAAGAAGTTCAGAAGAACAATGAAGAAAACAATTGAATAAACCATATATAATGAATAAAGTATCAACTCAAAAGACTAATTTGAACCAATCAACCCATAAAGCATATTCACCTTCAACAGATTCCAAGCAGCTTTATAAACATCAGGTGCCTGCAAGAGGATACAAATCAACGCATATATTTAGGTAGCAGTATGGCTATCTAAAATCACATAAAGCATAGAAAATAACAATGGATACTTACCTCTTCGGCAGTAGCATCTTCTAGGTCAGCAGCTGCAATCCATTCTACAATAAGCTTCCGACGGCAAGCAACAGAAGCATGCAATAGAGCCTATAACAACTTAAAACATCAGAATCTGATTATAACATAAACTTGAAAGTCCATACATAATACACATGATTCAATGTTCAGGAACATATACAAAGAACATATGATACTAAACTTAAGAATTGCATTAAGGAGGACGGTAATTCCAATAGAATAAATTATCATGCATAGACACGGAGGGTGCAATAAGGGACAAAAGAGACTAGATCAAAAATTTTGGTGTGAGAAGTCTAAGGCTTGCAAAAATAGTACAGAAATGGATATCAAAGAGTAATTGTAAAATTGAGTGATCGGATTCAACTTCACTACACTAATCAAATGGATATTAATGTCTTCCTCAATCATCCAAATGAACAACAAATCGAGTATGCTTTAACTGAGAAAGAAATATTTACTAAAATTAAATAGGAAGAGGAAATAGATAATCTTGAGGATGATAGTACGAAAATACCAAAAATTTCATGTCAAGAAGCTCTAAACATGCTTGAGAAGCTAGAAATATTTTGGCTTTAATAAGAAGGTGTTCATATTGGCAACTTATTACGTACCCACAAAATAAAAGATACCTTTAATGTCACATAACATATATTTTTTGCAATATATATAATTATTACTATGTAGAGGCAAGTTCCTTAAGACGAGACCTAAAAAAATTATAACTTATTACAATGTGAAATTTATTCTTATTTATAACTAACCCAAGTTGGAACTAGAATTTTTTATGACTAAATGAAGGTTATTCCTATACAGAGTATCACTATAAAGAAGTTCTACTATATATATGTTCACCAAGTTCTTAACAGGACTGTTTCTAGACAGAGCATTCACCTTCAAAACAGACAGGTAAGCATCTGAAAGGCCAGTGTACTTCCCAACCATCGCAATTTTAACCTGTAACATATGTAACAGTTAAGAACATGCTACCTAGGATTATGCAGACATAAAACATATATATCAATTTTACTGGAGGCTTGACACCCACAGGATCATGCAACATATCACAAACTCTAGTCCTGGAAGTCCATTCATCCAAATCAGGCTTTCTGGCCACGCTGCAGACAACAAAAGCTTTAATATGCTAGTAAAAGAAGTAAGGCTAGATGCTGCAGCATCAACAATGTTAAACTGCCAATACCTAAGAGAGGCTAAAGAGGAAGAAATCATACAGAAGATGTAGTTTGAAGGAAATTATACAACAAAGAAGAAGTTAGTTTGTATTACAAACCCTAGAAGGTTCAATCCCTTCAAGATAGCTTCATGTGCCTTTTGATCCTATTATTCATCAGGGAAGAAAGAAACCCACAAAACAATCAAAAGTTAGATACTATTGCTTCTTAGAGGTACATAGCCAAAAATAGCTTAAGATGTAATATTAACAAACTTACTCTAAGTAATAATGGTACATGCCAGATGTTTGGAACATCATATAAAGTAACAATGTTTTCCGCCTGCGAATAATAAATCTTGGTTTGAAGAAGTAACTGATAAATATAAAAAGAAAAAAACATAAATAAAACAGCATAGATGTTAAATACCGCCACATGGCAAAATTGAGAAAGTTTTGCCTTAACATTCTCTTCAAGTGCCTGTCCAAGACAAATTAGAAATTCAGAAAACATGAGACTACCTCTGAAATATGCAGTTAAAAAAAATGTTTAGGTATCAGAAAGGAAGAGGGACAGACCTTTGTACTGCGACAAGCTAGAAGATCTGGTGTCAACCCAAGTCCTCTAAGTAACTTGACACTATGCTGGGTAGGCTTTGTCTTCTATAATTGGAAAATACAAGCGAAGAATAAGCGGNAAATTCAGAAAACATGAGACTACCTCTGAAATATGCAGTTAAAAAAAATGTCTAGGTATCAGAAAGGAAAAGGGACAGACCTTTGTACTGCGACAAGCTAGAAGATTTGGTGTCAACCCAAGTCCTCTAAGTAACTTGACACTATGCTGGGTAGGCTTTGTCTTCTATAATTGGAAAATACAAAAGAAGAATAAGCGAGCAAAATGAATGATTGAGAAATAAGTTGGTAAGATGCATACGGAATGCTTCAATCAGTTTCACATCTATGAAATATAAATCTAGCATGTAAATTTTATGCTGAATACACAGTACAGAAATTGTCTAGACATACTTGTTCACCAACAACATTGAGAACAGGGACAAGGCTGACATGAATCAAGCAGAAATTGCCAGGACCTACAACAAACAACAGTTGGATCAGATAATCTTGTACTTAAAAGAGATATCTGAAAACAAATTGATTTGCATGAACCTGCGAAGTAGCAATGTGGAAGATTTCAAGCTTACCTACACGGTATGAGAACTGGCCAAGTGCCTCTATAAATGGCATGGACTCAATGTCCCCTGCATCAACACAAACTGTTTTTAAAGCAATACAAAAACAGGCATACAATTTATCGTGGCAAATATTATCATTGATACAAATGTACCTATGGTTCCACCCAATTCAATGACACAAACATCAGCAGGGCCTTCTTTTCCATCTACTGGAATCATTGCTACACGCTCTATCCATTCTTGAATCGCATCTGTAATGTGAGGAACTACCTAGAAAACATAAGATAGGCAGAAACAAAATTCATACTCAGTTAAAAATTCTAATCAGTCATGCTCACAACACAAATATCAAACCCAAACTGCTGAAACAGACCTGGACAGTTTTTCCCAAATAATCTCCCTTTCTCTCCTTGTCAATAACAGACTGTCAAATTCATTACAAAAGATTAAAATTAAAGATTAAAACAAAAGAAACATCAGCTGTATAACCAATAAAAATAACAATCTACCTGATATATTTTTCCCGTAGTTATATTATTGTCACGGGTTAACTTGATATCTAGAAACCGCTCATAATTACCAAGGTCCAGGTCCACCTTCATAAGAATATAAACATTAATTAAAAAAAAAAAAAAAAGTTAGATGGAAATGAAATAGCATAGAAGATAACTACGTAATAGAAAATCACCTCGCCACCATCATCTAATACGAAAACCTCCCCGTGCTCAAAAGGGGACATTGTCCCTGCATCCATGTTCAGATAAGGATCTGCACCATTACCGACACAATTAAAACCACATAGTCCAAACAGGAAATTCCATTGAACTAAAATAAGTTTGTAGAATAAAAGATAAAGAAAAGTAAAGTAAGATACCAATTTTGATAGACGTAACGCGAAGACCACATTCTTTAAGAAGAAGACCGATGCTACTGGCAGTAACGCCTTTGCCAAGTCCGCTAACAACACCACCAGTTACTAAAACGTACTTCATTATCAATATTATTAGTATTGTGAGTTGAGTTGGGGAAGTGAGTGTAAGTGCCTGCAGTTGTGAGTTGAGAAAATTATAAATAGAGAAGTGGGATGATGAAAACAAAGAAATAATAAAAACAGAAACAAAAGAAGAGTATTTGTAGACATAGATATTATAGAAAAATCGTTTTAAACGGAGAAAAAAACCTTGTTCACAATGACGGTCCTTACAAAGTTTAATTCCCCTCTGCTTCTTCTCCCTTCTTTACGTATATTTGAGTTGGTGGTTTTTCTTAGTCTAAGAACAAAGAAGATACAAAGATAGATTTTTTTCTTTCTTTCTTTCAATCAAATACCTCTAAAAAGAAAAGAATAGAATGTGAACCAAAAACAAAAAAGCAAAGTGAATGAGAGAAAATAAAGATGGTACTAAAATTCCACACACCTAAAGCTAAAGCCTCCTTCTTTCTTTTTCTTCCAGGGGCGGCGGTTGTATCTGTTTTGGAGAGGACGCTATGTCACTTTTTATTTATGCTCCTATATATTTTCAATAATACCCCAAAAGTACATATTAATTATATTAAACATAAAAAAGAAAATTAGGGTTTTTATGGGATTCTCTTAATCTCACAAGAGAGAGAGAGAATCTTTTTGGGTTTCATTGGTAGTTCCCATAAAAGGTTAAAAGCTTTGAAGAATAACAAAATGGTCATTCATTCACACCAGACAAAATTTGATTTTTCAATAAGAAATAAAATGAAAGCAACACATGGCATTGAAATGTAGGATACCATGACCATGTCTATCCATAAAATAAGGCACCAAGTCATATTATATGATATTGCCTAATACTCAGTCTTTATTTTTTTAAATTATCCCTTACTTAGGTTACATCTCAACACTTTTTACTTATTTTCAACTTTATCTTTGCCTCGTGTTTTCATACTTAAAACACTTTACATGATGTCATCGTCTCTTCTTATCTAACCCTATGCCAGTCAAACCATTTCATTTTCTGGCCTTCTAGTTCTATGTCCTATTATTGTTGGGCTTCAAATCATGCCCATTCCATCTGGGTTTCTTTATATAATATACATTCCTTCCGTTTTGTTTGATAGGATTTGTGACTCTTCTTGCAATTCATTGTATGTTAGTGGTGTCTGTCACTTTATTTTGCAAGTGTCATAATATCTAAAGGAAATTACGAAACGTATAAAGAAAATGTGAAGATGGTTTGCAAAGACTCACAAAATTTTATAAGAATCTATAAACAGATGGGTAATATGGAGAATCTAATCGAGTTGTGACAATTGCCATTTTGAATGTATAATCTTCCTATCAAGGTTACAAAGCATCTTCCTCCATTCGAGCAGCATGAAAAGGGCAGACTACAAACAGCATGATTGATTGATTTATAAAGGCGGTTGGTTACCACTTTATCTTTGACTGATTATACATGGAGTCCGGACTGATGGATTCAATATGCCAATTACCTTGGCTACTGTTGGGATCCATGGTGGATATGTGTAGTACCTTCTTGTGAAAATCATATAAGCTTCGTCTATGCCCAACGCTTATATATGTTATGCCTGCGGCTTCAATCTGCTGGTACAAATGAGTCTGCAGGAACACAATGAAAAACTATGACACTTTTTGGTTTCATGCAGGCGAGATTAACAAGTCAATAATGATCATTGTTTCTAATTAAATTGCACAAATAATTCTTGAAAATACCTCGTTGGCTTCATCTAGAGCACTGGTAGATTCATCCAATAGAACCAGCTTCGGTTTTGAGAGCAATAGACGTGCAAAAGCAAGGCGCTGCTGCTCACCAAGGGAGAGTACACTGGACCACTCATATGTTGAATCCAGACTCTTGAAACGAGGCATGATGTAGCCAAGGCGGACATTCTCTAGAGCCTGTATGAGATCATCTGTTGTGGGCTTGCTTGACTTTCCACTTATATTTTTTGAGGTTTGCGCCCACGTCAAGAATGGCACTGCACAGAAAATTAATACCCAGTAAAGCCTTCACATTATGATTGATGAATTACACACACTAAATGCAGAAATTGCTAGAATGAAATTAAGAATTTCCTACACAGGCAAAGATATGTTGCCAATGACATCTAAGTAATACAATGCCTAGATTACCAAAGAGTATGTTACAAGAAAACATTCCACATAGTAATGCTGCCATGTTCTCTTTGGATAGTAATGCTGCCATGTTCTCTTTGGATAGTTAACATTAGAGTCAACAACTTCAAGAAAAATGTTTAGAAGGCTTATATCCACAGTTCTGGATCAAAAACTAGCCTTTTTCTTGCCGAGGCTAACTTAGGCCATTTCCTTTAAAAATTTCATCTTCCAATGAGTCCTGGACTGGCACAAACATTTCTATTTAGCCCTTCTTATCCAGTGGAAGATCTCAAATGCCAAAAAAAAAAAAAGACAGAAAGTTGGATTCACATTCAGGAATTCCAATGATGGCATACATAAAGCTTAGTCTGGGAAGGAAATCCATTTGTGATGCGATATTTTGGAAAATAATGTGTAGATAATATCTACTAGATATCAATGTGTAAATAATGGAAAAAGAAGGAATGCTATTTGGTTGATATCTACTAGATATCAACCAAATAGCATTCCTTCTTTTATTTATAAAATATTAGATAAATACATATCTAACGAAGGATGATCTGCAATGTTGGGCTTTGCACTTGTACTAATATTTTTCCATGCCAGATCCTACACAATAAAGACTCCAAGCCCCCTTCAGTTCAAGACTCTGCCCCAACATTGTCCAAAGCAGGCTCCACGGTACTTTATGAAAAATAGTTCCTTAAATTCTTAAACCATATAATTTAACAATCTAAATACTTAGAATTCATATCATGTCTCCTAATTCCAGGAGAAGATCAAGAAAATTGACCACAGATGAAGAGAACCGCATAGCCGTAAAATCTTTATGTTCTAAGAAGTTCTGCCCGGTCATTCGGTGACAGTTAAACTGGTATGCATTAATAAGGGCTTTTAATTTAAATGCGCATACCAGCTGGTTTATTAGCATCTGATGTAGATATCATTTCTTCAGCCCATATCGGATAGAGCAATTGTTGACGAAGAGTTCCTAAAACCATATATGGTCTCTGAGGAAGAAAAAAAATCCCTCTTGAATTTCTGTTTATGGATCTTTTAAGTTCCCCAATCATATTTTGAGATTTCATTTCAGGAGAAGCAGCATCTGAAGAAGTGGATGCCTCAGGAGCTTCTCCATCTTTTACATAGAATGTAATTTTTCCTTTTCCATTACTCCAAAGACCAGCCATGGCCCTCAACAAAGAAGTTTTACCGCTACCACTTGGTCCTGTTACCTGTGAAGACATTTATACATAGAACATTTTCAGCACCAAAAGGCTTACTATCCTATCATGTAAATTCAAAGAAACCAAGACTAAATGAAATGATTCACTAACCAGCAAATGCTCTTTTTCATTGATCAGCAATGATAGGTCCCTAACCAGTGTGGCTTTACTTGTCGGTGTCTGCAAAGTCAGATTCTCTACATCCAGTAATTTCTGAGACATTTCTCTGGGAACAGATCCATTAGACTCAGAAAGGGGAGAACTTTTGACATTGCAGTATGTAAGACAGATTTCTTCTAAGGGCTCAGAGAGACTTTTAGAGCTGTCACTATCAAGAACATCATCAAATTCACCTGCATTTGTGGCAAGTGCCAGAATTGTAATCATTTGGTGAACAGCAGTTCAAAGTCGCAGAAATCAACCCACCAAAAAATCCCTTCCCAGTTTTCTTTATGTCAAGCATGAGGATTATATGGCAGAAAGACAAAAAAGAAATGAGACAAAAATTTATGAAGGAAAAGAAGAAAGAGAGCTTTTTTAAATTTTGGGTTAAATAAAATGGCAGTCAACTCTTGCTAGAACTGTAAAAACCAATCAGATAATAACAAACTATGAAAAACCAGATCTTTTCATCACTCTAAAATGGAATTGCATGGTTAGACAGACATAAATATGTATATGGCAATAGAGATAACCTTACCACATTTGACAAATGACTCATTATCTTCATAAAATTTTGTTTTATCAGAGAATGCAAATGCCTCATTGAATAAGCATACAAGAGATAAAAGTTTAGTACCTAGACGGTCAATGACTGCTGAGAAAGCACTGATAGACTGAAACTGGAACACAATAAGGGAGAAATCTCCAAGTATATGATTAAAGGCAGATACCGACTGGTTAATGACACCAAACTCAATTTTTCCAGAGAAGTACATAGGAGCGACAACTGCAGCAGGAAGAATCTGAATGAGGTACCGGTATCCATTGGTGAAGAACTCTAGATTTCTAGAAGATATTAACAATTGCTGGTAAAAAAAAAAAATTAAAAGATAATACCAGACAGAAGATCAATTGTAATTACAAATGCAAGATAAGAACAAACCATAATCATGAAAAAACCCCAAAAATGTCCACCAACAATATTTTGTACATGCAAAAGCAATAAAGTTGTTGATCGCAGAATCTAGCTATATTTGATCATGAATGAGCAGCATTTTGCAAGGAATATATTTAAAAGAAGTATTTCAATAACATAGCTTAGTTTCCATCATTCAGGGTTGAACCACTAATCCAAGTACTTGTTAATTCAAGTCTGGGGCAGTTCATCAGGAGAGATATACACTTTTTGCACAGGAAGGTAGAAGGTTTTCTAAAGCGAGGGGATATCTCAAATGGGGGGTCTAGTTATCTGAGCCTGATTTATAAGGAAACTGCCATCCTTATATTTCAGCAGTTGTCTGTGGCACAGGACCGAGATGAATGAAGTTAAGATATTGTACTTTGCTACAATTCCAAGCAAATTGCAGCAACGCATTCTGTGTCTAACATAGGTTTCTAACTCTCATTAAAACATAATTTTATGTAAATTTTTACATCAATATGAAAATAATGAGTTGACGGAATCAACGAATGGGAGAAGAATAAATTTTTGATACAAAAGCAAAATTGACACAAACAAGCGAAGGGAACTGAAGAATCAAAAGAACAGGAAATGAAAAGTATCCGTACAGTTAAATTTTCAAATGCACTTTTGAAGCGCTGCAGTAAAAGCTGCATTTCATTCTCTTCTCCACCATAGAATGCAATCGATTCAGCATTTTCTCGAACCCGTACAAGTCCATAACGAAAATCTGCCTCCTTTTTCTCTTGCAAGAAGTTCAGGTTCACTAATCCCTAAAATTGCAAAAGAACAGTTCACATTTCAACTAATTAGAACCAAGTTTTATTAAATTAAGAATCTTACTTCTCAGGGTAACAGAAAAGCAATTTACCTTCCCAAGGAAAACACTTATAGCTGTTCCGCCAATTGAGTAAACCAGAAGAACAACAAATAGTGGAGGATAGATACCATACAAGATGTTACTGAATGATATTAAATCGACTGCAGCATTAAAAAGTGTCAAAGAGAATGAAAGGGATGTCCCTGTGAATGAACTTAAATCATCAACAATCCGCTGATCTGGATTGTCAATTATAGATTGGGATTGAATTCTGTAAAATGTCTGATCCGTGAGATACCGGTCAATGTAATATTTTGTCATCCAAGACCTCCATCTCAAAGCAAGAGTTTCTCTTGCATAATCCCTCAATACGAAAAACTGTAAAACAACAAGGACTTTTATAAGAAGTGCCAGCAACAATCCATGAAGGTACTAATGCTTAGGAGACAAGCCCAAATAAGTAAAATTTTAGTGGATTTTTTTAACCAAAACATATCAAAACTGTCATATCTATATGTAATTCCTATTCACAAAATTGAAAAGTTAATTAATTTATCTTGTTCTGGTGATATAAAGAAAGAGAAAACTAGGAGGGAGAATACCTAAGAAAAGTGGAGCTAATGTGCTCACCGGAATTCCACCAGCAAAACCACCCAGGTAGTACAGCAGTTGCTTGGTGAACTGTTCTTGGTCCTTGTCTTTACATCATACAAAACCAAACGAAAACAAATATTAGATATCATGTACTATACTAAACATTCATTTTTCTTCATATAAAATACAAAAAGGGCTTACTGGCGAGCGCATTGTAGAAATCACGGCCAAGGAAATTGAATCCGACGCTGATGCCAGTGGTCGCAAGAGTGAGAGCAAAGACAGAAGCAAGTTGCAATCTGGCTTGTACTTTGTCATCTGAGTACCAATATGGAGCTGCCACTTTCCATAGTCTTCTGAACAGCGTTTTAATTTCAGGGGTCTTTCTATTTTTATCATCATCTTGATCAGGTTCTAGTAAGGAAGACTGAGTGGCAGCTGAACAACGTTTGAATTTGTTACTCAGACTTGGATCCCGACCATTCTTGAAAAAGTTTCTTCTTCTTTTAAGAGAAGAAGTGGAAGACATGGGAGCTAATTGTTGAGACGGAGATCTATGTTTGGTTAAGAGACACATTTGACCATGAACACCAACATGGTATTGGTAGTTGGGCTTGTATTTGTAAGTGCAAATACACAGGCTATTAATGGCATGTGGCTGTGTATGTGTATGTGTATGTATCATCATCTTTCTATAACCATAGAAACAACTGTTTCTCAAATCTTATATATTTCTGTGTAATTCAGCCGCTCTACCGCAACCGCCACCGCTACCGCTATTTTTTCGATTGTTGCAACTTGAGACAACTTCAGATTGCAAATGTATTATCGGTAAGGCAGTTTCGGCCATCCAATTTATGCCACGGCAACGTTGCAGTTTTTCTTTCAATACCAGCCTCATAATTTCATTTAAATAAGAAAAAGCAAAATCTCTTACTAGTGTCAGGGCCCACTTCCAGTATTATGATATACAAACAATTTAGTGCAGTCGGATAAGACTTTTCAATAAAAAGTATACAGTATATACGCCTACTCAGTACTCATGTTTTAGATTGTGATGAGGGATACATAAATATAATATTTTGATCGTTTTATGAATTTTAAATTAAACAAATTTTATAATGTACTAAAAATGATCCATATTATATTTGAATATCAATCATTACTTTTTTATGTAAAAAATAATTTTGTTTTTAACTTTTCTACATATCTTATTCATTTCTAACAACTTATGAATAAGATAATAAGGGTATTTATGGTGAACTAAATTGTTCATATACCACAATAAATGCAACATATTTGGGGCCTTATATTTTTATTTGTACAAGAAAGTTGAGGGGTCAACAAAAAATACCGATATAAGTTTCTTCAAGTCCCAACAATACTTGTTCTTTGGATTTATACATGTAATTGTGGCGGAAAATTGTACAAGTTTTAGATAGGCTTCGTTATTCTTATTGATAAATTAACTACCATTCAAAAACGTACGCAAGCAAAAAATTACACTAAAACTTTTACACTAGATTATCCAAAACCCGCGTTACATTCACATGTGAGCACTGAGTCAGCTTTTGTGGAGAAAGTAAGTCTACAAATACAGTTAGAGAAAACATGGCCGTTAGAGCACCTCACTCACTCCCACTCCTTGTTCAGGACCTCACCGCTCAGCTTGACTAGTTTCAGCCTCATTTTCATCCCCCCTCACTTCCCCACTTGATGTTCCTTGCGATGCTGCCATGGCCATCACCTCTCCAGGTGGTGGGTGGTCAAACTTACATGTTGCACCATACTTGCAAGTTCCAGTCTTCATATAATATGGACAATGAACAGCACAAGGGTTAAATAAAATGGCAGTCAACTCTTGCTAGAACTGTAAAAACCAATCAGATAATAACAAACTATGAAAAACCAGATCTTTTCATCACTCTAAAATGGAATTGCATGGTTAGACAGACATAACTATGTATATGGCAATAGAGATAACCTTACCACATTTGACAAATGACTCATTATCTTTATAAAATTTTGTTTTATCAGAGAATGCAAAAGCCTCATTGAATAAGCATACAAGAGATAAAAGTTTAGTACCTAGACGGTCAATGACTGCTGAGAAAGCACTGATAGACTGAAACTGGAACACAATAAGGGAGAAATCTCCAAGTATATGATTAAAGGCAGATACCGACTGGTTAATGACACCAAACTCAATTTTTCCAGAGAAGTACATAGGAGCGACAACTGCAGCAGGAAGAATCTGAATGAGGTACCGGTATCCATTGGTGAAGAACTCTAGATTTCTAGAAGATATTAACAATTGCTGGTAAAAAAAAAAAATTAAAAGATAATACCAGACAGAAGATCAATTGTAATTACAAATGCAAGATAAGAACAAACCATAATCATGAAAAAACCCCAAAAATGTCCACCAACAATATTTTGTACATGCAAAAGCAATAAAGTTGTTGATCGCAGAATCTAGCTATATTTGATCATGAATGAGCAGCATTTTGCAAGGAATATATTTAAAAGAAGTATTTCAATAACATAGCTTAGTTTCCATCATTCAGGGTTGAACCACTAATCCAAGTACTTGTTAATTCAAGTCTGGGGCAGTTCATCAGGAGAGATATACACTTTTTGCACAGGAAGGTAGAAGGTTTTCTAAAGCGAGGGGATATCTCAAATGGGGGGTCTAGTTATCTGAGCCTGATTTATAAGGAAACTGCCATCCTTATATTTCAGCAGTTGTCTGTGGCACAGGACCGAGATGAATGAAGTTAAGATATTGTACTTTGCTACAATTCCAAGCAAATTGCAGCAACGCATTCTGTGTCTAACATAGGTTTCTAACTCTCATTAAAACATAATTTTATGTAAATTTTTACATCAATATGAAAATAATGAGTTGACGGAATCAACGAATGGGAGAAGAATAAATTTTTGATACAAAAGCAAAATTGACACAAACAAGCGAAGGGAACTGAAGAATCAAAAGAACAGGAAATGAAAAGTATCCGTACAGTTAAATTTTCAAATGCACTTTTGAAGCGCTGCAGTAAAAGCTGCATTTCATTCTCTTCTCCACCATAGAATGCAATCGATTCAGCATTTTCTCGAACCCGTACAAGTCCATAACGAAAATCTGCCTCCTTTTTCTCTTGCAAGAAGTTCAGGTTCACTAATCCCTAAAATTGCAAAAGAACAGTTCACATTTCAACTAATTAGAACCAAGTTTTATTAAATTAAGAATCTTACTTCTCAGGGTAACAGAAAAGCAATTTACCTTCCCAAGGAAAACACTTATAGCTGTTCCGCCAATTGAGTAAACCAGAAGAACAACAAATAGTGGAGGATAGATACCATACAAGATGTTACTGAATGATATTAAATCGACTGCAGCATTAAAAAGTGTCAAAGAGAATGAAAGGGATGTCCCTGTGAATGAACTTAAATCATCAACAATCCGCTGATCTGGATTGTCAATTATAGATTGGGATTGAATTCTGTAAAATGTCTGATCCGTGAGATACCGGTCAATGTAATATTTTGTCATCCAAGACCTCCATCTCAAAGCAAGAGTTTCTCTTGCATAATCCCTCAATACGAAAAACTGTAAAACAACAAGGACTTTTATAAGAAGTGCCAGCAACAATCCATGAAGGTACTAATGCTTAGGAGACAAGCCCAAATAAGTAAAATTTTAGTGGATTTTTTTAACCAAAACATATCAAAACTGTCATATCTATATGTAATTCCTATTCACAAAATTGAAAAGTTAATTAATTTATCTTGTTCTGGTGATATAAAGAAAGAGAAAACTAGGAGGGAGAATACCTAAGAAAAGTGGAGCTAATGTGCTCACCGGAATTCCACCAGCAAAACCACCCAGGTAGTACAGCAGTTGCTTGGTGAACTGTTCTTGGTCCTTGTCTTTACATCATACAAAACCAAACGAAAACAAATATTAGATATCATGTACTATACTAAACATTCATTTTTCTTCATATAAAATACAAAAAGGGCTTACTGGCGAGCGCATTGTAGAAATCACGGCCAAGGAAATTGAATCCGACGCTGATGCCAGTGGTCGCAAGAGTGAGAGCAAAGACAGAAGCAAGTTGCAATCTGGCTTGTACTTTGTCATCTGAGTACCAATATGGAGCTGCCACTTTCCATAGTCTTCTGAACAGCGTTTTAATTTCAGGGGTCTTTCTATTTTTATCATCATCTTGATCAGGTTCTAGTAAGGAAGACTGAGTGGCAGCTGAACAACGTTTGAATTTGTTACTCAAACTTGGATCCCGAGCATTCTTGAAAAAGTTTCTTCTTCTTTTAAGAGAAGAAATGGAAGACATGAGAGCTAATTGTTGAGACGGAGATCTATGTTTGGTTAAGAGACACATTTGACCATGAACACCAACATGGTATTGGTCGTTGGGCTTGTGTTTGTAAGTGCAAATACACAGGCTATTAATGGCATGTGGCTGTGTATGTGTATGTGTATGTATCATCATCTTTCTATAACCATAGAAACAACTGTTTCTCAAATCTTATATATTTCTGTGTAATTCAGCCGCTCTACCGCAACCGCCACCGCTACCGCTATTTTTTCGATTGTTGCAACTTGAGACAACTTCAGATTGCAAATGTATTATCGGTAAGGCAGTTTCGGCCATCCAATTTATGCCACGGCAACGTTGCAGTTTTTCTTTCAATACCAGCCTCATAATTTTATAGATTTCATTTAAATAGGAAGAGCAAAATCTCTTACTAGTGTCAGGGCCCACTTCCAGTATTATGATATACAAACAATTTAGTTCAGTCGGATAAGACTTTTCAATAAAAAGTATACAGTATATACGCCTACTCAGTACTCATGTTTTAGATTGTGATGAGGGATACATAAATATAATATTTTGATCGTTTTATGAATTTTAAATTAAACAAATTTTATAATGTACTAAAAATGATCCATATTATATTTGAATATCAATCATTACTTTTTTATGTAAAAAATAATTTTGTTTTTAACTTTTCTACATATCTTATTCATTTCTAACAACTTATGAATAAGATAATAAGGGTATTTATGGTGAACTAAATTGTTCATATACCATAATAAATGCAACATATTTAGAGCCTTATATTTTTATTTGTACAAGAAAGTTGAGGGGTCAACAAAAAATACCGATATAAGTTTCTTCAAGTCCCAACAATACTTGTTCTTTGGATTTATACATGTAATTGTGGCGGAAAATTGTACAAGTTTTAGATAGGCTTCGTTATTCTTATTGATAAATTAACTACCATTCAAAAACGTACGCAAGCAAAAAATTACACTAAAACTTTTACACTAGATTATCCAAAACCCGCGTTACATTCACATGTGAGCACTGAGTCAGCTTTTGTGGAGAAAGTAAGTCTACAAATACAGTTAGAGAAAACATGGCCGTTAGAGCACCTCACTCACTCCCACTCCTTGTTCAGGACCTCACCGCTCAGCTTGACTAGTTTCAGCCTCATTTTCATCCCCCCTCACTTCCCCACTTGATGTTCCTTGCGATGCTGCCATGGCCATCACCTCTCCAGGTGGTGGGTGGTCAAACTTACATGTTGCACCATACTTGCAAGTTCCAGTCTTCATATAATATGGACAATGAACAGCACCCTGTCAAAATGTTCTACTCATATCAATGACCTCCTATGGTCATTTAGATTAGCAAGATTAAAATTCTGCAAATAATAATCAGTATATTCCATAGACTCATAACAATGAAGATGGAAAACAGTTTTTTAGACAATGAAACAAATAGGTAATTCAACAAGTCTTTATCACACACCCATCTTCCCATGTTCATACTCTTTAGTATCCCAACATCATTAAGGAATAGAACAACAAGGCACCTCGGCTTCCTTGACCAATAGTACTGAGCACTAAAATGATAATTGTTGATGCAAATAACATAAATAAACAAGAAACTTAAGAATCTAAGTGTTCAAAATGATTTAGCGTGAAGTACTATTACCTTCTCAATTTGCCTCAGCTCCAAAATAACAATAGCATACACACTAAATATTATACTTTCAAGAATAGCAGACACAAAACCTGGCATTTTCTTTGCTTGAATTATAGAATAGAAAAATAAGCCATACCTCTCGCCTAGGCAATCCAGCGAGGGTGAGCTTGATATTCTCTTGAGAAGCTTGCTTTGCTGCTGAGAGTGTTGGTGCTGACCGATCAATAGGGTGATGAAACTTGCATCTTTCCCCATACTTACATTCCCCAGTCTTCATATAGTACTACATGCAACACAATACAGTAAAAAGTAAAAATCATTGAAGTTATGTTAATTTTGTGACAAACTGGTGACATGAAAAAGTAAAGAGTAATCTTACTAACAAGAACTAGAGAATCTATCCCCAAAAAGCAAAAATAATATTATTAAACAAGCATATATTTTTTTTTTTTTAAATGACAGAAATAAAAATGAAATAAATTGCAGCTAGGGAAATATTAAATTAGATAAATGCATACATCACATTCCATCTGTCCTGGGCGTTGAGGGTAGATACTTGTGCCAACTTCAAGCTACAAAATGGAAACAAACAGGAAAGCATCAGTGTTTAAATACAATTGCATGAAACCACAATAGCAATGCAAACTTTGCAAAAAAAGTGCAACTAGCTTTAAGAAACATAATCACAAAAAAAACATCATTATTGTGATGGTAAGGGACAAGATATGAAGAACAAATATAAACTTCTAGAGGACTCATGCAGAGAGTTGACTTAGGTAAGCTGTCAAAATGAGTTCTTTAACCAACAAAATAAAAAAAAAAAAAATATATATATATATAGATATAGATATATCACTTACCGTTGGCTGAGCCAATCTGGGGTCAATAGTTTGATATATTGAAGCAGCTGGATTAACAACACCAATGTTCAGACTAGCTCCTGGGGAGGTTATAAGAGGATGCCCTATTGCAGCAGCAGCAGCAGGATTGATTGCTGCAAATATTATCATGAAACTTGAGAGGCTTAAGGGTGGAAAGTAGCATAAAAAAACTTTAATACTATTTATCTGAATTATCCACGTACCGTTTCTGTCAGGATGATTGTAGCGGCAAGTGGCACCATATTTGCAACTGATACAAAAACAACAACAAAATTTAAGCATTTTCTTTCATTCCCATTATTTTATTTTCTTCAAACAAAATTAATCGACATGCATAGGAATATATTCACCTCCCAGTTTTTAAGTAGAATGGACAATCCACTTCCCCCTGATAGAAGTAATAGATAAGATATCAATAAATACTCCAATTCTCAATTACAATTAAGCTCATAAATAAATGATCAAAAAGAAAAAGAGTCAATACTAATTTGAAAATCTAAGTTCTTCTTAATCTATTTTTTTTATATGTGACCAGGACAGAAATTAATGACATCAAAAGGATCTCATAAAACCACATCACCTAACTTGGTACCGAAGCCAATCCCAACCATCTTTGCCAGTAAAGGCACTAACTTCTTTAAGCTAACTATCCTGAATTACAATCATGACAATGAAAATCACAACAGAACAATGTGATGGAGACAGAACAAGCACCATATTTTACAACCCAGACGACCATAATACACAAATAGAAAGAATACAATCTGGTCATTCATTAATTAATACATTACCGGTCTAATAGGAAGTCCTTTGGTGTTATGTAACCTTGCTGGGGCATAAGAAACAAGAGGCCCAGGGACATATAGATCTCCAGCTGTTCCATTAGTTACTGATTCATTCTGCTTGCTATCACCATTTTCTTGTGCAGCTGATGGCATTTGCATATCTTTTGGATGATGAAATTTGCAAGTCACACCAAACTTACAAGTTCCAGTCTTCAAATAGAACTGTTTATGAATTGGAAGACCAAATTAATAATGGAAGTACCATCAGGATGACCCTGCGGGCATAGAAGTAAAAATCTTACAGCACATGGGGGCTCCGAAGGCCTATCCGGTAAGGTAAAAACGTCAGCATTTCCCGAAGAACCCTGAGAGCAAAGCATCATAATATTATAAACGACGAAAAGAAATCAACAACTAAACTAATGACAATATTTTACTGAATATATTACCACTGAAGTAATCAAATTTTCTTTTGGATGATTAAACTTGCACTTCAAACCAAACTTGCATCTTTGAGTTTTCAGAAAGTACTGCAACATGTTCAATGAACCAAAAACAAAAAGGTCAAAATTTCAAGAGCCCCAATCAGCATTACATATTTTTCATGAACAATAATTTCTAATCCTGCTTACAGGACAATCTGGCTCTCCTGGTCTCTCAGGAAGGGAGTCACTCGTAGCAATAAGTGGAACCTAAACAATCAAGTAACCAATTATCCTGTGTTATAATAATGTAAGTTGCTCATGATGAAGTAGATAAAGTAAATGTGTAACACAGAGAACCAACGGGTACCTTGCTCATTTATATGTCCATGCTACAATGACATAATTAAGCATAAAAAGGAAAGAAAAAGCTCAGGATTATATTCGTCTCTCTTTCTCATAGAACAATTAATGGGCACTTTGTCCAATAGCAGGTATGTTCCATACTCAGCTACATTAAGATGGAACAAGAAAACACCTTCCAATCTTAAAATATCCATGCAATATAGTCCACAAACAAGGTAAGCTACAGATATCAGCCAGAGATTATCAAATAGCTACAAAAACTAAAGCATAAAAACTATTATGATGTAAGTCTATCTAAAACATTGGTAAAAAGCAAATTTCAGAAACTAATTAGCATTATAAAAATACGTATTGACATGATGAGTAGCATTTAAGTAACATTGCAGTAACATAAGCACATAAAAAAGTTTACTCATCAATATAAACATTTAACCATCATAATAGGCTATAGTATTACATAATGACGTTTATCTGAATGGTGTAGTAAGAATATAACTGTCACCTCTTTCCAATCTGGGATTCCACCTTCAGGAACCCAAATAGGATGGTCAAACTTGCAGGTAGGTCCATATTTACAGGTTCTTGTTTGCATATAGTGGGCACAATCCTTCTCCCCTGGCCTCTGTGGATACACAGGTAAATGGCTTGTATTCTCGAATCTAGGGCGCTTGGCTAAAGAGTTGGTAGAATACCAAGCTTCACTTTGCCCAAGAGTGGTATGGGCACCCAAAAGAGTCTGATGGTAGAGCGCTATAGTACATAGTAGAAAAGTTTATATACAAGAAAACAGGAAAAACTATATGTTACTATATAAGTATGACCTATAAAATAATGGTTAAATAGAAAGGTACGTTAAATAAAAACAGATACATGGAAATAAAAATTATAGCAATCATATACGAAAGTAAGTGCGGATAAGAAAATACAACTATTATCAGCATTGAAAAGTTTGCTGGACATTTATGAAATATATATGTAGCTAGAGTGTAAACTCTACTCAATAGTAGTATGTTTGGTCAGAAAATCATACTTAAATTCATATTCTAAAGGTAAGCGAGACAGAACTTGAAATATATTTGCAACTAGTAATAACAGAGTGAAAATGTATCCATATGTCCAGGATATGCTATGATGAAGCGGCAATAAATAAGTAACCACTCCACACTTGCGAGTGAAAGGCTTAGAGAAAGTTTTCAGTTCACATATACATAACCAAGCAAGCGCATGGCATGGATTCTTAAACTAGAATTTTTGAAGCTGGATACTTGGGTAAGCAGGCAATTATTTTCAACGTCCTTGAGCGCATTATTGAACCCACATTTCCATAAAGAAGCAGCCCAGTTAAAACTAGGTTTTAGAAGCACATCACAACCACAAGTGAAGCAAGAAGCTCATGATTCCACAAAAAGCAAATTAACATAAAAAATTACAACTACAAAATCCTCTAATCTAGTTGACCAGCGTAATTAATCGAACATTTATAACTGAAAATTTGATAAAGAGCTTGCTCTCACTAAATGCAGGTAAATAAAAAATTAAAAAAAGAAAAGTGAAGTTAACCTTCAGAGGCTCGTTTGATGGGAGTAGAGAGGTGGTCAGTGGGTTCAACACCAGAAGGCCATGAGTGCTGAGAAGAGTACCTCAATACATCGCTGTAAATTGAGGAAGGTGTGTACTTAGAGTGATCGGAGTCGGAAGACCCAACCAGATAACGAAGAGAGGAGGATGGTGTTGGGGTCCCACCACCACCTCCTCCAGCTGAAGCATAGCTAGAGTTGTAGCCGTACAATTGGTTGGCCATAAATTGCACTCACTTCACTCTAGTTAGTATAGAGGAAATGTAACCCAAACCCTAGAATGAATTTAAGGAATAGAAGTAAAGAAGAAAAGCTGCTTCTTTATCTGTGTAGTTAAGATTAAGACACCAATACCATTATCACTTATTCACTTGAATCTTCCCACTCAAAATCACAAAACTACCGCACACTAATAATTTATTTCAGATTCACCCCTACTTTTTTTATTTTGATTAGATATACATACAGTTACAGTACCGTACTTAGCTTATATTATAGTACAGTCTCTTGACTTGGGTCCAAGGCTTTTAACTCGTGACTCTGTCACTCTGACATGTTAATAATCAAATCAGGATTGGGCCTAAACCTATCATTATTATTAGAATCTAGATATAGTCAATCAAATTGAAACTCAGTAATATTATACACTTTTCGATAAAAGTGACTACTTTATGAAATTAGAACATAAACATAATATTTCTTAATAATTGTTGGGGCCAAAATCGTTCTGGACCCAAATAGGAAAACAGGATCATCAATGAGAGATCACCCAAATAGGAAAACAGGATCATCAATGAGAGATCAGACCCAATTCCAAAGAGGCCTAAGCCCAATTACTCTCATTTGATNAATAATCAAATCAGGATTGGGCCTAAACCTATCATTATTATTAGAATTTAGGTATAGTCAATCAAATTGAAACTCAGTAATATTATACACTTTTCGATAAAAGTGACTACTTTATGAAATTAGAACATAAACATAATATTTCTTAATAATTGTTGGGGCCAAAATCGTTCTGGACCCAAATAGGAAAACAGGATCATCAATGAGAGATCACCCAAATAGGAAAACAGGATCATCAATGAGAGATCAGACCCAATTCCAAAGAGGCCTAAGCCCAATTACTCTCATTTGATACGAGATACAGCCTGCCCAAACCATCTGGGCACAGGCTTCCCAGTTACAGTTCACTTCCTGGGCCTATAGGCGAGTTCAGAGCCAACGACCTCCATTGATCACTTTCCTGTTCCTGATCAATCTCATATTCGAAGTCACTTTTCTGTTCCTGATCACTTTCCTACTCAAAGTGACTTTCCTGTTTAGATCACTTTCTTATTCAGACACTGGTAAGACAGCTCACCACCGCACTAACTCCTCTAGGGTTTTATCAAAATCACACTAGGACTCCTAATTCTACCAGGATTGGGAGACCAGATAGTCACTATATAAACAGATGTCAGCTCTCTCACAAGAGAGATTACGTTACAACTTCACACCTGAAGCTCCTACTTGAGAGCTTCACATCACTGCTGTAGTCACAGTCCCCGACTAGACTTCCGATAACCTCTCTACTCCCTAGCCCTCACTATACTAGTCTCTTTCAGTCTTACTGACTTGAGCGTCGGAGTACCTACAGCAAACACCACCCCGGTATTTCTCATTCGCTTCACGTCTTTGTTTCTCTACGTGTATAGGTATAGTGGATCGCTAGTGGCCTCAATCTCACGGGATCAAACCCCATTCCGTACAAGTAGATTTTTACATCAACAATAATCTACCTAAAGTCTCCGAAATGACTAAATTTATATACTGTAATTCATTCTTGTGGAAGCACATGTCGATAATTGGCACTTAAAATAGTACCAGTACTAGTCCCATATAACATTACAAAAGCCTCAAAATGAGCTACTACAATTCTATGAATTCCAAACCAATTCTATTCACACATGACACAAAATTCTCAAAAGTCATTTAATTGCTTCCAAGTTTGTTTCCAAATTCCTATGAAGAATAAATGTTAGGAAATGGAGAGCTAGAATTAATCCATACAAGAACCAACCAACGTCAATAATGGATCAATCATCAACTTATACAATATTTCTAATAGTTCATCTTCCATTCTCTTAGTNGTACCAGTACTAGTCCCATATAACATTACAAAAGCCTCAAAATGAGCTACTACAATTCTATGAATTCCAAACCAATTCTATTCACACATGACACAAAATTCTCAAAAGTCATTTAATTGCTTCCAAGTTTGTTTCCAAATTCCTATGAAGAATAAATGTTAGGAAATGGAGAGCTAGAATTAATCCATACAAGAACCAACCAACGTCAATAATTGATCAATCATCAACTTATACAATATTTTTAATAGTTCATCTTCCATTCTTTTAGTGTAAGAATATAAAAGAGTTCAATGGAAATCACGAGTTCTTTTCTTTATAGAATGAAAATGAAAGTTCAGCTTATTTTATTAAGGATATAGATACTTGCTTAGAAGAAAAGACTACGTGTACGTAATACATTTATATAAATTAAATAGCTAGCCAGTGCCAGTGACACCCAAGTCTTGCTTGTTTTCATCTTTTCCAGCACCAAACACAGGTCCTCCTTTGCCAGCAGGATCCTCAACCTTGTCCTGAAGTTTATCAACCTTAATCCCACGCTCATCTTCCTTTGAAAGGAGGTCCGTCTTTGGCCTATTCTGTTGCTCTTGCACTGACCCGTATGTTGTTGCCGTCTGTGATCCCGGTGGTTGTGCTCCTTGTGCCCCTGACATTCTCTTCCTATCTTATTAATCAACTCCTTACACCCTATATATACACACACAAAATCAACAAAGAAAGACATGAAAGCCAAGCCACGTCTCTGTCAGGGACAGGGAGTTCTCCATGTGGCAGTTAAGATGCCACCTGTGATTCATGCAACATCCTTACTTGGCAACCTTTGGCTGAATCGGTCATGATCTTTCCACACACTAAATTTGACAACAATTACAAATACCACTGCTCAAGCAATTTAAGTGTATCAATGGTTGCAAAAGAACAAGGATCTCATATTGTTAATTAAACTTACCAAATAAATGCCTGAGAACAACAAATAATTTTTTATAAAGGTAAGACAAATTATCTCAAGTAATAAAAAATAATAACAAATTAATATATCATCTCACACTATCGCATACACCGCCAAGCTGACAAAGAATCCTAGAAAAGCACCTGCTATAACTTCAACCTCAGTATGGCCTATTGATTCCTTTAAGACAGCTGAGTTTATATCCCCACTTCTTTCTGATCCTTCTTCAACAGAAGACATTAACATCTGTTTTGTTTGGTTTAGTAATAGCGGGGGAACATTTGTTGATGAAAAAGGAGTTGGACCTAGGCTGTCCATTTTCAGTTTGGATGAGTCTCCTTGTTGACAATCAATCACATTATCTATATCCTGGGAAACGGTTGAGTTAACCTGCTGCGTCTTTGATAGCAAATTGTTTAGTGTTTTTGCATGAATTCCCACCTCTCTTCTCACCCCCTGCAAATGGAAGAACCTGCTCTTAGATTGAAATTCGCATTTAAAATAAGAAATTCTAACATTTTTTAGGATCAATCTTATCGTGTTTACTCTTTCTTGCAAGGATATATAAACTTGAAAATGTTTACACAGATATCATTTGATTCTTTAAAGCCGAAGACAAAGTTATCATATGCCTAGTTAAGCAATTGTTCACAAGTAATCTTATATAGGTAGGTTGGTGGGGTTGTGATTATGACAGGAAGCAAGTAAATGTTTATTTATGAACAAAACATTCAAAATCCGGTGCATTTCAGCAAGAATGGGTGAAGAAAGAGGCGCCAATGACTCATCTCAAGAAGCTTGAAAAGATATTCAATCAAACAAGCCAGAAACTGTAAAAGATACTGTTCATCTATCAACATCCGGCGCTCTAAAGGTAATTGTATAATGGTTTACCATGCTGCCCCATTAATTAACATCATAATCTAGAAAACTATATGTAGCTTACAACTGACAAATGCTTTCAAGGAAGTTCTGATAGTAAACTCATAAGCAAACACTAGGATAGACAATCTAACAGGAGTTAAGACTCGTGCCTAACAGAACTCCAAACAATGTACGATCACCTACTAGAACAGGCTTAAAAAGATCCAAAATGAACAGCAGGCATTCTCTGCCTGTAATCTTAATAGAGATGACTTCATCTGTTTTCAAGTGCCCATAAGTGGAAGATAATACTCGTTCCTAATCCCATTTCAACCAATAAATCCCAAGTCTCCAAACTACCAACACTGAAAGGAAGATTTCAATCTCAATACTCCTTAGGAAGTCCTTAATTTTTCATCAATTTACATGAAGCATATCAGAAATAAGATCACATGACTCTACAAACACTAGAATCACTTTTGAAAAATAAGCAACGACATTCTGTTTTTATGACACTCATCTCCATTGAAATTTTTTCTTTGTGATAAAATGTGAGCACAGGGAGATTACTGAAGTTAATTGGCAGAGCATCTCACCAATGAAGTCATCAGCAAGTACTAGTAGGATTGTGGTGATGTATTGGGATCGTATACTTGGATTTGGACTGGTGGACAGTATTTCCAATGATTTTAATCTCAGTGGCATCAAATGAATTTGATGAATAAAACATGCATGTTTCAAGTCTAGCTAGGTCGTTATTGTGTAACTATCTATTCTGATATCACATCCAATAAATCAGCGTTCAGTATCTGACAAAAACAACTCAGTCAAATCCCATCATTTTTCTCAATGTAGTTGTGCACCGGACATCACAAAATATTTACATGAAATCCTTGCAAAATCTCTTATACTTCTTACATTTCTGTAATTTCAGTTCAATACCTCATTCTGCAAGAAGCAATTTCTGAGCTTCACATAACACCAGTCATTGTTTCTCTACCCACAAAGAATACAAATATTCTATAAGATTTCTCCCCCACCTATGAAACAGGAGTGAAACTGGTGACAAACAAGTTTCTGATGACTAGCTTGTGCTTGCATTAATAGTCAGTAGTATTCAAGACTACTCATCAATAAGAGTTTCTTAGCTCAGGCTTTAGTTATTCTTTTAGCTGATTTTCAAGACACTAATATGACCATTACATGTCCCAATATGCTACAATTCCTAAGTTGATGATATGAATTGTTGAGGTAGTTCTTATGCGAATAGAGAGACATATGGTGGCAAAAATTACAAGGAACTGGTATGATTATAGAATAAGAAACCACAGATCCCCCTAGAGAATGCATGTGAACATTATGAAACTTGAAAACATGCTTGGTCTCGAAAAAACTTACAATTGCCAAACTGATCATTTAAATAAACTAAGACGAAGCAGAAAAAATAAACAACAGGTAGAGACAAGCATCATAAGCTCCTCTATAAGACATGAAAACATCAACTTCTGAAAATTGACTACTTCATTCTGCCCATGATTCAAGGACCCCCGTACTGTAAATAAATTATCTTTAACAATCAACACAGATTGACAAATAGTAGCAGTCCACGCACTGGCAATTGAATGGTGTATTTCTTTGTATGATTAAAAATTTCATAATAAAACAACAAACATACCTGAGCATCATACATGACAAGGCCGGCATAGACCAAAGTTAGGCCAAAAAATGAATCCGCGAAACCCCTGCAATCAAATTATACATAAAAATAAAGATAAAGAAGCTAAACACACGCATCAAACTCATTAACTCCAACCGAAGAAACTAGAAATAATGCAACTACCTTTCAAGAGCAAGACATGTTGCAGCAGCCACAACAGACTATTCATGAACAAATAATAAAAGGTAAAAGCTAAATGAGACACAAAGGTTAAGAAAAAAATTGGAAAAAAAAAAAAAAAAAGCATAGAATGAATGAAGAGACATACTGAGGAATGGGTGGAAGGGAAGCCACCAGCTTGAATGGAAGCTTTTAAATCTAAACTCCTGCCATAAAGAAGCGAGCCAGTGAATGGCTTAGAGAGCTGCCCAACGGCCGCGGAGACCCCAGCTGATATCAAAACCTTCATTGTGATTCATAAATGTTATTGCTACATACCCAGAACAAGAAATGCATTACAGAAGCAGCAGAGAGAAAGAAGTAACCTTGTTATGGACAATTTCAGCAATATCCTCAAATCCAAGTTTAATAGCACAAGTGAATTTAGAAGAAGGTCTCTTTGGGTTTCTGAAACGACCAAGTCCAAAGTTGGAAGAGAGATGGGTTTTGGGACGTGAAAAGACTAAGAAGAAGGTGTTTTGAGATGACGGAGCACAATTACAACACTGTAATAGCATGTTATCTCTACTTATTGATTTCTAGAAGACTGAAGATTGTGTTATCTTTGTCTCTTGACTCTTATTTATTTTATTTTTTTTGGTTGTCTTTGGTCTCTTATGATAGACGACGGTTGGTCTCACTCTAACTGCCAATGAAGATTCTGCTTGAAGGTTAGTACAAAAAGTAGTAGCCCACACCTTAACCATAAGTCCCAGTTCTAGTCAATCAATACTATTACAATGTTGGCTAAGCCAATGATAATTGGGTGGATTTTGCTATAATCATTATCATTAATTTACAACATTATTTTCATTTAACGTTCAATATATTCAGCACCATGGATTATTTTCACATTGTTACTGATAAAAAATTACAGTTAATTTTGTTGCTTGGATAACAGATTAGAACTCAGGATTTTGGTTGGACCAAATGGAAAGCAAAGTTCAACAGAGGATTCAAATTCAACAAAATCCGGTGAGGCAAGGGTCTGTCCGATTGTTATCCCAATATTCCGGGTGAATCATTCGGGTTAAGTGACCAAATTTCTGCATCTTATGGCAAAGTGAGCAGCGAGGTTTAAACGCCCATCCAATTAGCCAGTAATATCATGATTTTTGCGCAATTAACACACTTTTTGTAGGCAATCTTATTTGGTTAATATACAGGCTCTAAAAAGAAGATAGGATTAGCAACAAATCCTCGTTGAATCTACAACCAAAAACAGTGCAATTGTGATCATTACAATGACAGTGCTTTATAAATTTTGATGATGTTTTGCATTAATCGAACCGGCTGCCGTCCACCTTCTGAAAAGCAAGCCAGCAGTAATGACAGATAAAGATAATCAAGACTGTAAAAAGTATTTACAAATAATTCATGTGAGTTGAGCCAAACTACAGTATAAAATGATTGACCAGCACAAAGCCACATTTGTGGGTGGCAGTTTACAGTTTTGCTTTGGTAGAAAGTCTTGCTCTTAGCTCCTTGGCTACAGCATCAATGAACTCTTCAGTATTCAGATATTGAGTCCTAGCAACCCTACAGAAAGAGTTAAATGTTTTACTATCATAAACTTAAAATTGAGTAGTAACTAGAAAACAAAAAAAAGTAATTTTTCCTCTTTAAGTACTTACTTAGATCCGTGAATAAGAAGTGCAAGGTCCTTAGTCATCTTCCCTGATTCAACAGTTCCGATACAGGCTGCTTCTAGCTTCTCAGTGAAATCCAATAGTCTTGTATTACCATCCAACTTTGCCCTGACAACATATTATTATGCTTAGTTTTTTCACTCAACATCAAGAACTTAATATTGAAAACCCTCCAAAGCCTCTATGATTTTTAACGCTGTAGGCACTCGTTTAATAGGGTAAAGCATATCAAATTATACCTGTGTGCAAGACCTTGTGACCAAGCAAAAATTGATGCTATGCTGTTTGTGCTAGTTTCACCTCCTTTCTGATGAACTCGGTAATGACGGGTAACTGTACCATGTGCTGCTTCAGCTTCGATAGTCTTTCCATCTGGGCACACCTGGAACCCAATCCAACTTCTGTTATATCCAATGTGAATTGAGAAGGGAAAAAAGATAAGAAATTCCATCAGGCAACAAAAACCACACAGCAGATTTTACCAATACTGATGTCATAAGCCCCAGAGATCCAAATCCTGTACCAACAGAAAATGAAGTTGAGAAAAGATCAAATTACAGTTTCTAAACCCTGGGAGCAGCCATCCCAAAAAAAAGGAATAAAAAGGTTTAGGTACATTAATGATCTCAAAAGCATTAATTAGGATCTTTTCCATTCGTTTCTCATAAAAAAACAAGAATTAATTACATAGAAAATATAAACCACGATTCATCATCTCAAACTGACACAAACCTTGGGCTAAGAAATCACTCTGCACATCCCCATCATAATTTTTGCATGCCCATACATAACCTCCTTCACTTTTCAGAGCATAAGCAACCATATCATCAATAAGACGGTGTTCATACCTACAATTAAGCCATGTAAGTCAGTAAGTCATTGACAAATCACTTAACTTGGATAACCAACCACCATGCAGGCAATGTATCTCACCACATACTGGCAGCCTCAAACTTGGATTTCCATTGATTTTCATAGACTTCCTGAAATATGTCCTTGAATCTCCAGAATGAAAAGTAAGAGAGTGTTAATGCATTATACTAATAAGAGTAATATGATGTACAATAACTGATAATGGTGCAGCTCTTCAGAGCATCCATAAACAGCATATACCCACTGTTCAACCAAGAGAACAGGACCTCAATGATCTTAAAAGCATAAGAAAAGAAAATCTAAACCAATAAATGCACACCTTCCATCATATTTTTTAAGAATGGTATTTTTTGTGCTAAGATATAGCGGCCACTTTTTCTGGTAAGCAGTGTTCATTGAAGCCTCAGCAAAAGCACGGATAGACTGTTTTCCATTTCAAGTAGAGGGGCAATACTATCAGCTTCTAGTAGCTCAGTCAGCCACCATGGAAGAAGTGAGAAAGGAAGAAGAAAAATACAGTTTCTTGATCTCTACCTCATCAGTATTATACATGGACAAAGCCACACCTCCAGCACCACTGAAGTTAAACACCTCTAACTCTGTCTTTTCATCATGTCCCTCTGGTACTGAAAACAGATAACTAGCCTAGATAAGATGATAAGAAATGCAAGTACCGAAAATTCAGAGAAATAAAAGGAGGATAAAGGAAAAGAGCACAGGCCAGAAATTTAGCAAGTTTGTGTCCAGTAGTATACTAGTAATACTACTATGTCTTGGAGAGAAGCTATTTACAAGGAATAGGAGTTTTACCAAAGACTAATTTAAGTTTCCCAGGTCCTTGTATAACCGCATCAGTTGCTCGGTACTGATCACCAAAAGCATGCCTCCCAATGCAGATTGGTTTGGTCCAACCTAAAATAAGGATTCTTCAAAAACTTTTTTCCATAACAACAATGAACAGGAATAAAAAGAACCCATTACAAACCTGGGACAAGCTTAGGGATGTTTTTGCAGATAATTGGTTCTCTAAAAACAGTACCTGAAACATTTAGTTGAATTAACAATTTGTTTAAAAAGAAAAAGCAGGCTAAAAAAACACAAACAGGGAAGATTTATTGACCATTTAAGATATTGCGAATTGTCCCATTTGGACTCTTCCACATTCTCTTCAAGTTAAACTCCTTAACCCGGGCTTCATCTATTGGACACCTCACCAAATACATGAAACTTTGAAAATGAATGACAGTAGTAACATAATAAGGCAAATAATTCATAAGTTGGGAAGAAAATATTGCACAATTGGCAATTAGGTAAATATTTACCTGGAGTTATAGTTGCACACTTAATAGCTACATTGTATCTACAATATAAGAATAAACAGACAAATTGAGAATGAAGAGACGAATAAGAGTTTAATTACTGAATTACAGAGAGCAATAGAATTAATAAACAGAGAGAGAAGAATAAAAGCATAAGGTTCACTAGAGAGGGAGAGGAAAGCTTGGTGCAATTGGGTAAGAGAGAGAAGGGGGGTAGTGGATAGTTAAGTAGATACTTAAGAGTAGCTTGAGCGCTTTCGATAGTAACTTGATCGTCAGTAGCATCACGATTGGGAAGGCCGAGGTCGAAATACTTTATATCCAGCTCCACAAAGGGAAAGATTAGCTGAGAGAGAATCAATATCAGATTGAGATGAACTCAAATTAAACCAAAAAAAAAGCATAATAATTGCCTTGTGTTTGATGGATTTCCAAATGACTCGAGTCATTTCATCTCCTGCATAAAAATCACAAGGATCAAGATCAATTCAATGAATATGAGTAAGTATAAATAAATTAAATAAATAGGGACTGTACTCACCATCCATCTCAACGATGGGGTTGGCAACCTTGATCTTCTGGCATTCCATTTCTCTGCTTCGATGATTACGATTACAATATGATTTCAAGATTGATTTTAGATTAATACACACGGTAAGAGAATCATAATAAAGAAGAGAATGCGTTTATTTCTTATTTTAACCAAATCCTATTCCAATCTTCAAAATTCACGTTTGTTTTATATTTAATTTTGTAAACCCTATAAGTTTGTTAATTTAATTAAACACCCTCTAAGAAAAGTTTAAAAATTAATAAAAACACTCCTACCCACTCACATTTGTCATATTCAAGCCGACAGTATGCCGATCTAGCTTTTTTTTACCAGATCTACTGTAGATCTAACCAAAAAAAGTCAAATCTTTAGCCGTAGCTAGTTGTCAACGACGGCCAAGATATAGCGGTTATTGATCACCAATAACGGTCATATCTTTGGCTATCATTAACCACCAAACACGGCTAGATTTGGCCGTCAATAGCCAAATTTAGCCATAGATCTGACCTTTGGTGGTCAACTGCCAATATTTAACGAATAGATGAAAGTATTTTTATTAATTTTTAACATTTTATTATAAGAGTATTTAATAAATTAACCAACCTAAAAATATGTTTTTTTTTTTTTTTTAATTTTCAAACTCTACCTTCTAATAACATCCAAACTTTTATTTTTTCAAACTATCTACTAAAACAAATAATGTTCTGAAAACCGGATCGGACCGTCCGATCATACTGGTTCGACCGGCAACCGACGACAAATCCGATCCGGTATATATAAAAACCCGTTATTTTGATTTAAACCGGATTGGACCACGGTTGGACCGTCGAAATAGTGCCGAATCGTGGTCCAATCGCAGCTAAATCCCGTCAGATTCTGGCATCTTTCGACGGAGAAAACACCCTCATTCGACGTGACGGCATCTCCACAACCAAACCCATCCATTTTGTCGCCGTCGTCCAGCCTTTGTCGATCGCCGTCCACCTACAGTTTACGCAACATCGGATTTCTTTTGTTGATTCCGGCGAGTTCCGATGCCGATGGAACTCCCTAGCACCACCATTAGAGTCGCCAACACCTACACATCAAAAGCCCCAAGATTCCAGCTTCGATTGGTCGTCGATCGTCGTTGCCGCCACCACTCACCAGAATCTTCACGCGACAGGGGTGTTTTAGATAGATTTCAAACCTAAAGGGAGTTTATAAGGGTGTTTTTGATGAATTTCAAACCTTTAAGGACTAATAGTAATTTTATAAATTACGGTCCAACCGACCGAACCAACCGATCAAACCGAAAACCGAACCCTTGAATGGGTCATTATCCAATCCGGCTTTCAGAATATTGAAAACAAACGCATCTGTGAGTCTGAGCGTGATAACAGAATGGGCCCCAACATTAACTTAAAAGTGGGTCGCGCCAAATATTACTCGCACTTGGCAGACATTTACAATGTAATGAACTGCGGTAAAAAGGAGCAAAGAAAAATGTGGGTGAGGAGTCTGCTAAATTCAAAGAGAATATACACAAAATTCTATTTAAATCCACTTACGATCTAGCTGGAGAGTGAGGACAGACCAAACATTGTGGTCACCGAACCTTCTTCAAAATCAATACAAAAGAAGACTGATTTGCAGAGTTTATAGCCGGCAATAGCTTAAAATGATTGCTTGCCCACAAGATAAAAATACAATGTGCTTGATCTCCAAAACTTTCTAAGCTTAACTGCTGTCTTTTTCTTTCACCGGCTGATTATTACTCAAAGTCAATTGCAACACAAATTAATAAATTTGGATCCAAGAAGAAAAGATGATCTAGTGGGTTACTATGTAGCAAAAATGTATAAGAAGCCTTTCAATTATGCTGTTTTAAATTACAACCCACTCTCAAAAAATTCTCCAAAGGATTCAATAACATTTGATGTAAATATTCTATATCTGGAATGAGACAGAAATATTCATCACTGTTTATTTGAGCATTAAGCTGCAGCAGACATCAGCATGAACAAGTACTTGAGGATGTGTTTTATATTCTTTCCCAATCTGTAGAAGTGCATCATACAATCAGTGTTTCCTGAGCACAGCTTTCAGATGCTGTTGAAGACTCGTAAGATTGGTACTCATTTGTACCACATAAGACAGATCTCCATTTACCAACTCGAAAACTCGGCTTATCTCCTTCACCTGCTCAAAAGATTTTGTTTTAGAAATGCAAAAAGAGGAGGACATCATTAACTCTTATTGGTAACAAAGATTAATTGAATGGATCAAAACAAACACCAGCATTGCATAAAATTTAAAATAGATACACAACAAGAAAAATTTACACCCTTTGGAGAATCATCAAGGCTGGATATATAAGATTCCAGCTCCTTATATGACGTGAAATATAATTTCTGTATGCAGTTGCTAATATAAAGACATTTAATTGCAATAAAGACTAAAAGCTTTCACCAGAAAGACCCTAAAATTGAAAAAATAATTTTGTCATCATATATCCTATTTATTATTTAATAGAACCCCATTTTGGTATCTTTTCTACATGCACTATAAGAAACCCCTTAATATATCTGTATCTGAATTTCACCTTCACATTTCTGGCCTACAAATCCAAGCATATCAAATTTATCTGGTTTTCCATCATCCTTCCAATATGATTATATGCAAACTGCTTAAGCCAGAATTGGGTTTGGAGGAACAACTAGATTATCCCTATGTATACATCTTCAGTTGCATGTCAGTCTTTCTATTAGACATCTTAAAGTCATCTGTGCCACAGTTAGCATCATCCACATTAAATAGTTGGAACAATAATCAACAGTACAACCCTATACACATCAAATATAAGCATAGATACAATTTGGTGGAGAAACTACGGTAGATTAGAGATTTAATGACTGAGATTAAGGTAAGAATCATGGACTATATAAGAGATATCAGCATAGATGCTAATCAATTCCCAACTCTAAGACTCAACATTTGTGAATAAGCAAGAGAGAGTAACTTATATGAAGCTCTAGCAAACAACAAACTTGACTTATTTTTAAGGACTGCAAATAACAACAAAAGGGAATCAAGGAAATTGAAGGAAACTTATCCTGGCATTAACAATGCCAGCAAATCCAACTATCTCTGCTAAATTTTAGCCTTTCCAATCAAAATCATCTTAAAGTTAGAAATTAACTTTGCAGAAAAGGTTAGCAGGAAATACAAGGATTCGTTTCAAGAAATCACTAATAGAAGTACAGGGATTCATCCAAAGCACAAAACCTTTTAGATAGGAGTTACATCTCCTCGCTGCTGGAGGGAAGCACTACTAAAAGCTATGTTGAAAGATGAGAACCCAGTAGACAATGTTTAACTACATTTAACCCAATGGTCACAAAGACGACTCAAACTGTTTCGAACAGCAACATCTTCACAAGGTGCACAACATTGGATAAATGTGGAGAATACATACTAAGGTAAAAACAGAGATATAGTCAGTGTTTCATTTTGGACTAATGACCAACCAATTACTGAAAATGTGCAACCAATTACTACATGCCTAAACATTAAACATATGATTTCCCACAGTATTAAGCAGAAGCTTATATTAAAATTGGGTAGGCAAGAAAAAAAAAATACCTTAGAAGCATTCCCCACAAGTTCACTCTTAAGCTTAATTGTTTTGTCTTCTGCAGTATATGTCCCTTTCTGGAGGCCAAGAAGAAAAGAGACAATTGATACAAAATAAAAGGTGATTAAGAATAAATATGAACAGAAAAGGAATTAACATAACACCTGAACTTCAACAAGACCCGTGCTTTGAGCAATAACGACTTCAATAGAACCGTCAGGCTTGGGCCTCCAGTAGCCAGTCTCAGCATGCATGGGCTCTCCAGAACTCAGTTTCCACGTCTTCTGACTATATGCTAAAAAGGGCTAAACAAGCATAAAATAGTAATTGAAAACACAGACAGAGACAGTGAAGGTGTATGAATATGAGTCAAGTGAAAATGATTAATTACCTTGCCAGAATGAGAGAAATGGAGCTCCTCTCCATAATGAAAGGAATTGATAGTGGGAAAGCCGCCCTCGCCTTGGCCTCTCCACGTCCCAAGCAAGTACGAGAGTGGTGCGATTGCTGGGTGTATCTGCATCGCCATTTCTCAAACTAAGGATGCTTTGATTTTCTCGTTCTATGGTGCTGTTAATTTGATCCCGATTAGCCACCACTAGGTCCACTACGGATAATATTGTAAATTGCAATCTTCACATTATTTAATTAAAAATGTCTATTTTACTTTTTTTTATTATTATAAAGTATTATATATTTTTAAAATTATTATTAAAAATCTCAATGATAGTTGTAAATATTGCTAATTCTCTATTAATGGTGAATAAATCTTGTATGAGTATACATATATAGCATCATTGGCTTTGTTTAATAAGTTATGTGTATTAAACAAAAGGATTGAGGTAGAAAGAAATAATTGGTGGTGAATAATAAAAAAGGAAGAAAGCAGTTAAAACAAACTAGAGGGATAAAAAAACGGTGATCCATGGAGTTCACCCCGCTTTCATAGCAATACCTATGACCATTTCCCTCTCTGTATTTCCTCTTTTGAATAATTTTCAATCCAAAATTTCATTCTTCCAATCCACTTTTGTTGTACCCTTTGTTCTTGTTGTTTCTATGCATGGTCCAAATTCAGCACCAACTCATTCTCATTACCCACTTTCTATTTCCCTCTAACCACTCCACCTTTCTCTTCTTTTTCCTTTTTTTTTAATTACCCTTTCTTCTTTCATGAATATTTATTCATTCTTCTTCTCTAACAAACCACCCTCTTCCTTTTTCTTTCTCACTTTCAGGTTTGTTCTTCTTTCTTTTGTTTATTTATGCTTTTCATTTCGGTCTCATCACGTTTTGCATATTCAATGTTAATTAACATGTTAAACAAACATTCCAACCTGGATGCTTCATTTGTATTATCAAAACATTAATAATAATATGCATGACGTGCCCCCCACACCTGCTATTACATGCAATGCAATTCATAAACCTTGGGGTTGGGGTTGGGGTTGGGGATACATATTGTTAATATAATATTAATAATGGAGAAACCTAAGGTATGAGAAGGGCCCAATGCATTTTTAGAATTGTTTGTTATTTTGAATATATCATACTATTATGTTGATGAATGTAACATTACTAACTATTTGACACATTGATCAGGAAAATCTAGTGACGGGTGTTATTGTATTGCCCCATTGATGTCATCAAGGCCTATCAACTGGCTTAACTCATCTGAGGTAAGTGTTTAATTATATGATGTTTTGTTGTTAGAAATTTTGAAGCTTGATTTTGATGTGTTGAAATGAATCATATAATGTAGTTTAGCTATAAAACAGCATCGGAAGAACCACAAAAAATGGATGCATTTGGTAAGAACAGTTCCTTAAATTGGGATCGGAAAGCAAAATTTGCTGCCAATTCAGGTGCTGTTGGTTCACCGAGAGAATCTGGATATACAACCACAATTTCAAAGGTAACTGAAAATGTAGTATGCAACCCACAATTTGATCCCAAGAAGATGGATCCTCTTACCAAGTCTATTTCCAAGGTGGATTCTCTTTCCAAGCATAATACCAATTCATTCAATAATTACCAACGCTCACAGCCAAGTCCAGTTAAGCCACCAAATTCCGAACAAACAACAACTACTTCAACAAGAAATGCTGACATGAAAAGCAATTCCATAACGAGCCATGGACATGGAAGTGGTAATTCCAGTCGTAGTGACAGCTTAGAGAGCTCCAGTGCACCTCTTAGACCTCACACTGGTGGTGATGTTAGATGGGATGCCATTAATATCATGAATGCGAAACCTACTCCAATTGGTCTCAGCAATTTTCGGCTTCTCAAGCGCCTTGGTTATGGAGACATTGGCAGTGTGTATCTTGTTGAACTCAGAGGAACTAACACTTACTTTGCTATGAAAGTTATGGACAAAGCTTCTCTTGCAAGTAGGAACAAGTTATTGCGAGCACAGACAGAAAGGGAAATTCTTGGACTTCTGGATCACCCATTTTTGCCTACTCTGTATTCTTACTTTGAGACTGATAAATTTTATTGCTTGGTAATGGAATTCTGCAGTGGAGGCAATCTCCATTCCCTTCGACAGAAGCAACAAAACAAGCACTTTACTGAAGAGGCTGCAAGGTTTGTTGCTTCTTGTTTCATCAGTTTTGGTTGGTTTATCTTTTATGTATATCATTGCTCTTACAGATGCATCAACATCAATCGTAATAGAATGTACTTAGAAATCTTCAAGACAAAGTTTTTTAAGAATTTGATTTAAAGCAACTGATGGGTTTTGTTGCATAGTTAAGGCCATTCCCTCTTGTTACCTAGACATTTAATGGTTACCTATTTATGTAAATGATTGAGTTCTCCTCTGGTTTTTTCATTCATTGGGTTTTGTGTATTTCATTTCCAATATTGAAGAGTGAAGGTGTCTATCATTGATCTTAAAGGTCTGTCTATGATCCTATGAGAGCATGAACATATACCTGATTATTGATTTGTTTGACGTTTCCTGCTGAGTGCTGAAACTTCCCGTCTGCATTTGTGTGCTTTTAGCCATATTTATCCTTTTGTCAACTGTAATTTTTTTTTTCGAAGTTAGTCTATTTTTTTTTTTTTTTTTCTGCTCCTCTCGTCAAATTGAGAGCAACAAGCCTTTATCCCCCATATGTCAATATCAAAAGTACCCCTTTTTCCTCTGCCCTTTTGGGTTATTTAGTTTGGTTTCACCATTCAACAATTTATGTTGCTTAGATTTGCTGCCAGTATTTGGCTTAGCTTCCTAAATGAGTACGCGGCCTAGAACTCAATAGATTTACCATTCATCCCTTTGTAGACTTAGCTTTATCATTAAACCGGCCAATGATGCTCTTGTTAGAAGTTATGTTCATCTCTCATCACCAAGTTGATGGACTGTTATAGTGTATATACGTGGTTGAATTCATTATTTCTCTTTGAGTTAGTGAATAATAACAATCCTTTATTCTTAAGAATATTCTTCCATATATGAAAGACTTTGCGTTATCAATTCCATATTCTAGTGGCTTTATGCTTTTCTGTAAAGATTAACTAGATAGGAAAAGGATACCTTATTTCTTCGTTATCTTTCCTTAAACAGGTTTTATGCATCGGAAGTGTTATTGGCTCTTGAGTATCTACACATGCTAGGCATTGTGTATAGAGATTTGAAGCCAGAGAATGTGCTAGTAAGAGACGAGGGACATATCATGCTTTCAGATTTTGATCTATCACTTCGTTGCTCTGTCAGTCCCACACTAGTGAAATCATCATCTGTACATTTGAACAATGGTACCGCTGGTTCTGGAGCAATTCTAAATGATGAGTTTGCAGTCCATGGTTGTATGCAGCCCTCAAATTTTTTCCCACGCATTTTGCCTTCAAAAAAGAACCGCAAATCTAAATCAGATTTTGGCACCTGTGTTGGAGGTGCCCTCCCAGAATTGATGGCAGAACCTACGAATGTGCGCTCCATGTCATTTGTTGGTACACATGAATATTTAGCCCCTGAGATTATTCGTGGAGAAGGTCATGGAAGTGCAGTGGACTGGTGGACATTTGGTATCTTCTTATATGAACTGTTACATGGCACAACTCCCTTCAAGGGACAAGGGAATCGCGCAACACTGTTTAATGTTGTAGGGCAGCCATTGAGATTTCCAGAAAATCCACAAGTGAGTTTTGTGGCTCGTGATCTTATAAGAGGACTTTTAGTTAAAGAACCACATAAGAGAATTGCTTATAAAAGAGGTGCTACAGAAATAAAACAGCATCCATTTTTTGAGGGAGTGAACTGGGCTCTAGTGAGAAGTGCAATGCCTCCCCACATACCTGAACCTGTAGACTTTTCAGTATTTGCCGCCAAAGAGTCTGCTCCTGGAGCCGCAGCCAAAAAGGTGGCACCAGAAGCGGTAGCTGATAAAGACTGTGGTAGTCCTAAAGATTCTTATATAGAATTTGAGTATTTTTAGAATTTGGATAACAGAATGAGCATCTTTTGGGCGGCAATTTAATTGTGTACAAAAACTAAAAGGGAATCTAATAAGACATTATAATGGAAGGCGATCATAGATCATTTTACCAGAATTCATTTGTTTATTTTTAGGTGAGAAAGAATAAATTTTGTATATGTAGGAATGGGATTTTTTTTTTTAATATTTTAATATTTGAAATTATATAGATCACTAAATTTGCTTTGAACAAATATAAACCCCATATGGATGCCAACTTTTGAACCTCTCTCTCAAGTACTGTTATTAAATGCTGTTACTATTTGCAGATATAGTAGTTTAGCCCGTTCTTGTTTGCAGCCCTTGAAAAGATTGAAGAGACAATACAAATAAGTGATTAGAATTTTCAAAATCTGGGACAGTTTTGCTTTGCCTTCACTTAACGTTTCGTAGCTTAAGATAACATAAATTTTTGGAGCTTTCAGGCAGGCTTGTTTGGTGAAGAAAGCAAAAGAGTGCAAGCAAATGCAATAGAGACATTGAGTTGTGAAAGCTACTATTAGTTCGTGAGATTAATTAATTAATCCTAATTGGATTAGACTCAACAGTTGTCTCACACAATGTATAATCTTAAATTGCAATCTTCTTAATAATTTGTGTAAGTAGAAAGAATGTTCTTGGCAGGCGTAAGAATAAAAGTCAATTAGTTTTCAGGGTAAGTTACGCGGCAGAAAAAGGATCAAATCTCCATGTAACATGCCAAGATTTCAGCTACAAAACTCAAATCATGAATACTACTTACTTAGCTGTATTCAATTTCTTTTCTTGATTTGAAACATCAACCAAACGGTGATTATACAAATATTACCACCATACGCTTTATAGATTAATTCNAATTTGGATAACAGAATGTGCATCTTTTGGGCGGAAATTTAATTGTGTACAAAGAACTAAAAGGGAATCCTAATAAGACATTATAATGGAAGGCGATCATAGATCATTTTACCAGAATTCATTTGTTTATTTTTAGGTGAGAAAGAATAAATTTTGTATATGTAGGAATGGGATTTTTTTTTTTAATATTTTAATATTTGAAATTATATAGATCACTAAATTTGCTTTGAACAAATATAAACCCCATATGGATGCCAACTTTTGAACCTCTCTCTCAAGTACTGTTATTAAATGCTGTTACTATTTGCAGATATAGTAGTTTAGCCCGTTCTTGTTTGCAGCCCTTGAAAAGATTGAAGAGACAATACAAATAAGTGATTAGAATTTTCAAAATCTGGGACAGTTTTGCTTTGCCTTCACTTAACGTTTCGTAGCTTAAGATAACATAAATTTTTGGAGCTTTCAGGCAGGCTTGTTTGGTGAAGAAAGCAAAAGAGTGCAAGCAAATGCAATAGAGACATTGAGTTGTGAAAGCTACTATTAGTTCGTGAGATTAATTAATAAATTAATCCTAATTTGATTAGACTCAACAGTTGTCTCACACAATGTATAATCTTAAATTGCAATCTTCTTAATAATTTGTGTAAGTAGAAAGAATGTTCTTGGCAGGCGTAAGAATAAAAGTCAATTAGTTTTCATGGTAAGTTACGCGGCAGAAAAAGGATCAAATCTCCATGTAACATGCCAAGATTTCAGCTACAAAACTCAAATCATGAATACTACTTACTTAGCTGTATTCAATTTCTTTTCTTGATTTGAAACATCAACCAAACGGTGATTATACAAATATTACCACCATACGCTTTATAGATTAATTCCATTAAAATAATGCTATACAGCTCGATTTTTTACTGAGTTTTATATTTGTCGACTTTGACTTCTACTTACGGGATTGAGAAATATTTTCGAGTATATTATTGTTAATGAACTGACCTGCTTTTTATATATTACAACTAATTAAATTGAGAAATCTTTTACCTGTTCCACATTTGATCCTTGCAACTTAACTACATCAGCTGTATGATCAATCACAAGATATTCATATCACCATATTCATGTACCTGACAGCTATTACCTTTGAAATAGAACCACATCAAATACAACTACAGTCAACTAGAATGCATATGCACATACCTAATATAAACTGAATTATCTCGTTAATTTTTGGGCTAAGATTAAATTTATTGTGAATATTAAGATTTGTATAAACAAAAAAAATCCATAGTTACGAACTGGGTTCAAGCTGGCTCTTGAATCAATCGATTTCATCCTTTCTGTCTGTTTCCAGAACTCCATCTTTAATTATCTTGAGAAGGAAGGTCTGTTACTTTGACCCGGCCAATATTTCTTCACAAAGAAAGTCTAAGTACGAAAGATACAACAAATAAATCAACGACATGATAAGAGTAATCTGCAGTAAACTTATATATAATAATATTAATCACCTGATGAATTATTTTATTTATGAAATGCATGCTTTCATCAATTCATTCAAGTTTAACAGACAGAGAACTAGGTAAATGTTGAATTTACTCACAGCCAGCTGGCCATGTTGAGTAATCCTACTTTGTGAAAGACTTTCTCTGTTTGGTGCACGTTTGCTGTAGTTATTTTTCTTTATTAATTTAGTCTTGATTGTATGAATCTAGGCATGCATCAATTACAAAAGTTAGCTACATAAACATTAAAATACAAATACAAACTACTGTCTCTGAAAATTTTAGACATGGGGTTGTCATATTCATGGGCGGCAGCAGTGGCCCCCAACTATATTTGTTCATGTCAACACTCTTTTACAAGCAATTACCCTTTTTTATTTGGCTTATATTATTACTTTAATCTATGATTTACATATTAGATGGCACGGCTTGCTTGTTGAATTTCACAAACCCCAATCATAAACATGCCTGTGTGTATGTGAAGACTAAATTAATTAAACATTATTATATGGATAACTAAGTGATCAATAATACTGTATATAATATTCATTAATTATATGGAGAAAACAAGAGGAAGTTGGAAGTCTATATATGTATATAGGCTCAAATCCAAATAAATGCGCCTCCCATTCTACACTACACAATATCTTAAATTTTCTGTGTGAACCAAATGAACATGTTCCCAACTGCCAAAGTACCTTCAACGCTCCTTGCTAGCCAGTTTTAACTTCTTTTTTCCCCATAAATATTCTTAACTCTCTCATTTCTTCTTTTGTTGTTTTTTTCTTGTTCAATAACATCATGGTGAAGGGGAGGCCTTGTGCCATCCTCTTGATAATCTTTTTGGTTCTAATCATTCAATGTTCTACTTCAGCTTTTGCAACTTCTCATTCATCCTCAATGAGGATGGAGTTGATACATCGCCATGCTCACCATCTCAGTACAAGGCCAAAAACTCAACTTGAGCTGATTAAAGACCTTCTTCACAGTGACATTATCCGCCAAAAGATGATTGCTCATAAACGCCGGATAAGTCTAAGTCCAAGAAGAGATGCTCTGGAAACAACTAACACAAGTAGTACCGCCATTGAAATGCCATTGAGTGCTGGTAGAGACTATGGAACAGGCATGTACTTTGTCGAATTCAAAGTCGGAACACCAGCACAAAAGTTTACACTGGTTGTTGATACAGGAAGTGAGTTGACATGGGTGAATTGTAGATATAACTGTGGTGCCAATTGTACCACGAAGGGAAGATTAGACAAAAGAAGAGTGTTTAAGGGCGATTTCTCCTCTTCTTTTAAAACGGTTCCTTGCTTTTCTCAGACGTGTAAGATTGAGTTCATGAATCTCTTCTCTCTCACACGTTGCCCCATGCCCTCCACTCCTTGTGCCTATGATTTCAGGTATCTTCGTTTTCTCTCTTTCATAATCAAGATTATGACTTTCAAATTGCAAGCTAAATGTTAAGACTGGCATAATTAAGTTTTTAAGACTATATATTAATCTTTGTTGGATGAGAATGCAAATTTAATTGGTGCAGTTGGATTATCGAGGTAGAGGTTTTTCGATGTATGTGTAGTGAGGGGAAATTAGATGGGGTAATTGAAACAGTGTCATCATCATTTAATAAATATTAATGGCTGCTTGTGATATTTGCTTTAAGGCTGTCACATATACGAGAGTGGGTTTATCAATGATTCATGTTAGTAATTGTTTTTACAATAAAGTCTCAGCCTCAACTGTAGTTTGGTTTAAGATGAAGACAAAGAAGATAAAAATAGAATCAGAGAAACCTGACGGCTAAGTCTCAGCCATTCACAAGGAATGGTTAGTTAATGTCCTGCTGACAAAGAAACAACTGCTCTTACCTACATCCAGCAATACATTTAAATGGCTATTAATGTTAGTAGGTAAGCTTCACATGACCCACATTTTTAGTTACCTGCACAAGGACTATAGGAGCAACTCCCTATCACTTTGAGCTTCTCTGTTTCATTAATGGCCCTTCCAACAAAGCCACCTCATAGCCCTTCCTCTGTAAATGATAAATTATGTGCTTGAAAGCTTTAATGTAAGGAAGATTATGCTATAATTTTATTTATGTTAAATTTGTAATTGTTTTCTTTTCTCAGGTATGTAGATGGATCAGAAGCAATGGGAATTTTTGCCAAGGAGACAGTCACTCTAGGCCTCACAAATGGTAGAAAGTTGAGACTCAAAGATGTGGTAATTGGTTGCAGTGACTCTTTCCAGGGCCAGAGCTTTGTGAAAGCTGATGGTGTTATGGGGTTAGCGTATGGCAAGTACACTTTTGCTAAAAGAGCCTCAGAATTTTTTGATGGCAAGTTCTCTTATTGCCTGGTTGATCACCTTAGTCACAAAAACGTTTCAAATTATATAATTTTTGGGAGCAACAATAATGAATCATCATCATCTTTATCGGAAAAAAAACGACACACCAAGCTGGAACTTGGTTTGCTTAGTCCATTTTATGCTGTAAATGTTATAGGCATCTCCATTGGTGGGGTGATGTTGAAAATACCAATTCAAGTATGGGATGCAAATAGTGGTGGTGGTACAATTGTTGATTCTGGTTCAACCCTAACATCTTTAGCAGAGCCGGCATACAAGCCTGTGATGGCTGCATTGCAAATGTCTGTTTCAAAATTCCAAAGATTAATGCCAAAGGGATTACCAATAGACTATTGCTTCAGTTCAACAGGATATGATGAGAAATTGGTGCCAAGTTTAGTGATTCATTTTGCAGATGGAGCTAGATTTGAGCCTCATAAAAAGAGTTATATAATTGATGTTGCTGATGGAGTCAAGTGTCTTGGATTTGTCTCGGTAGCTTGGCCTGGTATTTCTACAATCGGCAACATTATGCAGCAGAATTATTTGTGGGAATTTGACCTTGCTCAAAGTAAATTGGGTTTTGTTGCCTCCAGCTGCACCTAATAAGGTTAATTTTGCTCTCATCGTCAACATTGTTTTTTTTTTTTCCTATTATTTATACGTATGATCTGTATCTTTATATATTTCTGATTGTAATGTCTTAAAATTGTATTAATTTTACATCAAAAACTATCACACACCTTGATTGTAACCTGGGTGGTGTGTATGCAGATTCTTCTAGTCAGCCAAGCCATGTGTTGGTTTGTGATTACTAGAAGAAATTTCTTCCTTATCCAGGGAAGATAACATGTGCTAATTAATAATATAAAGTGTTGACATAAACATTCATTCTTAATCTTCAATTATTGAAACATTTACATCATGAAAGCCAACAAAACTGAAATGGGACAGACATGATTTGATGATAATCATGAACCAGTACGTGACAAATCTAGATCTTCCTCTACGTGAATGACACCATTCCTGACGTGCAGGCATATCTCCATAACAATTGTCTTCTTAAGTAGTTTTCAAATCGAGAAAACACCCCAACTACTCAATCTAACAACTCTCTGAAGTAGATTTGGCTGACCAAATTGCGGATTGTATTATTTTAATGAGTTGAGATTAGATAGTATGGAGAGAAGATGTGAATAGTTCATGTGTGGGTTACATAAATCAAGGCGTCTTCCCCGGTACCTAACGTATACAAGTCTAGTCTTCTCTAATTTGCATTGAACTAATCATATATGAAGTCACCCAGTCCCATGTGATTTTCTTTATTAATTAAACTGGCGTGCATGATTTGGATGCCAAATATCTGCGGTTGGGTTGGGGGTAATATGTATTTGGTGATGGTCCCATTCTCAACCTAGGACTTTTGCTGCTCCACTTCCTCCATCTACCAGTATCACCGCTTTAGAACGAATCTCCTGATGGCCTAACTTTCTCCATAATGCTAATAATAATATGTAAGAAGTATGTATCCATGGGGATCGCCATCCCCTTTGCTGAATGAGATTGGGAATCTCGTTCACAATTCGAAGACAAAGATGTGTAAATTGGCAATGGGATGTATGCATTCTTTTAGTTTGGCTTTCCATTTAAACCTATCAACGCAATGCTATGTTAAAATGCAACACTCCATCCATCTGTGGTAACTAATAAGCCTGGAACTGAAGTAAATATACACCAGTAAAGAGGCAAATATTCCGAGGGCAAAAGTCTTCACTTTACAATACAAATAATAATTCAGTGTCAACAACTGTGACTTGAGAAGCAAAAGGCTATCTTTTCCTTTAGTGGTGACACTACTGATTGAATTTGAGCAAACAGGCCCAAAGAGCCTCATGCTTTTGTCAAATGGATCAGATTTTGGGCCATAAGAATCTAATGGCTTTTTAAGTGTCGGCAATTGGCAGATCCACTACTGAGTGAGTATTCATTGAATAAGGAAATTTATTTTTAAAAGCTTAATGTTTATCCAAAGAAGATCCTTGGTTTTGGGTGGGTGACACGTACACATCATGTCAAAGGTTAAACGTGGCAGAGTAAGCTCTTGATGTTGTGTATTAGAAAAAATAAAATGCATATGAATGGATAGGAATACTTTGCCACCAAGCTATTCTTCTTGATAATCCCATCTTACTTCTAGTTCCTTCTCGTTCTCTTCTACACCTTCTGGCTTCTGTGAAAACTCCAAAACCCAGCCCACCATATATAAGTTTACAATTAGAGTTTCTCTTTTTATTGACTTTCATTATTGTACGTAAAATAATGAAATCGGTTGGTCACTTTCACCACACAATTCAATAAAATCATTCACCAAGAACATATAAATATAATTATACAATATAGAAACAAATATTTATTAATTGTATGAGTAATTGATAACTTAACGTATGAATGATTCCATATAATATTTTACATCGTGATTACTTATATTGTAATAATTAATATTATAATAAAGAGATAAAGTTTGTAATTAAAAAATATAAGTGGTGCAATGTTGGTGGTTATGGTATCCTGAGTTAAATATAAAAAGTGGTTGGTTACTGTTGTATAGTTTTTTCTGTTTTAATTAAAGATTAGATCGGTACTTGATTTGGTTTTATTCTTTTAATAACACAGACATATCGAAAACTACATCTGTAAATAACAATTACATTTGTCTTAAAACCATTAAAAAGTAGATTAGATTCTTAATCATTAATAATTAAGACTAAACTTTGACTCACATTTATTCACTTAATCAAATTTAATTACGGGCTTTATGACCTGGCAATAACACTTTAGTCATCTGGTGGTTGGATTCTAAAAATTTTATTTGATCTATTATACTTATAACGTATTTAATGAATCTCATGAATTTTAAAGATTTTTAGTTGATGTACTTGTAAACTGATCGAGATACTCGATATAAAAAAAATAATAATAATAATATAAATTTTAATAAAATTCCACACCCAGTAATGCTGTCCGTGTAACTATTTTGTTTGTTGTAAGCAATGTGAACGACATAAAATAAAAAAGAATTACTTTTTTACATAATATTATAATAAAAAGAAGATTCCACTAAAAAAAAAATAAAGAAAGGAGCCGTCCAGTAATCTGACAAGAGAATGACGTGGAAGTGTGATGACCGTCCCTTTTGTATATTATTTAATAACATAGTTGATCATTTGATTTCATTTCAATCTCGTTTCATTTGATTTCAATTTTCAATTAGCTTTCTCTTCCTCTGTCCTTGGAGTTTGTTTGGTTACTGTAATAAGTTGGTTCACAGCCTACCATAAAACGAGAATCTAGGAAAAAGGGACAGCGACTGTACAAATCGGAGCCTTTGGTTGGTTATTATCCAATACTAACTTCCTCTAAATTCTCGTTCTTAATTTTCATAGATTGATATTCTAATTGATTGGTTTGTAATACAACTAGTAATTAAAGCTGGAGGCACAAGCTCAAGCTTTAGCAGAAAGAGGATTTTACTGCGGAGACTTGTGGTGTGATATTGATTCTATGGCTGCTCCTCCTCCCCCTCCTCCTCCTCATTTCCCACGTATTTTCTTTTTCTTTTTTTCTTTTTGTTTTTAATGACTTATTTCCGATCTGATGAGCTCAAATTCTAAAGATTTTGTGTTTAATATATATATATATATTTTTTCAGCTTTAGAAGAAATGATGAGGAATCTTCAGGTTGATAATTCTACTAATAAGGTAGCTAAACTATTCTCTTAATCTCTTAATAGTCATGTTTATTGTGTTCAATATACAGGATTAATTTATAATTTATTGGAGTGTTTGAAATTTAGGTTCCTTCAAAAGAGGGAAGTCCATCAGATACAACATCTTGTATTTCTTCAGCGGGAGATAACTCTAGTGCCAACTTGAAAGAGACGGATCTGGAGGGTGAATCTACGCCAACAGATCAGGACTCAACTTATCAGTCCACCAACTATTATGGATATTACTATCCAGGTTTGTTTTTATGAATCAAAAACAATTGCTTTGTTTTTATGTGTGCTTTTTTATTGTTTTTTGTTAATGTTTTCACGTCTTACGGTAGCATGTTTGCAGGTTTTGATGCTTCTAGAGAATTTGATGATCAAGGATACTACATGCCCGCTGATGGATTGGAATTTCAGTACCCTGTGAGTATTTATTAGTCCTAGTTTGATTTAGTCGATGATATGCTGCATTCGATCATATACTTTTATCCTTTTGTTCAAGCTGATGGACGCCAAGGAAAAGTTTATATTTCTTGTGTGAGAGCGTCCTTGGGTTGATCTGGCTTACTTTTAGTGTTCTGCAATGCCATTTTTACGTTTAACAATGAATTGATCATGCGTTCATTTATGATTAATCTAGGTTTTACAAGCAGATGGATCTCTTGCATATGTTATACCAGCATTTCAGCCTGGCTACAGTTCGTTTAGCCCTTATTTACCTGTAACCGCATTTGGTGTTGATGGGCCATATTCACCTGGCTCTGTGTATCAACCATCCATTACTTCCCCAGGATATTATCCTAATGCTTTTCCTTATGGAGAATTTAGTACCTCACCCTACGTCTGGGATCCATCCCTGTTGGTTGGGGATGCAGTATATGGAAATAATCACAGTGGACATCCTGAATTTCCTGGTTCTAAACCTGGTATATCTTCAGCTAGTCATACCCGTGCTCCTTATTCAAAAAAATTATCACAGTCAGACTTTTGCAAACCATCGGAAGTGAAGAGCTCTCTACCGTCGTTGGATGTCTCATCAGGCTATGGTGTGCGCAACCAATTGAAATCTTCAAGCAAGGTATTATATTCCTTTTTACTTAGTGTTATAGCTTCTTCTCGTATACTCTTTTGATAACTTTTGCTATGTTTTGCAGGCATCACAACATGGGTCAACTGTCCAGTCAGATGCACCCGGAAAAGGATATTTCCCAATTGCAAAATATCCCTTGTATAATCAAGGGAAGGGTGGAGTGCTCTATTCAAACAGTTCTGTTAATGGAAAAACAAATGCACGGGCTTGGGGTGGGACTGAAAAGATGAAAACAAGAGGCAAGGTCAATGGCGTTAGTGATTTTGGTTTGCTTAGCGAACAGAATCACGGTCCTAGGACAACAAATGCTAAAGGTGCTTTCGTATCTGGAGGCGATGCTTCTGGACCTTTGGCGACTGATGAGAGGGGAAACAATAACAGCATAACTTCTATTGCGAGGAGGGATCAGTATAACCTTCCTGACTTTCCTACCAACTATGATCATGCGTTTTTCTTTGTAATAAAATCTTATAGCGAAGATGACATTCACAAAAGCATCAAATACAATGTATGGGCTAGTACTCCTAATGGAAATAAGAGGCTAGATACTGCATATGAAGATGCACAAAGTAGGATGGTTGAGAAGGGCAGCAAGTGTCCTGTGTTCCTTTTCTTTTCGGTATGTTTGGATTTTATAGGTGTTTTTCTTTAGGAATTGGGTAGTTGGGTCTTTGGTTTAACACTAACCGAGCAGAGAATGATCAAGAATTTTATGTGGGACTTTATGGCTTTATACATGCAAATTGTTATTGTTTTTTGCTTTAATCTTTCTCCAGAAGGCAGTTATTAATGCTGCTTCTTCTGCTCTTGTTTGTGGTTCAGGTAAATGCAAGTGGTCAGTTCTGTGGACTTGCTGAGATGGTTGGTCAAGTGGATTTCAATAAGAACATGGATTTTTGGCAACAGGATAAGTGGAATGGGTTTTTCCCAGTCAAGTGGCACATTATAAAAGATGTTACAAATCCGCAATTAAGACATATAATACTTGAAAATAATGACAATAAGCCTGTAACCAATAGCAGAGACACACAGGAGGTGTGGTGTACTATCTTTTAAGTACTGCTCTTCTTAGGTTTCTTTTGTGACTTCTGTTCTCCCTTCTAACCAAGCTAATTGTTTTTTTTTTTTTCCATTTCCAGGTAAAATTTTCTCAGGGTATTGAGATGTTAAACATTTTTAAGAACTATGTGTCAAAGACATCAATATTGGATGATTTTTATTTTTATGAAAGTCGTCAAAAGGTGATGCAAGAAAAGAAAATAAGACCTTCTGTGCCCCATTTTGATCATATACAGGTTTGTCTCTTGTCCTTCAATTCTACTTTCTTCTCTAAGAAGATAGAAATTTGTTCTTTTTCTTATCATCCGACAATTTTTTATTTGTGTTTTGGAATGCATTTCAAAGTGGGACCATGTTTGCATAATTAGAGGTGGAAACTTGGGAATCTTATGTGCTGTCAAGGCCATGAGTATAGTGGGTGAATTGTTAATCTTAAGATTCTAAAATCTATTCTTTTCCATTGCTGAATGATTTAGAATAAAGAAGGGTCCTTTGGCAGGGTCGTGATATAAAAAAGTTGCAAATTGGAATTGACTTTATTCTGTTTTGAAGCATGTTAATGCCAATTAATTTACTTTTTGGTCCTTTTAAGATATACATGCATGATTCTCCTCCATGAGTCCGTTGGTGTGTATATTGATATTGTTTTTGTTGCAGCAGAAAACAGATGAGCTAACCACCGCTTTCAAGTCTGTAGATTTATCTGCAAGAGAAAATGTTGAAGAACCTTGCAGGAAATAAACCCCCATTATGGGCCTGGTTGATGATTACCAAAAACCAACAGCTGCATCGGAACGCTGCATATTTGAGCCCATCACTGCTGCTGATAACATTACCCATACAACATAGAAGTTTGAAGGAGGAATAATTTCTAAAAAAAAAAAGTGATTTTTTTGGATAGAAGGTGAAAGAATTATGAAGATCTTTTATGATGGTTCCACTAGGTGTGAGTATTTCCTTTAAAAGAGAGAAATAAAAGAAAAGAGGGTTAAATCCCTTAGGTTTGAGAAATATCAAAAAAATTTCCCTACTTTTTAGTTAACAAAACAAGTAGAGAGATTAAATTTCATTAATGCCCTGTATTATTTCAAAAAAAAAAAAAAAAGGACTGTTATCTATTTAAAGGACATTAGTGAGGTTTTTCACTTGAAAGAATTGATAACAAAAACCAAGGAAGGTTTGTTTTATTTTTCAAACTTAGAGGGTTGTAATTGTAATTTTGATTTTCATATCTTAGATAAGTTGGTTAATTAACCCAAAAAAGAAAAGGAAGATGATGGTGGTTTGGACAAGACATTGGTCTTACGTGTACCACAGAAGAAGTCGGTCTTATGTGTACCACAGAAGAAGTTGGATGATGGAAATGGCCTAAATGTGGTGTCGCATAATGCAAGCTTTTTCTATTTCTTTGCTTTTTAACTTTTTCATAATGTGTATATATTTATGGTGTTTCTATTTACTTTAGCTTTATAGGGTGGGTATTATTTGATGTGATATGCCTAATTGTGAATTGTGGTTGTGATTGTGAGTGTGACGGTGGTTGGTGGTGATTTTGTCTTGTCTTCTCTTTTGCCTCATTATGTGTTGTTGCTGCTTTGGGACCTAATTTTAAGTTTTGGAACAGACAATATAACCAAAAAAAAAAAAAAAATTATGTGAACCGATCGAAGTGAAATCCGACGTGGCAACCAAAAAAACAAAAAAAAGCTTAGACATGAGGCCGTTCATGTTTTCACTCGAACAATTTATATGTTTGTTTCTCCTATTCATTCAAGTTTCAGACTCAGACACTGCGTTATATATTAGTAATGGCCTGATGGGTACAATTTAGCACGTCCTGTCTTGGGTTATAAATTTTTCTCTAAGTTTGCAAAAATAATCCGTTTGGCTTATTATCTCTATCCATATTTTCAATTCTATCCTCAAAATATTTGTTTGTTTAATTATTTAAGAAATATTAATATTTTTTTAATTATTTTATGCCCCCTTAAGTTTATTAATTTCATTAAATACAAAAAAAAAAGTTTAAAAATTAACAAAAATACTCCCATCCACCCATACTTGCCAGATTCTGACAGCCACTATCGATGGTAACCAGAATTTATCACAACGGTCTACAAATGACCAAAATTAACCGGTAATTTACCGATCTGACCTTTTCTAACCAAATCCACAGTGGATCCGATCACTAACAACGATGACCATTTCTTTGACCATCGTTGACAGCCAGATCTACACTTTTGCGACCGTCGACGACCAGATTTGGCAGTAGAACTTGCCTTTTTCCAACCAGATCCGAGGTGGATCTGATCGGAAAAGGCCATATCGATGCTTTACCCGCCAGATTTGACTAGTCTATATCGTAACGTCATTTTTTGACTAGATTCGATCAATAATGGCTGGAATCTAACACTATGGGTGGATGGAAGTGTTTTTTGTCATTTTATAAAATTTTTATATATTAAGATGTTTAATTAAATTAGCAAACCTATGAAATTTTTTTGTTAATTTTTAAATTTTACCTCATAATACTCCCCTATTTAACTACCCAATATTATTTCTAAAATCCTATCCAAAATAACAAAACAAACGAACCCATGGCTTTCTATTATACCACCTGCAAAATTACGTTCCATATACAAATCTTCCTGTACCACATCAATAAATATATTCTACTGGGTTCCATGCGGTATTCTAACATTAATCATAAATGGTTCAATCTATCTCAAGTTACATCTTGCTTTTCCAACTTTCTTTCACTTACTAAAAATATAACAGGGTAATCTAACCTATAATGCTCAATATTGAACCCAGATTCCATCTTCAAGCTTTCCCTTATCGCATGATGATATACATCTCCGAAGCTATGGTTGCATGGCTGTCTGCAATGACACGAAAACGTTACTTATAAGAGTAATGCTACATTTACACCACTCTTTTACACCATTTTCATTACATCATGATGTGACATATATCATAATCACACACATTCTATTATAATATTAAAAATTCAAAATAATTAAAATTTTGTATGACTGTGACATATGCCACATCATGGTGTAAAAAAATGATGTAACTGTAACATTATTCTACTTATAAATTAGAGCTTCCACCTGTAACACTAGCTTGCCTCGATCGGCTCTTCCAAAGCAGAAAGGATTCATACAAAATTCATCAGCTACTGAATTTCTACGCGTGCATCAACTGGTACTATATAGGGATAAGTCAATATCTTGCAATATGGAATTATCCGTATAATCAAACAATTTTTTTTTTCCCTTTAGGACATTTAAAAATACATAATGTACCTCATCTCATTATCTCAAAAGCATATCATTGTTGACCAGGAGTTTGTCCACGTCCACCACGCCCACCACGAGCACCTCGACCACGTCCTGCTGGTCTTCCACGGCCTCTACTTACTGATGGTGGCACTACTCCAGCTTGTCTTTGCATAGCCCTCTCCCTCGCTCGCTCTCGTAGGTTTACTATAGTAGGAGGATTATTGACAGGGGAAGCTTGTTTTACTTCAGCTGCTGTTGTTGTACTGGAACTAAGTTGCTTTGAGGCCTCAGGTTCGGCAGCTGAACTTGTTGAGGCCGTCTCACTGATAACTGAAGCAGCTTCAGGCACCTGATCTGCCTCTACTGCAACATGGTCATTACCATCATTCGACTTGTCAGAACCTTCAACATTCTCTTCAGTCACATCACCTTCTTCATTTTTCTCATCATTTGCAGCCTCAGGTGAAGTGACATCACCAGTTTCTGCTGCTACTGCAACCATAGCTTCATCCTCAACCCTTGTGGGTGACACCACAGGAGTTCCAATAACCTCAGGCAGAACTTCCCCAATTTCAGGGCTCCCTACCAGATTTGAAATGTCAGCAACTCCCTCAGGATCTGTTACATCTGGTAATAGCTCTCCCTCTTCTCTCTCACTCTCGGATTCTAGTGTCAACAGTTGGTTCTCTTGCTCAGTCTGATCCTTTAGACCCTCGTCAGATGCCATCTCTGCTCCAGTTGCCTTATCTAAATTCTCTTCTGAAGCATTATTCTTCTCATTCTGCATTTCAGCTTCACTTGCCCCATCTACCTGTTGTGATTCTTTTAGCTCCTCAGTCTTCTCTCCAGTAGTATCAACCTCTTCCTTCTCAGCATCAACAGCTTCTTCTTGGGGTATATCGCTCACAGCATCAATAGATTCTTCGATAACTGGTTGAGAATCAATATTTTCCAATGGAGCTGCAGATTGTCCTCCAGCATCCTCTGGTGGGGAATCTGTTCCCTTGGACTTTTTCGGCGCAGGTGCAGCAATATCAGTGGTGGGCTCCCCTTGTAGGAGTGACTCCTCACGTAACTCAGAAGTAGATGAAGCCAGGCGTTTACGAACCAATGGTTGACTCTGTTGAGTGAGATTGACTTGAGTTTCCACATCCTGAGATGATGCAACCTTCCCACCAAGGCTAGATCCTTCTGCCTCTGTCATCTCTACATCACCCTGTGCTTCTTCAGGTTTACCAAGTCGGGGGCGGACTAACTTGCGCCCTTGCTTACGAGTTTCAACAATGGTTCTGGCAAGAACTAATCTATCTTTTCCATCTGCTGCTTTTGGTGGTAAATTACTTGGTGCAGGTCCTGCTGAAGAACTGGAAATCAGTGCTTGGGTAGCAACTGCTGGACCTACAGAAGCAAAAAGATTACTCTCAAGATGAGGTGTCATGAAAGAAGAATTCACCCATCTTTAGAGGAGACAATCAGTTGGGATAGAAAAAAGAACAATATTCTACCTGTAGTAGCTGTTGCGGAAGCATCTGAGACTACAGAAGTGTCCGGAGGAGGGGCACCAGATCCAAGCTCACTAGAAACTGTGCGTGCCACTCTTTCAAAATTTTCTACAGCCAATAAATAAGATGAAGCACGATCATCCAAATTCGTACCAGAGAGATGCTGGACCACCAATGTACCCTGAGAAAAATTCACATAACCAAGCGGAGTAAATTAAGATGCAAAAGCAACATTAAAACAATTTCAGGTTATGTTACACTGGCTAAAATACACAATGTAGAATAAGAAATCAACCAAAAAAATAATAAGAAACGACTGATGTTACCCACTAAATGCAACTTCCTACTTCTTTTACGAAAAAAATTAAATAAAATTATAAGACACAGAAATATCTAATTTGAATAGAAGAATGAAATGATAAAAATAACTTAATATTAAAATAAAAGCAGATCTACAAAAGCAAAAAAGATTCACAAAACCAATTACGACTATGTTCAGAGATTCAACATTTTAAATTTCTGGAAGAGAATGATAAAAATATTTGATATATTATTAGTTGCAAAACATTTTTAATTTAAATAAGAAACTAATATATATATTGAATAAAAAAGATGCGCAAAAAGGTAAACAAGCTGTCCACAAGTATGCTATACAAGAAAGGACAAGACAGCAGAAAAGCATCAAAGGACTGAAGAGGTGTAATTCATCATTACCTCTGGAAGATTGCACTCAGCATTTTTTATCTTCAGTAGTTCATCTGAAAGACGCTTCACAGCTTGCTTATGCTGCTCAAGTTCGCTTGAAATCTTTATTTTCCACTACAAGATTGGTACAAGGAGACATAAGTGTTTACAACAAGAGAATACAGGAATTAATTTCTAAGTAGAAATTCACCATGATGTTAAAACTACTATTCTATGCTTTTATTGGCATGATCAAAATTTCACTTACCGGTGAGGAGTGATTTTAATTTGATGGTATATGTAACACAACAAAGGATTTCAAACCAATAGCAAGAAAGAAGGTACATTTTTTTGAACTAAAAAGAATGCAATGAATGCAGCATTACATCTACTCCATATTCTAGTGGAAAAGCAACCCTCATATATCCATGTGTCACAATTATTATGGCATTATCAACAAATAATCATTAAATTTTTGGTCAGGTAATTTGCAAGACTTGCATCAGAGATATCTCTTGAAAGCGGAATCAATGGATAACCTGATCAGCATTCTTAGCAGAATCCCAAATTGCCTTTTCCCCCTTCTGGCGCCTTTCTTTCTCCTTCTGATGATCATCTTTCTCCTTTTTCAACTCCTCTCTTTGTCTCTCCACAGTTCTCTCCAGAATCTGGTCAATATTAAAGATATTCAAATGTAAGCAATAGAATGGGAAAAAAAAAGAAAAAAAGAAACATTATTAGTTTATGAACCTGTATTCTAGTATCTTTCTCCTCTTTTTCCTTCATAACCTGCTCGCCAGTAACATCACCCATAGACTTTTTACCTTTAAAAGGAATTTAATAACACAAGTTACCAGATTAAATCCAAAGCAAGTGAAATTTCCTGATCATAAAATTTAATAAATGCAAGCTATCTTGCACTACTAAATTAAATCCAGGAAGAAGATAAATACCTTGCTTCAATTCGTCTAACTGCTTGGAAAGTGCCTGATTTTCTTTAAAAATTCCCTCCTTTTCCTTCGACAAAATGTCATGCTTCCTCTGGAAGCAACCAATTTAATGTCAAGAAAAGAATTATAAAGCAAAAGAAAAGGGAAAAAAAAAATCCTTTATTCAACCATAGGTTATCATCACAATTATCAGACTTCACAAGAACAAGTAAACAACCTTTAGCTGACCAATAATCCTCTTTTGCTTTTCCAACTCTGGCTTCCTCACAGCCTGCACATAGAACACAAAAAAATGTACCGAGGACAAAGAAAACATAAACAAAATCTTGTCTGTAATAAGTCCATGCCAGTGTACCTCTGCCTGCAAAATATCATTTAGCTTCTTTTCCTTCTCATTCAGTTCCACCCTGCTGCTTGCAAGTTGTTGCTCCAATTGCATAATTGTTTCTTGCCTTTTAGAACCAAGGGTCTTCATTTCCTCTATCTCAGTATCCTTAGCTTTTAGTTTTTCCTGGCAAAAATTGAAAGTAGATGTGAAAACACAGACCACAAGATAACAACAGAAGTATGAATTAGTAAAGCTATGTACCGGTAATAAAAAATCCCTGAAATTATAAAATGCACGTAAACATTGACTTTTACAGTTGCCATACTAATACTTCCATCAAAATATTTATCTAAAAAACACCTGCTGCATAAAGAAATTTAAAAAAATATCCAAGATACAACTTCTTTATTACACACACACACCAACGCGCATTTCTTAGATTTTTTTCTCAAAAACCTAATTTCTTTCAACATCTTTAGTGCATAAAAAATGGTGGTATATGGTTCATCCAAAGTTGTATCAACCATTGTTTAGGGTTGCGAAGTAAGACTCGATACCTTCAAGCATATTTGATTCAGGTTTTTCACAGAATAATACTTATTAGAAGATAAAACCTAAGATAGTACCAAGGCGCATATTAAACAAGCTAGTCTCACCAACGTTATACCATATTCATGCAAACAATATAGACACTTATTTCATTACACACAGAAATGAGATACAAACAGTTTATTTTTTAAAAGCATTTCATTTTTCAAATACTTAAAAGATTTATCCTACCTCCATTTGTCGAACATCAATCTTCAGGCGATTGTAATCTTCCACATCAATATTTCTACACCTCTGAAGTAATGTCAAATAGTGCTAGATATTAGAATGATGTGGTAAAAAGTATGCCTTAGAGACAAAAAGTTCACAGATGCAATACCTCACAAACCCTCTTTTCCAGGTTTTCCTTCTCCATCCTCAGCATTTCAGTTTCTTTCTTTAAAGCTTCAATTTCTTTCTTACAAGCTTCAATTTCAATTTGTCTCTCCCTCAATAGATTCTCTAGATTGTCATAATCAGCCCTAGCCTTTTGAGCTACATCACGTAGTTTCTAGATCACACAAAAAACACCTTTTACAATTTAGATACCATCAAGCTATTTCAAAAACAAAAGCCTGTTGTTTAATTAAAAATAACACATAATCCTTGGGGTCCCTCCCCAGACATACCTGGCACTCCTCAAAATTGTGCTTGTTTTCCTCTCTGAGTTGCATGTTGCTTTCACGAAGCAAATTCATTTCTCTAACCTGCAGATTTCAACAATGTACCTTGAGTTTTGCCAGAAAAAAATTCGATACCATGAAATTTGACCCACGAATTAACATTTTTTAATAAAATATTGACAGGGTAAAAAGAAGAAAAGAAAAGAGAGAAACAGCCAAAAAAAGAAAAAAACAAATGAAAGAGAAACTTGTCTGTTTTTCATGGATGTCACTATTTCAAGAAGAAATAAAACATAACCTGAAGCTGTAATGATTTGATCTGTTCCTCTGTCAACAATAAAGCTCTTGAATTTGCCCGCTCAGCATGAAGTGAAGTTTGGGCATTCTCTGCAGCCCGTTGAGCGCTCTCAAGCTACAAGGGAGTGAAAGAGATATCAGTACATCAAATCATGTAATGTCATAAGTGAACTACTAAGCCATTAGACAAAACCTCTTAAACGTTCAATTGAGACCTGATTTCTAATTATTTGTTACTAAAAGTATACACAATAAACATATAAGATAAGATGTATCAAGTACATATTAGAACATTAACTACAATTATCACCATAATATAAAACATCAGGTGGAAAAACAAAGACAGTATATGAACATCTCAAATGACAATAAGGAGTATTCATAAAGAGATCGAATTATAATTTTAACATCAATTTCTACATGATCTTCCAACTGTAAAGTTGCTTCTGTTCCATAATCTTTATATTATCCTCAAAACATTTCTAACAATTATTTGGAATCTAAAGCTTTCATACAATCTACAGGAAAAACATGAAATCATAACCATTATTATAAAACTCAACTTCAGTCTGTGTTTAGTGCAACAAGAATGCCAAGCTATAACAATACAACCAAGATATTTTGGTTTTAAAAGAAAAAGTAACTAACATAAATCACAGTGAAGATTTAAGAAATATAACCCCTAAAAAAGAAAATCTAAGAATACACTTGTATTATTTAATAAGAGACACATAAAACTACCTTACTACAATGAGATTTACAAGAGAGTGAACAAACTATTCACAACAACTGGGTGCTGTTTAAATTTTTGAATGAGCAATTATCAAATGAAAACCAACAAATTAATGTGTTGTAGATAATCATGCAAAATCTTACAGATATTGCATGATTAAGTGTATAAATCTATAATAGATATTAGGATTGTAATCAATACATAATAGGAACAAATCTGTAAAATAGGAAGTTAGATTTTTTATTTCCTAGATTAGATTATTTATTTCCTAGATTAGGTCTTTATTTTCTTATATATTGATATATAATTTGTCAATACAAAATAAGAAAATTACAATCAGTTCTCTGTTTGTAACATGGTATCAGAGCAATCGAGTTGTTTTTTTTTTTTTTTTTCAATCGTTTTTTTTTCTGCCCAAGTGAGCATTATTTGTGAGTCACCCTGGAGAGTGGCCATTTTTTCTCACCGCCTGCCTAGGAAGAAGCCTCGTCTACCGATGACCTTTCCTGAAGTTAGGTCACCGGAGGAGTAGCGCATGAGTCTCACGCGCCACCCTTTTTCATCTGCGTCAGATCCACACGCTGGTGCTGTGTGGCGGCGTGCGACGGAGGAACTTGCTTCGATCACCCTTCCCGGCTTCGTCTTGTTATTTCCGGCAAGTCTGTGTGATTAGTTCTTCAGTTTCTCTGCCAGGTAAAACAGTTTTGTCGGTTTATTGGTATAGTTTGTTGGTTTCTGTTGATATAGAGTTCGTTCTTTGAAAGAGTTTTTATTGGCTATTTTCGTCTTCTTACTATGACTGATAAGTCTATAATTGATATGGTTCCTGTAATGTCAAATATTACGGAAATAAGTTAATGGGTCTGATTACTATTGATTGGAGTAAGACAATTCGTCTTTATTTGCGAAATATTGGTAAAGATGATCATCTCACCAAAGATTCATCTGAAGACGATTCAAAACAAACATGGTTGAGGAGGATGCCGGTTGTTCTTGCAGATACGGAACTCCATCAACAGTGAGATACTTGGTTTAATTAATCATTGTGAATATGTGAAGGAATTGATGGACTATCTAGATTTTTTGTATTCTGGGAAAGGGAATGTTTCTCGAATTTTTAATGTAGCAAAGCTTTTTATCGAGCTGAAAAACAAGATAGGTCTCTTACAGCCTATTTTATGGATTTAAAGATATATGAAGAACTTAACATTCTCTTACCGGTGAGTGGTGATGTGAAAGTTCAACAAGCTCAACGAGAGAAAATGGCGATTATGTTCCTAGCTGGACTCCTTCTGAGTTTGAATATGCTAAATCTCAGTTTTCTTCTAGTTCTGAGATCACCTCCTCCAAGACATATTTATAGGGCTCTTCGTACAGAAAGCACTCCATCTGTTCAATCGAGTAGTGCTCTTGTAGTCAGAATCATGACATTAGACGTTCATATAACAGGAGCATAATAGAAGAGGGGGTTCGAATATCGTGAGATCGGAGTCAGGAGTCAGGAGTCAGGAGGGATTGTGTGCTACTATTGTCATGAACCGGTCATACAAAGCGCACGTGTAGAAAATGCAAAATAAGGCCCAGAAACTCAATCAGCTCATGTTGCCACTACTGATACTTCTGATTATGATTTCAGCTGATGAGTTTGCCAAGTTTTCTCAGTATCAAGAATCATTGAAGCCCTCATCTACTTCCATCACTGCTCTGCCGAGTCAGGTAAACCAAATACATGTTTATTCCTCATCCTCCAAATGGGTCATGATTCTGGTGCCACAGATATATGACAGGTAATCCTAGTCTCTTCTCATCATATCAGTCACATATTCCTCGTCTAATGTATTTGCTGATGGATCAACTCTTGTGTTTGGGTCTGGGTCTGTTAACCTACTCCGTTAATTTCCCTATCCTCTGTATTAAGTCTACCAAATTCGCTTTTAATTTAATTTCTGTGAGGAAACTCATATGCTCTTAAAGTGTATCTCATTTTTCCCTGATCATTGCCTGTTTCAGGACCTACGACGAAACAGATTATTGGTAAAGGACATGAATCTAGAGGGCTTTACATCCTTGACACACAAGTGCCCAAAACCATTGCATGTTCCAGTATTTCGACCCCTTTTAAGGCGGATTGTCAGTTAGGACATCCTTCTTACCATTGTTAAAGAAACTATGTCTCAGTTTAATAATTATCTTTGTTAGATGTGAGTCATGTCAATTTGCCAAACACCACCATCTTTCTTCAAGTCCAAGAGTCAAAAACGGGCTAGTGTCCCTTTTGATTAGTTCATTCAAAGTTTGGGGTCCGTATTCTATTATGTCTAAACCTGGATTTAAATATTTTGTTACCTTTGTTGATGACAACTCTCGTGTAACTTGGCTTATTTAATGAAAAATCGTTCTGAGTTGTTTTCTCATTTTTGTGCCTTTTGTGCGAAGTTAAAACTCAATTAATACTTCTATCCAGACATTAAGCGATAATGCCAAAGAAATTTTTCGAGTTCTTTTCAGTCTTATAGAGCCAGCATGGCATTCTTCATCAATCCTCTTATGTTGACAACCGTCCCAAAATGGAGTAGCCGAGAGGAAAAATAGGCACCTTCTTGAAACCGTCGAGCCTTATTATTTCAAATGCAAGTTCCTAAACAGTTTTGGGCCGATGCAGTTTCCACGGCCTGTTTTCTAATTAACCGCATGCCTTCCTCTATTCTGAATGGTTCCACTCCTTACAGTGTTCTCTTCCCGTCTAAGCCTTGTTTCCTATTGCCCCAAAGATATTTGGTAGTACTTGTTTTGTTCGTAATGTTCGACCCCAGGTAACCAAGTTAGATCCCAAATCTCTTAAATGTGTTTTTCTAGGTTACTCTCGTCTTCAAAAGAGATATCGATGTTATTGTCCTAGTCTTAATAGATATGGTGTCACCTGAGTTATTTTCTTAGAAAACACCCTTTTTTTTCCCACTTTGTCTACCTATGCACGTCAAGGGAGGACGATGACTTACTAATCTATACGTCACATCCCTACGGCTACTCCCACACCTGAGTCTTCCCCACCTACTGTTCCTCCTCCGGCACCACCCCTTGTCCGTCACTACCTCCATTTCGAATTGTTATCTCGTCGACAAGAACCTCCTGTACCAGTCTCTTCGTCGTTAGACCCAGCTCCAGTGATCCCGATACCTGTGTTCCTCGTCAAGAAGACACTCAGACTCATGTCCTACCCAAGACTCTTCGTCGTTGGATCCAACCTTGAGTGATCTTGATTTCCCATTGTCTTCGGAAAGGTAAACGTCAATGTACTATCTATCTCTTCATTTGGTGTATGATCACCTATCATCTTTTTTTTTGTTTTTGTGGCATCACTAGACTCTGTCTCCCTTCTGCAACTGTCCTTGAAGCCTTATCATCCTGGTTGGCGTGATACTATGATAGAAGAGATGAATGCTTTAGATGTTAATGGTACTTGGAACTTGGTTGACTTACCTACTGGAAAGAAGCCTAGGATGCAAAGGGTGTTGCCGTTAAAGTAAATCCTGATGGGTCAGTGGCTAGGCTAAAGCTTGTCTTGTAGCTAAAGGCTTGCTCAAACTTAGGAGGGGATTATTCTGACACTTTTTCCTATGGCTAAATTGACTTCTGTTTGCTTATTTATCTCAATGGCGGCTACTCATTCTTGGCCATTACATCAGTTGTATAAAAAAAATGTCTTTTTACATGGTGACCTTCAGGAAGAAGTCTATATGGAGCAACCACCTGGATTTGTTGCTCAGGGGGAGTATGGGAAAGTTTGTCATCTTGCAAATCGTTGTATGGTTTAAAACAAAGTCCACGTGCTGGTTTGGGAAGTTTAGTGAGGTGTGCAAAGTTCGGAATGACAAAGGCAAGTCTGACTCAGTCTTTTACAACAATCGGCAGTTGACATTATTCTTCTTGTTGTATATGTTGATGACATTATCATCACTGGGAGTGACACTACAGAGATTTCATTACTTAAATCATTTCTTCACACTCGGTTTCATACAAAAGATTTAGGAGTGTTGAAGTATTTCTTAGGGGTGAGGTAACAGGAGCAAGAAAGGCATTTCCTCTCTCAAGAAAAATTGTACTTGCTTATTAACTGAGACAAGAAAATTAAGTGCTGAGCCATGTAGTACGCCAATGTTTCCTATTCGCAACTTACCAAAGATGGTGACTATTTGAAGATCTTGAGAGGTATAGAAGACTGGGTGGAAAGTTAAACTATCTAACAGTCACTCGTCTGATATTGCGTACTCTGTCAGTGTGGTAAGTCAATTCATGTCTTCTCCTACTGTTGATCATTGGGCAGCGTTAGAACAGATTATGTGTTATCTGAAAGGAGCTCCAGGACATGGTATTTTGTACAGAAATCATGGACATAATAATATTAGTGCTTCTCTGATGCAGATTGGGCGGGTTCCAAGATAGATAGGAGATCCACTACTGGCTACTGTGTTTTATTGGTGGAAATTTGGTCTCATGGAAAAGTAAGAAGCAAACTATTGTGTCCCGATCTAGTGCAGAATTGAAATATAGGGCTATGGCAGTCTGTGTGAATAAATATGGATATATCAGTTTTGACTGAAGTTGGTCTATGGCCTCTTCGCCAGCAAAATTGTGGTTGTGAACCAAGTCGCTCTTCATATTGCTTCTAATCTCGTATTTCATGAACGAACTAAGCACATTGAAATTGATTGTCATTTCATTCGTGAGAAATACAGCAAGGTTTAATTTCTACGGATTGTGAAGACTAGAGAGCAACTAGGAGATGTTTTACTAAAGTTGTGAATGGGTTCGGATTGATTATATTGTAACAAGTGGGCATGATTAATATCTAGCTCCATCTTGAGGGGCAGTGTTGTAGATAATCATGCAAAATCTTACAGATATTGCATGATTAAGGTATAAATTATAATAGGATATTAGGATTGTAATCAATACATAATAGGAACAAATCTGTAAATGGAAGTTAGATTTTTTATTCCTAGATTAGATTATTTATTTCCTAGATTAGTTCTTTATTTTCCTATATTGATGTATAATTTGTCAATACAAAATAAGAAAATTACAATAGTTCTCTGTTTGTAACATAATGTAAAAAAGAACTTTTAACATGCAAGAAAAAAAAATGCAATAATGAGAAGGAAATACACAATTAGACACAAAGCTCACATTGAGAAGCAATTTCACAAATGAAAACAATTTATCTAAAAAATGACAGAGGATTATTAAATGTACAGTCAAATATCAAGTATTTCAAGATAAAAGTATTCAATAAATAAACAATGAATGGATTACGATGAACTACTTGTGTTTGCAAACGCAGCTTTTCTTGTTTTAACAAAGATATCTCTGTTTCTGCCTGTTGAAATTTAGGAAACATTAGAACTGCACACAGTAAGAGGGTAGAGAGAGAGAGTTACAGAGTAAAATATGCTTACAATTTCTTTTGATCTTCGAAGATAATTAACCACATTTTGCAAACCAGAATCACCAAGTGAATTAGTACCAGTGCTTCCTGAAGAAATTCCGACAGAACTTCGATCCTTCTCTGCCAATTGAATGTGCAAAGCCTCAAGTCGAGTGTGCAATATCTTGTTCTACAGTATTGAGACCAGATTGACAAATAAGTAAACATAACCAGAAAAGTTAAGAAAAACAAATGTCACCGATTTAGTTGAAGAATTAAAGTGGCCATTGGCAGAACTCATTAGACATAACATTAAATAAAGAAAAACAAATGTATGTCATGTGGTTGAATATAAAACTGAGCCTAGGATAAGATCAGGACAAGGAGCTATCAAATCAAGTTCTTTCAAAAAGCACTACACATGTCCCTAAACAAGAACCTAGAAAGGAATCAATCAGAAATAAAACCAAGATAATTTAAAAACTAATTAAGATACCATCACGCTCAACCACCACCAAAACACGCAGACATAAATTAAAAAATAAATAAATAAAAAACATAGCTGTTATGTAATTTATAGATGAGATTCTACCATAATGAATGGTTGTCGGCTCCACTTAAAATATAAAATATTAAACCATTCACTATAATTTGCAACATATTGTTATCAAAATTTATCAACACATATCACAAATAACCTCAAATCAATTGTAATATTAACTATTAAGAAAACTGGATTGTGGACAACCTTCTATCCACATCAAGACCATTGAACAACATCTCCATGACATGCTAATCACTTGTTTTAATTAGCATATCCATTAAAAACTTAAAAATTTAAAAAAAATAGTTAAAATTGAAAATTCTAAGCCAGAGAGGGGGAAAAAATAGGCAACTAAAAGAATGGCACCAACCTGTTCATTAACTTCATTGAACTTCTTTTCAGCTTCATTCTTTGATTTCTCTAACACTGATTTCTCTACCTCCCACTTACCCTTTAGTTCACTCTGCAAAGAACAAATATTATATTAGGAAATCAAGAGACTAATATAGCATATTAGAATAAGTAGTAAACAGAAGAAAACTATGTTTAAGAAATCAAATAACAGTGAAGTCAACTGAAAAGTAGAAATCTCACACAGCTGCAACTAAAGCAGCATCACAGACATTATACCAAAGCAATTATTTTATAGGAAAGAGACACTAAAAATATGTTTAAGAAATCCACTAACAATAAAGTCGGCCTAACAGAAATAAGAACCAACATGTGTTGGTAAACCATAACAAAATAGGTTGCTTCAAGTCCATAAGGTAGTGACTTAGAGCTCCAGAAAGTATGAAGCAAAGGGGATTCACCAAGCTCGTTCCTAAAACATCAATAAATTCCTATATAAAGCAAATGAGCAATGTAGAAATTGAAAAATAATCAGTCATTTATCCACAGTACAGCATATATGTTAATACCATTTATCAGGTTCGTCCAGCCTTTTTCATCAATAAGAATTGTAGTACTGTTGTTAGATAATTTGTATTTTTTGATTTCATGTTCAGTAACTGCTCATCCAATTTGTATTTCTTATAACAGTCAATAAAGTTTTTTAAATCCTATCAAACAACAGGTAAAGTATCACCGAGAAAATATTATCCTATCGTTTTTGTAACTACGACGGAGTTATGGTCCTAAAAAGCTTCTGGTCAACAACCTCACAGTTGAAACTATTCCAAAATCAAACACCTGTGAAAAACTAAAATTAAAAAAGAGACAATAAGATCAGCAATATCAACAAATTGACTTATCATGCCAAAATTTAAAAAAAAAAAAAAAAAAAAAAAACACAAAAAAAAAAAAAAAAAAAAAAAAAAAAAGAAGTAAAGCAAAAAACATAATAATACAAAGTAAAAAAAATACATTTTCGGCTTTGCAAGATCTGCCAATTTACGCAACTTGATGCTTCATCTTGCAATGAAGCCAAAGCTTGTGATGTTTTTTGCAACTCCTGAATAGTCTCAGACTGCAAAAAAACTGTGAAACAGTAAAATCATCCAAATCTAAGTTAATCGAATCCAATGCTTCAAGTCCACAAAGCTACGAAATATGACATGATGATTCTTCAATTTTTTTCTGATATTATTTATTTCTATAGAATACTAAAATTAAAGCACCGATTAAATATCTAAAAGTAACGTCTTTCATAATTAGCTTGAGCAGCACGCCATCGTCATGCTCTTTCTTAAGTTCTCTTTCAGAGCAGATATTTGAACTTCCATTGTCGTATTTGAGAACTACAAGCAAAGGGAAGATAAGAATCCAAAAAGAATATCAACATCAACATAATTTAATATGCAGTTACTAGTCTCACATTTTAACTGATATTCTTCCTTCAAACCAGTGATTTCTGCTAGGGAGAAGCAACAGCATCTCCTTTACTGCAGCTGCAGAGGCTGCTCGGACTTCATAATATTTTCATTTTCAAGCTCAGAAACCCTCTCTCTAAGTGAAAGAACTTCGGCTTCTAATGATTTCTTTAACTTTTCCGCCTAGTTGAACGATTTAGAAGAAAATAAAACTTAGCATATCAACTGAAATTGCTGAAACTCATCTTTGAGAGCTAAAAAGACCAAAGGTACCTCAGTCTTGAAGTTTTCATGAGCGACTTCCATCTGTTCAGTGCATCTTCATTTCTTGTGCTATGCTCTATACTGCAATTTCAATGTGAACTGTCACATAACACATAAATTCCGCAACAGAAAAGTAAGTACCTCATGATGTTAGACATTCCTGAAGCATGTGATCCTTGTTGGCCTGTGCTTCTCTTCAATTTCCAGCTCTTCCTTTGCCTACGCAATTCTACACAACACCTAAAGCACGTTTAACCATAACAGTCAGAAATGCAATCTGAAAAAAAAAAAAAAAAAAAACACATGGATCTACACTAAGGGAACTCTGCAAAAGCATATCATCAACACTGCAAGCACAAAAATAATGACTATCAACCACTGTCATACTAACATGGACTTGTTATACTTACACTTTGGAACCTAAAATATCTGCAACTGTAAACCATCACATTAATGCAGTTTGAATGGTTAAGGTTATAGTTGTCATACTTAATTTCCAAGATGAACTAATCATGCATGTAAAATACAATCTTAGCCATTGAAAGTGAATTGATACGTTTATGTAATACCCACAAAGCCAACCCAAATTGAACAGTACAATAAAAATGGGAACCAATGATGCATTTGGCCACTAGCTAAGAGGCAAAATCATATATTGCCTTCATTAGGAAACAAATCATTAATAACACTGCAGATCATAGACAGAAAAATGCATCTTGGGGCCGACTACTATTTGAATTTTCTATTTTAAAAGATCACTAAAAAAATTAGTGAAGTATATTGGAGGCATTTTTAACAAAAAAAAATTAAAATAATTTTTTTTTAAGGAACTCGTGCATTACTACAAAGGTAATAAATAACAGAAAGCTATTAACTTGAGCCAAGGTAATATGTGTTAAGGAAGTCATCTGGTCAAGGAAGCCCCTCTAGTAGGATTTTGCAGTTCCTATTTTTGTCTTGATGAAAATCAAATAAGTCATCATGAATTTTCTTGATTAATTAAAGTCAAATTCATTAAAACTCCCACAAGATACTTGAAGCTCCTGGATGTTGGAGCGGCCAAAACCACCAATGCCTAAAATGTGTACTGGCCCCAAGGTATAGTGCTTATGCAGATTATCAGCAGCATTATTCACCAAGGAAACATCATGTAAAAATTAGTACCGACCTCATTTGTTGATAATCTGCTACCATCATCAACCTCGCCAACCTGTGTCAGTAGAATCAAGAACACATGAAAAGCAATAAAACATGAGTAGACACATATCACACCGCTCATTAGAGTAAAATGAAAAAACCAATAATTTCCTCGGAAAGAATAGATAATAATATTAAAATTAAGGCTTTATTAACCTATAATATTCCACAATGTAACATAAACATATATCTTTCTTCAGAAGTTTTAATCGGACACATTTTACATTTACATTACTACAATCTGCAATAATACAAATTTACACTCCTATTAAGTCTACCTAATAATGTACAAAGGAAAAAAGAAACAAGATATATAATGTCATAATTAAATTCGGTCCTAACATGTGGCAAAATATTAGATTAAAATCAGTATGTTTAAGCAGAATATAGAAATCAGCACCACTTTCAGACAAATACATTATTGAAAGGAGAAAAAACAAAGATCTAGAAACTCAAACCAATGTATACCACAAATGAATCAAATCTTTATACATACACATCAGGACCACACTCCATAGAATGGACTGTGACAATAAGTTTCAATTAAGTTAACATAAACCTGAGGGAACTAAAAATGAGCAAGTTCAGAAACACAAATATCTAGTTATAGGACTCTCTGAAAATCAGAACTTGAGGACTAACAGAGGCAAATGTATGTCCATATTAATAGAATAGAAATTACACTTATAACGTGAAAATAGCAATACTCAACAGATATAACTACCTTAGCATCTGATGATTTCATCCTTTTTTCAAGATCAGAAAGTCTAGCCTGAAATAATATAAACAAAGAAAACTGTTAAACAAGTAATCCATCCAAAGATAAAGCAAAAGGGATACATAAAAAAAATTTCTTGAAAACAGAAAAAGTCAAAACAATGCAATAGATTAAAACCTCGGCCACAGCAGCCCTAGTCTCAGCAGCTGTAACAGCATGCAAAGCATTAGCCAATTCCTTCCCCATTTCTTCAACTTGCTTCACAGCATTTTTCAAGTTCTGCTCACGGTCAGATGTGAGAGTTCGAACATTGTTTCACTCTTCTTGCAGGTCCTTCTTAGCCTCAGCCCATTCCCTCTGAAATTATAAGTTACCAATACCAAACTTAGAAACTAAATTATGTCAATGAAATCAAACAAGCACTAAATTTCTTAGGATAAAATTAAAAAGATGCGGCCAGAAGTTGAATCCACATTAAAAGAGTAGCAATAGATACAAAAATCAACATTCCCTTGCTAAACTTTCACCACTCAATAAAGATGATGAATGGCATTCAACATTGTCACACTGGAAAAGATTTGCACTGATATCAGAAGTCGAATCTTTATCAAAAACACTGTTGTAATTGCTGATTAAGTTCTGAGCTTATATTTAAAAATACATCAAAGTCCAACATCACCAAAGTAAAAGGGTAGGGCGCACACTACAACTAATAGCTATATCAAACTCCAATGACTGTAAAGAGAGAATAAATTTTAAGGCTTGAAAAAAGTTACAATAATTTCATAATATATAATTAATTGCAAAACAAGGCCAAAGCAATGACCATGAACCACAAAAGAAATACGCCACAACTCAAATGAAATAGACATCATATTACAACCATAAATCGCACACATTATAAGCAACTTAGAATAAAATAAAAGATTTAAAAACCCATGAAAACACACCTCAACTTGTTTTATATACTCTTCTTGTTTTCTCCTCTCAGTAGCTCTAGCTTCCTGTGGTTCCAATGAGCATGACACAACTCAATGACTTCTGAAGACTCCATTACAGTTAAAAAAAATGCTAACAATAATTTACACACAAGCAAAACTACCTCACGAGCTTCCTCAGCACTCTGAATAGTGTCCAAACTAGCCTGCATGCACCAAAATTAGACAGTTGCAACATATACGAGACAGAAAATTGCATTAGATGTGCTTACAACCTGCAGTCGGTACACTCTCTCTGACAAACTACGGACTTCCTCAAGAGCCCTCTTTTCAGCATTTGACAACATATCTTTTTCATGCTTTAAAATAGATACCTATCAAGGAACAAGGCAGCAATGAATATCAAGTAGAAGGATCAAAATTATTAAACACCCCCAGTAAAATCTCCACCTCCATATTTAACTTCCGGGAAAGCTCCTCAGCAGCATTCAAAGACTCTGAAGATTCACGCAGCTTCCGTTGATAGTCTACTATCAGCTGTGAAAACTCCACATTTCTAGCTAATACACCGTTGATTTCAACTTTCTGCCATGTGTCATATGCAAAACAGGGAACACAAATGTTAAAAGAAGACTTATTCCATGATACAAAGACATATATACAACATGGATAACTTCAGTATATTATGCACATTAAGTTCACCTGATGTTCAGCTTCTTTCAGAACACTATCAAGCTTTTCCCTCGCAAATTTTGCTTCCAAAACCGACCTATCACGCTCTGATCTTAGTGATATAATTTCACTCCTATTAGCGTAAGACAAATCAGCCAATGAGAAGATATAAAACAGAAAGCGAGGGAGAGATAAAGACAGACAGTGAGAGAGACAGAGAGAGCAGCATTATTAAATAATATGGACTTGTACTGATTAGAGTGACAATGATTTCACTAGGTAAACTTCACCAGAGTATTGAAACAACCTCACAGCATAGAATGTACTTTCAAGCAAAAAAACCTGAATTTACTCATAAATGCAGAATGCATAAACTAGAAATAACCTATACCTAGACTTTTCCAAATCTTCTTCAAGAAATCTGACTCGTTCTGCCGCCTTCTCTTGGGCCTTTTTGGTAGCCTCCTGCATCAAGTAATTTAAGGAATATGTCATGATGTACCATGAAAGCATAAACTAATATGCCAATTCTACAAAAAGAAGTCACTAATGAATCATACCTGGGAACCTTCCAGAAGAAGTAAGAGGTCCCTCCTCCCATCCACTGCAACAATCAAACTACAAGTTATACAAGTATAAAGAGCATAAAATCAAGGAAGAAGAAAACTAGTTAACAGATAGGATAAAAAAGAGAAATACAATAAGCAATTTTGCAGCAGTGCCAACCATCTTTGGATATGACAAGGGTTTGCTGATAAAAAAGAAGAAAACATTGTAGTTGTGGGAAAATGTGTTACTTTAAAAATTCAATTAAAGGGAGTTCCAAGATTTTTCTTTTTCTTCATACATCTTAACTGGAAGAAGTTTTAGGTTGTTGTGTAGACATAATTCTTTGTTAAAGTACTGGCTGATTCAACTGGGAACTTAGACATGTTTTTTATTCTCTGTATAGGATGGCCAACCCTCCCTAAGGTTTTAGTTCTCAAGGTCATCTACTACTCCACTTCTGTAACTCAATCTAATTTTCAATTAATACAAATCTATAGTTTCTTATTGAAAAAAAGAAACAAAGAAAGAAAATTAAAAAAAATAAGTGAATTCAGCAATTACCAAAAACAAATTAACCATATTAATAATACAAAAAGCTTGTATGTGGTAAAACGGATTTCTTGATGTGTGGACCACTTATATAATTTGAAATAATTTTGTACCTTTCAAGAATGTTTGCAGTTCTATAAATTTGCTGGTTTCTCAACATTCTTCCAACCTTAAACTGCTACCCCACCCCAAAATAAATAAAGNTTACCAAAAACAAATTAACCATATTAATAATACAAAAAGCTTGTATGTGGTAAAACGGATTTCTTGATGTGTGGACCACTTATATAATTTGAAATACTTTTGTACCTTTCAAGAATGTTTGCAGTTCTATAAATTTGCTGGTTTCTCAACATTCTTCCAACCTTAAACTGCTACCCCACCCCAAAATAAATAAAGAAAACACAAAAGGAAAAATAAGCCCTAACATAACAGCTGTATATGAATGTGTATACTATTGCTAGTACTAATGACTTCTCTTAATTAATCTCAAAATAAAAAACAGAAAAATTGAAAGCAAAAAAGTGATTCATCATGCAAGCAAAAAGGGAGAAGAATACCAGGAGTGGCATCTACAGTCTGTGGATGGGAAGAACGCAGTTTATGTTCCTCATCATATAGTCTTTTATACATAGCAACCTAAGCAGAGATAAATGAGCGATAGCATAAACAACAACAATTTAAAATGTCATCACACTATGCAGGTATATAGAAAGATAATGAATAATCTTGGTCAGTATTGGAAAAAAAAAAATGACAAGCATCAAAAGACTTACAGAGGTGTGAAGTGATTCGATCATATGCCCTTGCTCTTCAGCTCTTTGCAACACTGCAGCAACTTTAGAGGCAGCTTCATCTGTGTGCTTTTTAAGCTCCAACTCAAACTTTTCCTGCAAATTCATAGTTGCCCAATTAAACTTATCAAAATTCAGATGTAAAATTAATACAAGAATTAATGAGTGGTAAAAGCTATGGATACAGGTATGACATTTCCTTGTTACCTTGAATTCTATCTCCCTGCTATCAATCTGATCAGACAGACTTCGCACAAGGCTCCTCAACTGGACATTCTGCTCAACTAATCCATTTATGTCCTTAAATGTCAACTGTTATCATTGTTTCAACCAAAACACGTGTATTTGTCACCAACTTTTAAAGAAAGAAACTTGGATTAAACAGTCAAGGCAAGAAAAATGAAACATACAAGACGATCTGAAATGACTTTTTCAGCATCAAACTCTCCATTCACATTCACTTCTACTGCAGCAACAGCTGTACTCTCTTCAGCATAATCATGCCTAGAGGATCCACAGCGAAGTTGTATATCACGGCATTCCTTGAGAAGAACTGTCACCTAAACAAAGAGGTCTAAGGATGAAAACGCTCAAAAGAACAAAAAGTAGATATAAAGGATACAAATAATACATTCTCCAGTAATATAACATGACTGCTAAGAATGCCAACTCAACAAGAGATTAACATCAATCATAATGGTAATAATATTGGCCAAAAATTCTTCAAAATATATATGCATTGGCCAACAATAAATGAAAAGATTTATGAAACATGAATGATAACAATTTTTCAGTTATTTGGATGAAAAAGAATAGGAAAATCTTCAAGGACTCTGTGCAGAGGGATTGAAAATTACAAGAGGAAATTTCAGCTTTGGTCAGCTTTGTACACTACAGTTTCAAAACCATTTTAAGATACATTGCCACACACTCCATTCATTCTAATTGAAAGCTTTGCTTTATAAAATTGTTGCTTTTAGTATGTTTTGTGTTCCTTTTGCTGTACTTGAGTGCTGATTACCCACCTCCTCCATAGTTTCTTTCTGTTTCTTATCCAAAGAAACTCATAACCTAGAAACAACTTAGGCAGCAAAAATAAAATTTATGCATAATTATTAAAACTTAGAGGTGCTCTTTACATACTTGTTTCTGAAGGTCATTAATCTCCTTCTGTGCCAGATTGTAATCACGTTCACGTCTCCTCAAATCAGCCTAGAAGATAAGGACATGAGCACTTATCTATAACAAGAGAAGAGGGGAAAAAAAAAAAGTACATGACTGAGTATTCAAACACCTTTAGTTCCTGAATGGTTTTCTCCAAACTTGACTGTTCAGAGACAGAATTCTGCAATTTTTGATTGATCACAGAGTAAGCCTCAACCATCCTTTCATACTCCTCTGCAAAAAAAGAAAAAAACCATGGCACAAAAAAAAAAAAAAAAAAAAAAAAAAAAAAAAAAAAAAAAAAAAAAAGAAAGAAAGAAGAAGAAGAAGAAACTGAAAGACTGAGGTGTAACAATTATTTGACAGATAATATAAATTAGTTAAGGTTTGGACCAGCTTTCACATAAAAAGGAATTCTCAAAAACCTAACAGAAGACTACAAATTAAATAGTTAACAACCATACCATTTAGTTTCAGTAAACACTCATCATTCACAACAGAGCTGATTTCTCACATAATCACTGATAGTTTGACCAGAAATTATTTTGTAAGAAACTGTTAAACTAAATTAAACAAGAAACCCTGGGGGGTACATCAGTGGACTAAAAACCAGTTATAGATCTACCAGATTAAATACTATATCCCTAAATTATAATTACTTGAAAATCTACGACGAACCAAGATTAATTTTGTATGGTCAAGCAAAATGCAGCAGCAAACATTGCAACAAAGGAGCAGTTCAGGTTCTTAATATCAACCAAATTATTACCTCTTTCATCCAAAATAACCCCTGCTTTCTCTTCTAGTTCATATAGGACCCTTTGTAGTACTGCTTCAGATTCCCTTCTTCCCAATTGCTCATGTCTCAGGGCATCAACAGCCTCTTGATATTTTGCATACATTTTAGCAAGCTAAACGTAATACATAAAAAATTCAAAATGAGTTGGCAAAGATATGAAATAGGTTAAACAAGTAACACTATTATAACTCACACTCCAGCCATCACGCAGAAGTGAAGCAGCTAGTGCCGTTCCTGAGACACCCACAGGAATCTTAGGCACAAGCGAGCGACTATCCTCAGAAAATTCATTGGCATCTGATGACTCCTTCCAGCTGCAGTTTATTTAATAATTAATTCAAATTATATAAAATGATGTTATAAGAGATTTCAAACATAACTTGTTTGGTCAAAATGGCTGCAAAAATTAGTATAGGTAAGCTAGACAGACACTGAAATCTGTGACTCACCAACAGAAGAAACGTAACAGAATGCAATGCTTCTCCAACAAACAAAATCAGACATGTAACAAGTTGCATATACAAAACAAATTGAGCACTAATAAGCTATAAAGATGCCGCAATTTGTGACTTGCCAGCACAAGGATAAAAAAAGGCATGGGATGCAATATGCCTCCAACAAACAGAATCAGATATGTAACAACTTGCATATGCAAACAAATCGAGCAATTCTAAACCAAGAACACTAAATAGTTAAAAGTACAGTGTTAAGGAAGATGCATTCCCCCAACAGCCCTACACCCCTTTATTTCACACAGGATTCCTTTTCTGACCATTAAGGTGAAACATACTAAAACGTTTCAGTCATTCAACATGATTTCAACACAAAAAGTAGGTAATTTCCTCATATTGTGCCACCCATACACACACCACTATTAAAGAATTTCCATACAACCTCCAACAGAATGCCATCTTGATCCACCAAAGAGATTTGTTAGATTACAGATTTCAACCAGGTGCATCTGTTTCATTTTCCCACCATTACAATCCTTTCCTTCTTTTGGAGAACATTCACATATTTAAACAGAACTGATGCAGGCTTCAGACACTTGCAACTCAGCATGTCCAGTATTGAAAAAGTAGACATACATGCACCATAAGTAGCTTTAATAATCTCAACCTTTAAACAACATTCAAACAAAGGTGGGGGAAAATACGGTTCACAGCAAACAAATAATCATCCATAGCCCATCAGATTAACATCATAGCATTTAATACAATTTCTATTCAATCATGGACATACGCTTCAGATCTGAAACTGCTGAGTGGAAGAAGACTCAATTCATTTGCTTTCCGACTACTTTCAATTTCGGCTTCACACTTTTCAAGCTTCTCCTTTAACTCTGCAGCCTCCTATAATCACCAAAAACAATGTAACCACAAATGAAAAATAATTAATTCAAGTCATTCATCTAACAAAGTTCCAGATCAAAGAGAAAGAAAATACAGGCAAGTAAATTTTTTAATTAAAAACTGAATTCGTATAGCAATAGTATTGAAAGATATATACATATATAAGTGAAGAGGAAGTCTGCAGGGGCCAACAAAGGTTTAGGGTTTAATTAAAAATCATCTCATCTGTATGTTCTGTATTTATAATAAGATAGCCAATCCCAAAAGAACATAGCAATAAAAACATCAATTTGCTTGCATATTTGTCAAGAAGACACACTAAGGGAGCAGAATGGCAACCACAACGATAAATTTTAACAGGAGAAATTTGTTTAATTTAAATTTAAAAAAAAAAAAAAAAAAAAAACAGAAGAGGAAAGAGCCATACCTTTTCAGAATGCTTCCTTGCAGAAACTTCCTTTTCAAGTTTCTCTTTATAATCATTTTCAGCTTGAGTCAGGTGGGTCTGCTTAGAAATAGCGACAAAAATCAACAAAAGAGGAAGAAATAAAAATTAAAGAAAGTTCAGTCATTGAAATTGACCAAAATTTATAAAATCTTACTTCCAGAGCTTTTATCACACCCTCAAGCTCTCCTGCCTTTCGAGACCATTCCTCTGAACTTTCCTTATACAACTCAACAAGTTTATTTACCTACATAATTGGCAAAGTTATTATGACAATCTCCATGAAATAAAGAAACAAAAGCAACTAGAATGCCAAAGCATACATCCAATCTAGTGTAACATTATAGTTTGGTCCACCCTCATATCAGGGCCCACTGTTAAGACACAGCAAAAAGCAAACCCAAGTCTGAAATGCAAGACCTTCACTTCAACAGCTATTTTACTCATTGACAGGAACTATGGAACAAGAAATAACTCAAATCCTTCTTTGAGTAACTTTCCGTACAATGAAAACTTATACAATATAATATATATAGCTAATAATTTTCATAAACTCACTGTTGAAAGTTCAGCTGACAATCGCTCTTCATTGACAGCAGCAGCATCCTTTGAGGAGCAAAATTCCTTCCAAGCGACAAAAATAATATGTTGAGGCAACTGATAAAAGAAATTAAATGGAACGCAAATTTCAAAAGCCAAATAGAACATATGATACCTCCTGTAATGATGTTAACTTTATCTCTAGCTCCCGCACTCTTTCTTTGTTCCAATTTAAAGAGCTAGAGCATTCACTGGATCGTCTCTCGGCCTGAGATACATAAATTTTTTAACATTAACAGTGTTGCTATGCAATAAATTGAAAAAAAAAAAAAATTATTTCTTATGCAAAACAAAAAAGAACACATTGAACTTACTAAAATGGAAAAAGCAGAAAAAAAAAAATCCTAATTACACATACATCTGAAAGCTTAGCTGACATATCTGCCTCAAGATCAGCATGTGTTCTCCGCAGCTCAACAAGACTGTTAACCTTGGATGTCAACTCCTCATTAAGCCAAGCATTATGCCTTTCTATAAGTTCTTTTTCCTGCTTATACAGAAATGTAAACATAAAACACAGGATGGCGCCAGAAGGACCAAGTAATCAAATATTACCAATCAATAAGATACAATTGAAAGTGGCAAGTCATGGCTCATAGAGATTCTAAATCAATCAGCATCAACCACGCACGGTAAGACAAGTAAACACAAACGTATAGCAAGAAAACAAAGCAAATTACCTGCCAAAGACGAGTGCAGGTAGCCTGAGAACGAGCTAACTCTGCCTCAATTTGAGCCAAATGTGATTCTTTTTTTGCAGCATTGTCAGTCAAGTTTATCTTCATAATAGAAATAAAACATCATCAAACCTTTAACAGACACCTAAAGTAAGTTCAACGTATAAGGCAAAATGTGACTTAGTTCAACTCACAATCTTGTCTAAATAAGTCTTAATGGTAGCATTCTTCTCACTGATCACCAAATCCTTTTGCTCCACCATCTCCATCAACTGCCTCCGTGACTTATGCAGCTCCGCCACTTCAGTCGATAACCTCTCTACGTCACCGTCTTTCCCAATCTAAAAAGAGAACACAAAATGAAATTCAAATACACAAAAAAAATAACGAACCAAAACCCTAGCCTTCTACATAAAAGTATCCCAAAAAAAAAAAAAAAAAATTATATTAAAACAATAACCGATTGTAAATGGAGCTGGTGCTTCTCCGCATGGAATTGAGCGAGTTCCTTATCGCGCTCATCGAGAGAAATTTTAAGCTGAGCATGTTCCGACTCGAGCTTCGAGTAATTTTCCGATAACGAAATAAACTTCTGCTCAAGCAAGGAACAAGTCTGCTCGGCCGTGATAGAAGCAGCGTCGGCGCGAGCCTTGACGGTCTCGAGTTCGCTTTGGAGTTCTCGTATGTAGGCGTCAGCCTTGGCCGCCAGCGAGACGGCATCATTGGAGAGGCGGGACATCTCCTCATCGGAGAGGAACAAAGGCATTTTATTTATTTTTTTTTTTTTTTTGGAGGAATGATTAAAATGAGAAAAGGTGAAACAATCAGAGGCTCGGTAGTCGTCCCATAAAAAGAGAGGGAGAGAAGAGGGAATTTGATTATTGCTTGGCGTAATTAGAATTGGAATTAGAATTTAGAAGAGTGAGTGTGCGAGGCGGTGACGTTTCAGTGTGAGAAATGAGAAACCAAGCCGATAAACGAGATTGGTTTTGTTTAGGCCGAGATACATTTGTTTTCCAAATACTGGGCCAGGATTTACTGATTGTAACCGCATTATTTGAGTTTGAGATCAATTTTATTTGGGCCAAGATGGTTTCCTTTGCACAAATAAAGCTCGAAGTCCAATCTCCAATGCCATTAGATTATCTTCAAAAGACTCTTTATTATAATGAGTCTATCTATAATTAGACTCTTTATTTTTAAAATATAAATTAGAGAGTAAATTTCACTTTCTATTCTAATTTTAATTAATAAACTACCAGTTCATATGCATTTTATTTATTAATTCTCTCTCTCATTAAATCTCTTTCTTAAAAATAAAGAGCATCTTCATTAAATTTAAAGAGTCTATTGGATTTGAATAAAAATTATGTTCTTTATATTTAAAAATTAATGAAGATGCTCTTTATTTATATGAAAGATGGTCTTCAAAATAAAAAGCATTATTAGAGATACCCTTAGGTTTCAAAAAGCAAACATTAGTCATTTGGTTGAATTACTCGGAAGTCTTGTGTTCGAATCTCACAAGAGTAGTTATCTATCACATTTGTGACTTATCTAGTTCATTGGATTTATAGGATATTTAGTGGGTCTTGGGGATTAATCAAAGTGCACACAAACTGACCCAAACACCTTGATAACCAACAAAAAAAAAAAAAAAAATGCAAACATCATATGCATATTTATTTGTTTATCTTCATCCAAGTAAACATTAATTAGGAGTGTTTTATTAGTCTTTTTTAAACATTAGAATGGGGTGATAGAGACTCTTGGGTGTATTACTCAAGAGATCTTGTGTTTAATTCCTCTCGCCACTAGAGGATTTACTCGGTCGTCATTAACTTCAAGACCTCAAGGGATTATTGAGTTTGATTTCCCGATCTTCGTTAACTTTAGGGCTTGGAAGATTAGTCGAAGTACACATAAGCTGATCCAAACATCCCTGATTGCCAAAAAAATAGAAATTAATCGAGGCATGCGCAAGCTAACTGATCGAGTATTAGAGATTTCATATCGACTAGGCACGCTCAAGTCAATGAGTTTATAAGAGTGGGCAATCCCCCCACTTAATAAGGTCTTTTAGGTGAGGAGTTAGGTCTAACTCCAACAAGTGGTATCAGAGTCAGCCCCATTTGAGCTGAGTGATTGACCAGCGGTGGGCTACCAAACTACCTCCATTCATAGGCAAGTAGACCATATGGACTTGACTGTGAAAGAGGGTGTTGGAGATCTCATATCGACTAGGCACGTTCAAACCAATAAGTTTATAAGAATGGATAATCCTTCCACTCAATAAAGTCTTTTGAGTGAGGAGTTAGACCCAACTCCTACATCAGAGGTTTCATATTTATTCAGTACAATCTTTTTTCTTGATTTATGTTTGAGGAGGAGTTAAGCTTGATGCTCCTTGAGTTTTTCTTTCGAATTATTTTTATAAAAAATAAATGCATGTTTTGGGGGGTGTGACCCGTATTGACAGGCATATCACTATCATGCATCATGATTCATTTAATTGTTTTGAATATATGAAACCTGGTAAATTCAACATGCAAGCCCACCATTATATTGAAATTTCCATCTAAAATCCATGCCTGCAGAGTACAGCCATATTTTATTGTGAGAGACGGATGTCAAAAGGAAGTGGGCACATGGAGAAGATAATTATATAAGACTCTACCATTTATTATTGAGTTGGAGATCGAGAGAGAGAAAGTGGGCACATGGAGAGGGGAAGATGCTTGTCTTGTGTATCTGGTTAACAGTTTTCAAAAGTGAAGGAAACAGTATATAGAAAGCTACTGCACATGAACAAATGTTTCAAACATGATTTATAATCATTCCACACCAAATCCAAGATACATATTATTGGGTTTTCTGCTAATATTCACCCAAAGCCAGAAGGGTTAGCAAATACAATACACGATAATTATAAATTACAACTCAAAACTCCCAAAAGCAAAAGAGAGAAGAGAAGTATAGGTAAGGCAGAAATATGGATGGTGGGTCTACACAGACGCTCCTTCTATAACAACACAGCCTGTTAAAGGAAAGCAAACTGATCAAATAATTCAAGTGTGATCGATTCTCACATGGAATTTAAAAAGTAACTGACACACCACACATGCATTTGCTCCCATTTCCACATGCTCTCATCTGTCTCCTCCACCAAAACACTTATCCCAAACTCCCTTTTTTTCCTGTTCTTTTCTTTCTTTTTCCTATTTTCAACACACTCACACTACTCATTCAAAAGTATCAGACTGATTAAAACTTCTCATAAACTCAAACTAAAAGTCACAACCCCCCTTTAGTTTTTAATTTTCCCTATATATCCCATATGTTACACAAACCATTCAAAGTAAAACATATATATATATAGTTAGAAAAGGAATATATTAGATCAGTCTATAATTGATGATCATCAGTGGTTGGTTCTTGATTAGTAGCATTGCTTATGGGGCGGCGGCGAGCGGCTAATAAGGTGCATGGCAGGTGCCTGTGGCAGGTGATTAAGTGGTCGTTGGTTAGGCCGGCGGCTTGCATGAATGAATGGACCACTGTTGGACCCACGAACCTCAGACCTCTCCTAACCATGTCCTTACTTATGCTTTCTGATTTTGATGTCTTCACCGGAATTTTGTGGCCAAATTTGTACTGTGTGTTGATAGCCTTGTGGTTAACAAATCCCCATATGTATTTCTCTAATGATCCAAACTCCTTTTTAATCTGCACTCATCAAACAAACGTACATAAGAAAATAACCATGATCCAGCTATAGATATGTAATCAATGTTTTCATTATTTAAATTTATTTTGCAGTTGCTTTGTTGTTTGATGGTGCCTCACAGTTCACAGCCTATATATGCTGTGGGGTCATCCCTAGCTTTAAAACTAGAACAACTAACTAATTAGAATTAACTTGCTTGCCAACAACCTTTTCACCAAATCAAGTCTTTTGTGTCTTTTCTTAATGACATAAAATATGTAAATCTATTATATTTTGACCAACTGAAAAGTTGTTTTGCAGTTTGAAGTAGGAAAAATTAATTATATTTCGGGAGCTAGCAACTAGTTAGGCCATGAAAAGAAGGAACAAGGGCACTAAAAAGAATGATGTCTAGCTAATATAATACCTCAAGAATCCGGATAGCGTTGTCGACAACCCCTCTAACCCGGCTCATATCAATGGCATATTGTGTACTAATTGACATCATTTGTTTGTCAGTCAAGTTGGCCACTGTTTCTGCATCAAAACCTGAAAATGCATCCCTGTAAACAAAAAGAAAGAGATTATCATTTACTGTGTGTATAATTAGAGACAATAAATACACCTTCAAACAAATTAATATAATTAATGTCCAACCCGAAATCTTGTCGTCTCTTCAAGATTGAAGTCCAATCAGAGCCAACTTGAGCACCACTCAGCACAAGCAATTCAAACAACATACTGCATAAAAATTAGGGGAAAAAAAGAAGCCAAGTTTAGTCATAAGTAAACTACAAGTGATCATTATATGAAAGAGAAAGAAAGAGAGAGAGAGAGAGTCTTACTTATCATCATGGACTGGAACTCCCCATTCTTCATCATGGTAAGCCACATAGATGGGATCTGTAACATATGAAACAAAAATGACGTTTAACCTAACTTATTAAATGTTGCAACTTCAAAATTTAAAACTTGCAGGAGTAAATTAATGACATTTAAAATTTTTAATTATCAAATTTTCTCAAAGAGGGTACCTGAATTTGGAGTGATAAAGCTGCATCTCCTCTCTTCCTCAGTAGCTTTTGTTGCGGTGGTGCTGCTAGAATTATCAATAGGAACAATTTTGGCTTCAAATTTGGCAGACTTTGATCTTCCATAATGAGCAATTCTCATCTTACGTTGAGCATGTTGAAGAGCCATTTGTTCCCTCCTCACAGCAGCAATGCTTCCTGGTGACTCAACAATCAAAGAAGAAGAATAACTCAAGGAAGCCTCTATATTATTATTGCCAAGACCAAGACCACCTTCCTTAAAACTTTTAGACTTCTTTCTCTCTAAAGTCTTGATGGTGTTTCTAGGAATAACAACTTTTTCGGAGCTCGAATTCAGCCCATTGTTGTCACTACCAGCTCGCTTAATGGCTGGTGGCCTAGGTGACTTTGACTTGGGAGAAATAGGAGGAGTGAGAGAAGTCTTAGAAACAAAAGTTGGCAATGGTGGTGGGGGTGGAAGAGAAGAAGGTTTTGTTGATAATTTCTTCAACGAATTACGGCGTTCTAGGTTAGGAACACGGTTGCAGGTAGGTTGAAGAACCGGCCTGCCATTAATTTTAGCAACAGCCGGTGTGACTTCAATGCCAGTGGTGACTTTAGCCTTAGAACTACACATGTTGGTATGTTTTAGCTAGGAAAATGAAACAGTAGTATACTATATAAGATTGATTAATAATGAAAAGAAAAGAAATTGTACAAGCTAGCTTGAAGGGAAATGAAATGAAAGAGAGATGATGATGATGTGGTATTGAAGGAGGGGATGAAGGGGAAGAAGTGGGGTTATATTTATATATAAAAAGGGAAGGAGATGAGTGGGGACAGGTAAAAGAGAAAGAAGCAACATGGGGGGGTTGGGGTCTGCCATACAACCTCTTGTGAATGGCATTGCTTTTTGCTAACTAAACCACGAGGGCTGACCATGACACCCTTCTTACTTGGCCACTTGGCCTAAGTTTCTTCCAATAATATTTCTTAATTCTTATTATTCTATGTACAAGAATCAAGGAAGTTGATAGAGAGGATTCGTTTGTTGAGGTTATATACGTATATACATGATAAAATACGAACATCTACAATCAGTTGATTTGGATCATCATGTGATCTGAAATATCTCATGGGCGTAAAACATTTTTCCAGTAGTGTATAAATGTTAAACTAAGTAATACACTATTTATAAATATGATTTTACTCGGAATTAGAATTACTTGTGCGGCCCTACTTCCAAATATTATTGAGAAGATATATGTAAGAGTTTGAGCCCCAGGAACTGAGATGGAGTGGTGGATAAGGAAGGTAAAAATGCAAGAGAAAGACCAATGATTGAAGTATTCTTTTTAGCTGGAGGGGAATCTCTCGATTCTCTCTCTCTATCTCTCAAGAATTAATTCTTCTGGGTGCAAGGGAAAGGTAACATGGGAAAGCTAGGTATTTTATACATATAATCAACCACAAACTCAATACCTTTTGAGGTTAGACAAACACGTACCAAATACCCTTTAGAGGTTGAATTAATTTGAGAGTTTGATGGAAATTAATTTAAAACTAATCAAAGAGAGTTTATAATTCCATACAAGACCTTTTTTTAACATTAATTAATTATATGTTGATTCTTAATTAATTTATGCATATGCAAATTCTTAAAGTAGGAAATAGTATCTCAAATATGCTTTCCAGAAAATTTTGGCTGCATTAATATGATACCCACTTTCATTAATCAAATTTAATTTCTCTTAAACTATAGGTTCATTCAAATAACACATTAATTAAAACCATCCAAAAAGGGACCAAACCTTATCGAATAAATTAATTAATGTTCCAGTACCGTGAATTCGTGCATACATATATGCTATCCTTGGGCTCTTTGGTAGCTTGGAATGTTGATTGATGTCTATATTGTGTGGTAGCCTGTGAAGTCAGAAAAATTAACCCCACTGCGAGAGGGGGTTTCTACATTGACTTTTCAGAAGAATTGGAATGGGATGTGGACCCTTTGCTCAGCTTGTTGTTCAGATTATTCCAAAGGTCACAGGGGGTTCCGAAGACAGTATGAGAAAAATTAAAACCTTGCTTGCAAGTTAAACTAGCTCCGCAAGTAAGAAGCCAAGAGTATATAGAACTCTAGAGATACAATTTTTACCCTATACTATATATTCTGTCTTTTAATCTTCATGACCTTCAACCACAAGATTGGCAGAAAAAAATGATAATATGATGTTAATATATAAAGTAACTGTGTTGTTCTTGGACTATATGAAATTTAATTAATTAAAATGGTGTAATATTAATCCTAAACTGAAAGTAGGTTGAAAGTCATAATATGTAAAAGATAGTCAATTTTGTCTTCAAAAGCTTAAAACAGAGAAAGGTAACCAACATTACATGTGGGATAAGTATGATTAACCATAATTATGAAACTTAAATTAAGTAAGCTTATTACTAACAATGACAAGACCCAAAAAGAGGAAGATTAATTAATCTCACTCTTGTGTCTTTATTCCATTGTGTTTTGTGCATTCAATAGAAAGTGTATGCTGAATTTGGGTGAGTTTAGCTATTAATTAATTGAAAATTCATCAATGAATTTACTGTTCTTAAAAAAGATGGAGTTGATTCCATGGAATGGCGTACAAAAATATTCTAACCACACTTACTCAAAAAACTGAGACTGTTGTTCCTGAAAGCTGGCCCTTTTATTCTACAAAAGCATGCCACATGATAAAAAAGTTGCCAACACTACATGTGATCCAGAGCTAGCTGGTAATGGCATATATAAAAACTGTGCTTAAAGTAAAACCCTAGCTTTCATAATAACACCAGAGACTTGTATATCGAATCTCACCGTCCATCACATGATTAATTATTTAGATGATTGATGAATAACTTCTTCCCACGAACATTTGTTTTTGGTAAGTTTTGGCTACCATTTGAGACAACCCATGTGATATAACCCGACACTTCATACTTATAATCAATAATTATAACCAATGCTCGGACAAACACGGCAAAATAATGCCACCAAAATATATATATATATAACCTAATATAAATTATTACTATTATTTTCTCTCTCAAATTAAACACATGCTTTTCATTTCCTGGAGGCTTCTATTTTTTGTATTATATATTTTACAATGGTGCTTAATTAATTAAATTGATTCTTGATGAATGGTTTCTTGGGGTTGAAACTTACATCTCTGGAAGGCAGTTTCTGACACAGTCACTCGAAAATTCCAAAGCTTTCTTTCATTCATGGCAGAACTTTATTCATCAAGGGAATATCTATGTTAAGTTGTCCCACTCACTCTTACAATGAGGATGTGAACAAAAAGGACCTTAGCTTAACTAGTTTGCAATTCACAGGAACACGATACACCATCATAACATTCCCACCAAAAGCAAAGTACACCACTAGTGTTATATATATTTATTTGTACGTAAATATACAAATATCCACAATTTGAAAATACATAATTTGGATGTTCATATATGAGAAATGATGGGTGCGTTTGTTTTGTTATTTTGGATAGAATTTTGGGAATAATATTGGATAGTTGAATAGAGTGAGTATTATGAGGTAAAATTTAAAAATTCACAAAAAAACCGTCTAAGTTTGCTAATTTAACTAAACACCCTAATATATAAAATTTTTGTAAAATGACAAAAAACACCCCCACCCACCCATAGTGTCAGATTCTTGCGGCGGTGGTTGGAATCTGGCCAGAAAATGGCATTACAACGTAGACCGATCGAATCTGGTCGATCATGCGTTGATATGGCTTTTTTCGACCAGATCTGGCCTTTGACAGCCGCAAAAGGCCAGATTTGGCCGTCGTTGTTGGTCAACGATGGCCAAGATTTGACAGTTGTTGACCGTCAACGACAACCATTTCTTTGGCTGTCAGATCTGGCCTTTTCCGGCCAGATCAAATGTGGATCTGACCGGAAAAGGCTAGATCAGTGAATTACTGGCCATTTTCGGTCATTTCTACGCCATTGTGATAGATTTCATAACCACCGATGGTGGTAGCGAAAATCTGACAATTATGGGTGGGTGGGGGTGTTTTTGTTAATTTTTAAACTTTTTTTTCTATGGGGTGTTTAATAAAATTAATAAAATTAAGGGGTTAAAAAGTAATTAAAAAATAGAATGGTATTTCTCAAATAATAAAACAAACAAGTATTTTGAGAATAAGATTGGGAATATGGATAGGAATAATAAAACAAACGGAGCCGATATTATTGTAGGTCAAAGATGGGGCATTGCATTACTGATTGCTGAAATATTTTGGTGGGAAGGTGACATATAATAAATGAATGAATTAGAATAGAGGGATAAGGGTTAATGTAAAAGGAGTGTAGGTGGAAGAGAGATTATCTTGAAATAGAGATGCATGTTGGATTACTTGGATGAGGACATTAGGAGCACAAAGAGCCTTCTGTCTTATCATTGTCTCAGTACAAAGATTGAATCAAGAATGGTTCCATTAATTAAAATTGTGATTAATTGATTTTATCAAAACTTGGGCATCTTACTTGTTTGAATAGATTTTAACAATAAGATATGTGACAAAAAATAAGCGAAAGAATTGTACAGAAATTTATGTAAGATTTCTTTATATATGTAATATTGCTCTAAATTTAATTTAGCTAGTTGCTTGAGCTTGGGTTGTTAATTAACTAATTAATTTGTTTTAGGCACAACACAACTAACTTTTGAATATATCTTCGAGAGCGTTTGGTTAAGAGAATGTTTGATTATTATGAATATTGGATTACTAAAAAGTTAGATTACTTTGAAGATTATTGGGAATCTTTAGAAAAATATGTTTGATTAATTGGTGGGTATGTCATATTAATATGTTTGGTTGGGAGGATTAAATTGGTGGGTATGTTATTTAAATTATTGAATTGTCCTCTAATTAAATATTATTATTATATTATTTTTTAATATTGATTATTATTTGGATTATATAACCCCCTGCATTTAAAAACTTAGGAAAAACAATCACATAATAAAAGTTTAAAAAATCAACCAAGCACCCCCATCAACCCAGCCACTGCCGGCTACTGGCAACCACCACAGGTCGCCGGCAGCCTAACGGCGCACGAAAATGGCTCGACGTGATAGATCTGGCCGTCGATTTGGCAATCAACGGCCATATCGGCACACATGACCATTTTTGACCTTCTGTGCACCGTTCCGACGGCGACTGGCCGAGTTGGTGGTTGTCAGCAGTAGGCGGCGATAGGTGGGTGGGGGTGGTGGCTTGGGTGGGTTGCAATTTGTTTTGAACATAAGGGTAATTTTATTCAAAAAGTTAATTAATTGGGGGGAAATAGTAAAAACTATATTCATGTAAATAAATTTAAAAATAAGGGCATTATTGTCCTAAAATTTTATTAATAAGAGATAAAATTATGACAAAAAAAGATAACCCTAATAATCTTATAATACCTAAGATTACCTTCAATATTATCAACAATAACTATTATTGATATTTGAAAATTACCGATATCTTATATTATTTGACAACCAAATATGGTAATCAAGTAATATAAGATAATTTAATCCACGTAATCCCACGTAATCCCCAACCAAACGCACTTCAAGTCATAATTTTGGTTCACATTTTGAAGGGTTTTGATCTATTGATTCGTCAATTTTTTGGGTTATTGTTCCCTCTTGGGCATATTAATTAATTAATTTTTCTTTCTCAGATAAATCTATGTTTTGTTCTACAGTCTTCGGATCCAAGTCCATATAGCTGATTACTAATAATTTTCCACAACTTTAGGGTCGCATTTGACTATGAAGACAATTAATTTCCAGGTTCTCCCAGAGACTTCTCTCACGTTGACTTTACCCTGATAAGCACAGTGAAATGGATATTAAACATGTAAATTAACATGCTTATTCTAGATGCTCTATCCAACTCCAGAAATTTCAAGAACTTATTATTCTCTTCCATGCATCTGATTTAAATACCATTTTCTTACCATCCAAACATAGCATTAATTCAACTGAAAACATTCGCTATAACTCTCTTCCAATTCCCTTTAACAAAAATGGCCTTGCTTCCCTCACTCATGAATCAACAAAGCATCTTCAATCCTTTTCGAGGTTTAATTTTCTCAGAAAATGTGGAAACCCAAATGGACTGGAAAGAAACTCCACATGCCCACATCTTCGAATTTGATCTTCCTGGCCTTACAAGAGAAGACGTCAAACTGGAAGTTCATGAAGGTAGGGTTTTGCATATAAGTGCTGAGAGAAAAGAAGAGCCTGAAGAGAAAGGCGACAAGTGGCACTGCAAGGAGAGGACAAGTGGTAGCTTCATGAGGCAGTTTCGTTTGCCTGAAAATGCTAAAGTTGATGAGATTAAAGCCTCAATGCGTGATGGGGTACTCATTGTGAATGTGCCTAAAGATGAAAGGAAGAAGAAGAGTAAGCACAAGTCATCAGTTGAAATTTCTGGGGAAGAAGGTCATCCCCCTAAAGGACTTGGCCGTTTTGTCTGCTGCAAAGCTTGAGGAAATCAGTTCATGTTATGTGTGTTCTATGAACAATTATTCACATTTGTGAATTGTGATGGTGTGATGTGATCTTTTTTGTATCTGGGTTTGTTTGATTTTCTGTTTGTTACTGGTGTTATTGTAAATATACATTAAAAAGGAAAAAGAAGTTGTTCAATACAAGAATAGCATTGTTAATCTGTGTAATAGCTGGATCGACTATGGAATTAATGAAGAATTAACACCAACAGTTCATTATCTGTCACAAAATGCCGACTTTACTCTTGAGAAATATGCTCTGTTATGCAGAATCTTAATGTTTCATAATTGAATATGATACGCATAAATTTCATTCTCTGGCCTAAACAATATTCCATTAGTTCTAATATGATGATATCCCCTCTTTGTTATATGCTAACTTAAGTGGTTTTTAGGTCAACTTCGATTGATTCCTTTAAGCATGGATCTGTTCTGTACTAATAAACATTCAATAAGTTTTAAACTTTATAAATTAACAATATTTATAGCACATAATTTTGACACTAGAACCTCTAATGCTCCTGCCTCAGATAATTTTGTTAACAAATGTAACATAAATTGAGAATTAATTAACTATTATTTGACTTAATTATAAGTAGATCTAACAACTTTTACATGTCTGCATGTCTTTCTTTCTGCTCTGATCTAAGAGTGCCTCTCACGTAGTTTTATCTTGGAATTATTTTTTATGAAGAAGTCTACTAGAACTTGTATATAATTATATTTAATTAGTTAAACGAACTACAATTTATATATAAGAAGACAGCCAGTAATCTTCAAAAAAGCTTCATGCTTCCTGCTCTAGCTTGCCAATGAAAATGAATCCTATTTCTCTCTTTGTTCTGATACTTCTTGTTCAATTGCAGCTCTCCGTAGTTGTGTTGGGTAATAATGTGCCTCCAAAACCTGCAACTAATAAGGCTAAGAGAGCACCAAAGACGTCACCTCCAGAAGCCAACTTGTCCTCCGATTATTATCAAGCAACATGTCCAAACCTTGAAGCCATCATCCATCGAAAAGTTCAAGCTTGGGTTAACAGAGATAAGACTTTGGCCCCTAGCCTCATTCGCTTGCATTTCCACGACTGTGTTGTCAGGGTAATTAGAATTATTATTTCATAATCATATATTATACTTCAATCTTTTCATTATAAACTTAATTCAATATATTATTGTTGCAGGGCTGTGATGCTTCGATTCTGCTAAACTATAGAGGCAGCGAGAGGAGAACCAAGGCCAGCAAGACTCTAAGAGGTTACAAAGTGATCAATGATATCAAATCAGAAGTTGAGAGACAGTGCCCCAAAACTGTTTCATGTGCAGACATTCTCACAGCAGTCGCTAGAGATGCCACGCTTCTAGCTGGAGGTCCATTCTGGGAAGTCCCATTTGGACGAAAAGATGGAAGAATCTCCATAAATAGAGAAGCCAATCGTCTGGTTCCTCAAGGAAATGAAAACATCACAACTTTGATTAATCTGTTCGAAAGCAAAGGATTAAACATCCTTGACTTGGTTGTACTCTCGGGCTCTCACACCATTGGTAGAAGCTCTTGCTCTCCAATCCACTCTAGGCTCTACAACTTCAATGGAACTCAAGGAGCTTCTGACCCTTCACTTGACAGAAAATATTTAAGAATTCTGAAACAAAAATGTGGACCATCCAGCTATTATAATACTCTAGTTGATCTTGATGCCACAACGCCAAGGACTTTTGACATAAAGTACTACGAGAATTTGCAGAAGAAGATGGGATTGTTATCGACTGATCAATCTTTGTATTCAGATGAAAGAAGTTCAAGTTTTGTTGATACATTGGTTTCTCAGCCATCACTTTTCTCTATTCAATTTGCAGCATCAATGGTGAAACTTGGAAATGTGGGAGTCTTGACTCGACCCCATGAAGGTGAAATTCGACTCCATTGCGATTATGTCAATCCTTAATTATTGAGGATTCTAAGGGGGCTATTTGACTTTTGGTGAGTTTTGATTGTATTTAAAATAATTAATAATAATACTATTGTATTTTTATTATTTAATTTATTTACGTAAGGCCAAGTCAAGACTTGTTGTATTACCAAATTAAATGAAGTTAAAATTAATATAATCTTTATTACTATATTAAATTAAATCAATTACATCAAAATTATAACTGACCCTACGCGCTAAAACCGAATCCACGGTTACTAGTTTTTATTTCTTTGATGCATAATTTTATAAACTCCTAAACTTTGGTTTAATATCAATTTCAGCCTTATAGTTATAAACGAATATTTAACCCTAATCCATTAGTTATCGCTTATTGAATAAGACTGATTTTCGATCATTTTATAGAATAAAATTTCAAGCACTCGTTAAATATTAGGCCAGGTACTCGTTTATAACGTTAAATTAATATAGGTATTTGGTTACCAAAACTAGATGTCGTTTCACTCCTTGATTAATAATCCTATCAAATACAAGATATTTTGGTCATTTCCATCAATTTTAATTTGCTTTAGAATAAAATGTTCAAATAGGTGATTTATTGGTAGCATGAACTATTTCTCAGCCATATATTACCATATATACGACGTCGTATTGAATTTACACAAAAGTTAAGGGAGGTAATTGAGATTAGCCCAATTTCTTTATTTAATACTAAGTGCTGACAAATCATAAAGCGACAACTTTCCGTTCTTTTTCGATTTAACCTTTTAAACGATCAGTCTTTCATCTCTGATTCTGAATATCCACCACAAACAGACTCTGGTGAGTTCAAAAATGACGAAGAAAGCCGTGTTGATCGGATGCAATTATCCCGGCACCAAAGCCGAATTGAAAGGATGCATTAACGACGTTAAGAGAATGCACGCATGTCTGATCAACCGTTACGGTTTTTCGGAGGATAACATTACGGTGTTGATCGACACCGACGATCGCTACCCTCAGCCAACTGGCAAGAATATACGCAGAGCTTTGAACGATCTGGTGCGATCGGCTGAGCCAGGAGATATGCTGTTTGTTCATTACAGTGGACACGGTACTCGGCTTCCTGCTGAGACTGGAGAGGACGATGATACTGGTTATGATGAGTGCATTGTTCCATGTGATATGAATCTTATTACTGGTATTCGATTTTGAATTTTCGTATCGGAGTTCTTGATTTTTTTGATTTAATTAATTTTAGTTTGATTTATGTTAGATGATGTGGCTAGGGGTTAGAAGTAGTTTGATTTTAATGAAGTTTTGATTGGATCAGCTAAATCATATATTAAGCATTAGAGAATGGCGTCAAACTGTGAAAATAAACTCTTGGAGATGATAAGATGTGGAATTTCTTATTTTTTTGCCGCATAATTCATCTCGTTTCTTGTGACTTTTTTATATTAATAATTTTATTCATTTAGATATAATAGTTTGTATGTTAGTATTATTTTAGAAACAATAGGTTTTACAGGATGATCGATGGTCATTTTTGAAATCATAAAGGATAGGCTTAGAGTTTTAATTGTGTTTGACCCTTTGAAGTTCATTCGTTTATTGAGTTTGTTATTGGTGTTGACAAGGGGTAAGTTTAAATTTTTGGAGACTTGTTTGTTAATCTCTGAAAGCTTTTTGTAGATGATTTCTCAATTGATGTTATATTTTGACTTTAATTAAAACTTGAGCATTTTTTTTGTGGACAGATGATGATTTTAGGGATTTTGTGGACAAAATCCCAGAAGGTTGCCGTGTAACGATTGTATCTGATTCTTGCCACAGTGGTGGCCTCATTGATGATGCTAAGGAGCAGATAGGGGAGAGCACAAGGCGTGAAGAGGAAGAATCGGATTCTGGTTTCGACTTAAAAGGCTTCTTGCACCAGAAAGTGCAAGGCGCAATTGAATCTAGAGGAATTCACGTTCCTTCTGGGCTGCGCCATCACCACCGTGGACGTAAAGAAGAAGATGTTGAGAGAGATGTTGAATCAGAATATGGTGAGCGAGGGTATGTGAAGAATAAATCCCTACCCCTCTCCACTCTTATAGAAATACTTAAGCAGAAAACTGGTAAAGATGATATTGATGTTGGGAAGCTGAGGCCAACGCTTTTTGATATGTTTGGTGAAGATTCAAGTCCGAAAGTGAAGAAATTCATGAATGTAATTTTTAACAAACTTCAAGAAGGTGGTGGTGAAAGCAGTGGTGGTGGGTTCTTGGGCATGGTTGGTAATCTTGCTCAAGAATTTATGAAACATAAGCTGGAAGAGAACGAAGAGGGATATGCAAAACCTGCCTTGGAGACCAAAGTGGATAGCAAGCAGGAGGCTTATGCTGGACATGGTCAGCGTTCACTTCCTGATGGTGGGATTCTAATCAGTGGGTGTCAGACTGACCAAACTTCTGCGGATGCCAGCCCTTCTGGCAATGCTGACGAAGCTTATGGAGCTCTTAGCAATGCAATTCAGACCATAATTGAGGAGACGGGTGGTGAAATTAGTAATCAAGAGCTTGTTTTAAGGGCTAGGAAGATATTGAAGAGGCAGGGTTTCACTCAGCGCCCTGGCCTCTATTGCTCAGACCATCATGTTGATAAGCCGTTTGTGTGCTAATCCGATTACAGATATGGAGTATGAACATAAATATGCTTTGATTCGAGATAAATAAGTTGAAGAATTTGCAGGTGTGTGATTTATTGCTTCTTTTTGGAACAATGAAAAATTTTAGAGACGATGTGTGTTTTTCGTTTAATGAATCATATTTGTGGACAAGTTTTATGAGTTGAGTTATTAAATTTGATTTTTGAGAGAGTAATTTAGAGCAAAAATTAGATTTCTATTGCAGCTATAACTTGAACAAACATCAGCATGAGTTATACAAGGACACGTTCAAGTAAAGAACTACAGCCTATATAGTACCCTCCTATTATTTGTCATTGGCCTTGGGTAACACTATTATGTTATAATAATATACAAAAATTATATGCCAAAAAAAATGGAGCGACGGCAAAAAATCAATATGAATCAGACTGCACAATTCCCTTCCATGGTGCACTCACTAAATAACTTCCTCTTTGTTCTTTCCGTAAAAAGGCTGGTGCTGGTTTTCTGGGTATGTTCCGGCACTTATATAGGTTTTGTTACATTAATCACCAGTCAAAACATAAATACAATGCTCCACATGCATATGCACATCTCAATCATCGAGATCTTGAACCCATGCCAAATCTGTTCAAGTCACAAATGCGTTAGTTTTAGATTTAGAGCAGTTTTAGGCTATGAAAACTCTAAATCTGTCCATGCAAAAGACCAAAGATTATCATCGTGTGCCTGAAAGGGAGAGAAAGAGAGAGAGGTGAGACCTTGTAGCACAGTTCCAACTGCTGCATTGGGGACAAAAAGCCCAACGATTCGCTTACTATCTGTGGTGGTTTCCACTCGCACGACCCGGAGCCGCTTATGACTTTGGCGGGCCTGTCGAGATCAGTTTCAGGTTTCAGCTCTTGACAATAATAACCTATTTAGTAATTCATTCTCTCTTTCTAATGTTATGATATTTTTACATATCCGGTATGAATACTTGTATTCCTGCTGGCAATTTTACATTAAAAGACAATTTTTTTTTTTTCAGATTCTTTTACGAGAAAATTGATTAAGATTTTGTCTTTTAATGCAAAACTAACATCAGAAATGGAGATCGTGATTTAAAAGTAGATATTAAGGCATCTACACCTAAAAATTTCCATGTACATATATATTAATGCTCACAACTAGGGAACAAATAATTATCAATCTTTTGGCAAAATATGTGAAGGTCTTGAAATAGAACTAGTGATCGTGTGAAAAGCATCAGAAATATGTAGACTTGTTACCTGCTTAGAAAGGGCTTTCTCGATAGTGCCCCAAACAGGAAGAATAAGGCCACCCAAAACATTAACTTCTTGAATTCTTCTGCCAACTGTACAGAAGTTGCCAAGCTTACAGTTGGGCCCGTGCATGCACTGCAGGAAAGCACAACTTGTTATCCATTTCTAATCAATTATTTATTTTCATCTTCACTTTAGGAATCGTTCTATTTTCACATGTTCCAACGAGCTATTGTGGCACAACCAATCAACACATTCAGAAACTATATCAACGAATAATCATACCAAAAAGAAACCACTGAAACTTTTCATCCTATGCTGATAAATATGTCCGAATTTAGAATGCATACCTGTTTGGATGAAACTTCGTATTCATCTTCCCAACCACTACAAGCCTTCTCTAAAGAGGTCATTTTTCTGTACTTGTTTTTTAATTCTGACAGAGTCATTTCCCTGTAGGAAGGAAAATCAGAATTGTGAACACAAGATTTTAGCCGTAAAAGTTGAGGAGGACACTAAATTATTAATTTTGATACCTTACTGATTCCCCAACAGCAGGACGGACTATTTTAAACATTCCAGAAGCTGAAGCACTGGAACAAAATAGAAAATAAAAGGAGTAAGTCCAGCGGAAGGAATATGCACAAATACTCAGAAAATGAACTACATTAAAAAGAAATATTACATTTCATTCACAAGCACACAATTTGCATTCATACTAAAAAATTTAAATATTTAGACCTACTCCAAACATTATTTCCACAAATTTTGTTGAGTTATTATTCAAAATCTAATCATCACCATAATTAGGCCTATTCTGCTCCTTATTTTCACTAATGAGAGGAGATAACATTTTGATTAAATCTATTGAAGTACAAAAAATAATGTAATACTAAGGATGATAAAAGAAAAATACAATAGAATACCTCTCAAATGCTAAAATGAAGTGACGCCTCCCCAACCATTCTCTTTTAGATTCATAGAAACCATCATTTGGCGAACCAAGCCCATCCTTCTGTTTCTCTTCAAGCATGGCACTTGCAGACTAACACAGATAAATGAATTACAAATTTAAGCAGGTACTACAATACCATTAATCCAGTCAAGTACAATAAGATAAAAGATACCTCCCACGTGATTCCACGATCTAGAGTAAAAGTAAAGAGCATTGTTGATGCCCCAGACATGTTATCAACATGAACAGTCTGTAAGAAATGAAAATTAGTACAATTAAATATGTAAAGCAAGTAAGAGATCCGGCAAAAGACTTAACCTTGGGAGTTCCTTGTAATTCAACAATGTTAGCCTTCATATCAACAATCCCAGAATCAAGATTCCCTTCTATGCGTGCATTCTGAACAAGAAGATCCAAGATGCCGATGAACAATTCAAACAGCCTGTATGAAGATAATAGTGATTAGGATATTAAAGTTCCAATCGCAACAAGCACATTGACTTTTGAATGACAAATAGCAGACCTATTTTGAATCTCAGGTGGCAATCCTAAAAGCCGGTTTAGAAAACGTCCAACATCATGCATGTCTGAATCAACTATACGACCAGATATCTTTCCATTACCTGCATCATATATAGGACTGTGAATGTTGGAATCATTGTATAATGACTAAATGAATTTTCACTATGACAGAATTTTTAGAATTCAAATTATATTATAATTTACAGAAATAAAATTGCATAATAAGTTTGCATGACTTCAAGGGCAAGAAGAGGAAAATAAATAAGGAAATTTTGATATTTTCATCCACCCAATTGTAGTGAAAGAATATTGATGAGAAATTACCAAGAACTGTATCCCTAACTATTCCAACAGCCACAAGAGCAGCTTTTGCCTTCGTCAGAAATTCTTCAATGGTTTCTGGTTTTTCAGATGAACATCCAGGTGGTACAACTGGCAGATGATCCTGAAAATTGAACCTTAGTTACTTCCCCACAATATCTAGCTTGTTTTCTTACTTCCATTTTGTTCTTCTTAGTATACAAACATGAAGTGCAGTAATATAACATTATCAGAAGAAGATTATGAAAACCTGCTCCATTATTCCTTTATACATCACCGTCAAGGCCTTCTTCCCAAAAGCACTATCATAATTGTAAGCACTCAAGGAGGGTCCAGCCCTGCAAAGCATCCAAAATGAGAATGAGACACCATCAACAGAAGATAAACTGTTCAAGCATAAACTAAACAGTCCTGAAAGGAAAAAATAGAAAAAATCCAACAGACCTGCGGTCTCCCTGAGTTAAGGCTCCAAGAGATTCCAATCTCTTGGCTACAATGGATGCAAACCGACGCTCTCCACCAAGATTAGTAAAGATTAGCCTACAAAATATACAAAAGAAATTCAGATTCTGGTTTCAAAAATCAGCAGCCTAATAAAGCTCAGCCAATGTATATCTTTGAGGTATCCAAATATCAACATGTACCACAATACATCATGTTCAAAGAAACAGACCAGTGTAGTCAGTGTCATTTCACTCATATCCCATCATTCCTTCACTGGTTTTGAAGAAGAAAATCAGATACTGGTCCAACAAATTTAGCAGCCCAATAAAGCTCTACAGACTACAAATGTCTATTTTTCTGGTATATATCAACATGTACCGCAATATAACATGATTAAAGTAACTGATCAATAAGGCCAGTGTTATTTCATGTTTCCCATGAGACAATCACATCCCATTCATTCAGCAAGACAAAGAAGAAACAATATACCATATTTAATTTATAATCAGCTCCACCCAAATCAACCATACTTTATCCAAAATATGATGGCTTCTATTAAAAAAACCCCACCTTCCCATTATTAACTCACAAGTCATAGCCTAAATTTTAACATTTTACGCACAGCCTTGTGTCCACTGTACTAGACAAAGTTCCACTCACTGTTCTAATGCACATGACAGATAAGGAACAACAGTCTTAGTGCATTCTTTATCCAGCTAACATACCAATTAAATGGGCAAAGAGCAACCAAATTCTAATTTTCCTCCAACTTATCAAACTCATCCAACCTTTGTAATTCCCTAATACTTTCCACCAGTCCACTGCAACCATTAAATTACAAATAATGAATAAACTGTAAGTTCTTAAATTAATTGTTTTGATGTTCACCCATGCCAACAACCTCATCCTTGAACGTATTTCCTAGACTCCCTGTCATTCTTTATAATGAAGCCTTTAGGCCTGATAGTCATCTATAGTTTTATGATACAGGAGTCAATCACATACAGGAACTAATTGCTTCAATTTAACAGGTAATTCTCATATATGATCAATGAACTTCATTCATCCTGCTTTAACTTGAACTACAATTAATAGTGCTCTACCTGAAAATCAACAAAAAGCCACCTATTCTTGTATAGTTGTTATATAATTCTGTTAAAAATCCAATAACTTGTATCATTTTCTAATTCATAAATGGATGAGCCAAAGCCCTTTCAGGAGGTGGGATCACGAGTACTCATTCTGTTCTACAAAACTGGGGGGCAGAAAATAAAGAGTCACATTCAATGTACAAGACAAATTAACAATAACAAACTACTGTAGCTAAATAGAACATCTAATTTGCCACCCCTATATTAAAAAACCACCAATCTATAGGATGGAAGATTATATAACAAAAGTCCACCTATATTCGGGTGCTGAAGCTTGATTTGATCGGTGAGTTCTTCCAAACTGTTGTATAGCTCTGTCAGCACTCCAAGGAAGTTCCAATGTTATATGAACCCTTCTTTTCTGTAATGAAAAGAGTCAAAATAAGAAAACAAAACAACTTGAGAAGAAACTGCTGCAGTGATGTATCTTGAAAGCCCACTGTAGATGAATTAATTTTTCACAGAGCAGAAACAAGTCGGAGGCATCCAACCAGAGAAACTTTCAAGCAACAGTGCCATACAGACAAGAAATCTTCCAAATAGTGAGACATACCTGATTTTCTGCCCTTCTGTCAGCTTGTAAAGAAACACCAGCTGATCCAGCTTCAGATATGATTGCAACCAACTTCTTCCCGTCCATAAAGAGCTGCTTCTCATGCATGTTGACCATTTCCATGGTGACATCCTTTCTAGAATGATAACAAACAGAAATTCAGCTACCATGCAATAAGAGCAATCAGTGAAAGAAAAAACAAAGTTTTCAAACTCACGTGTTTCGTGCCTGATAAGTTACACCTTTTCCACTAGAGGCCCTTACAAGCATGCCTCGTCTCCCTGTCATTTCTGCAACCCTATCAGGACCCCCAAGCTACAGCAACATTACATGTACGGTCAAAAAGGATAAAAACATTACAATTAAAAACAAATTTAATAACCATAAATAAAATAAATTTCAGTTTATGAGTTTTTTTTTCTTTTTCTTTTTTTCTTTTTGGCAACAAAGGAAAGGACAAGCTTAGAGATGATACGAAACATATATAAATTTATAGATTTTTCCCCTGGGATAGGACCTGTTACACCACTGGATTATACAAAAAAAGTCTAGAATGCTTTTGGGATACTATTATAACTCTTTCGAGGGTTTCTTTTTAGTTTTTTATTATAAACAATTCTTAAAGCTTAAATCAGGGATGTGGCCTGTACCTGATCAATAATATCATCCAAAGGATTATTGGGAAGATCCAACGAACGAATTATATCCAAAACTTGTGACTTACGTTCCAAAGCCTCTTCATACCTAAATTTATAGAACAATAACTGACATTTAAACAATGAAATAACTGTGAAAAACCTGCCACCACCAGATCCTGGACAACCAATTTATAACAGTAAAGAGTAATATTAGAAGTTCATAAAAAAATCAAGAACAACTTTAATTATATAAAAACCTCTTCAACATTTGTGTCTGATAAATATGTTGTTCTTTAAGATATTCATCTGTTTTTTTCTTGCAAGAATGGCATGACCAATCACTGGGTACTAAATCCGGGACAGGTGGGACTAAACATCCAGAATGGACCAGTTGACCACAGCATGAGCATTGGAGCAATTTCTTCCTTTCCTGCAGTTGAGAATACAACGTATGATAAAATACTGAAGACACCTAAAACAACTAAACGAGCAATTTCTTCCTTTCCAGCAATGGAAAATACAATATATAATAACATATTGCAACACTAAACTATCTAAACAAGTGAAAATTATGACCTCCTCTCCGCTGCATATCTCACAGATCTGAAACTCATCATCAGATTCAGTAGATTCATGCACAGAATCAGCTGCAATTATCAAATATAAAATTAAAATAAGAAAGTAAATATTTCAGCATTTCCGTAGTTTGAAAAGAAAACATTTAGTAAAACAAAAACTTTAAGCAGTACTGTTGGTATTGTATGATCAATAAATTTGACTACAGCAAAGGTGCATTAGATATATATATTTAAAAACTGACATGGAAAATGACTTCCAAAAGAAGTTCCCACCAAACCAAAATCAAACAATAGCACTGAATTGGTCAGATGTTAATGAATATGAAAAATCTTCAGACTCCAATAAATCAAAATCTGAAGAAAACATTATATTTTGCAAAGCCATATACTATGAAAGAGAAAGTATACGGTCCATTGGCAAGTACACCAATTAGTAACTGTCCAGTTTCAATAACTCACAGTCAGATTCTTCATCACTTTCACCATCACTTGCAGGTTTCCATTTTGCAGCTTTCCTAACTCTCCCTTTTAATGAAACACCAGGAGATGCTGAATGCCGCTTTCGTTGAAGTTCCTTTACACTGTCCTCTCCTGTAACAAATTTATAAATTGACTGCAAGTTATAGCAACAATGACTTAAATAACTCAGTACACAAAAATCCATACCTGTGAGGGGTTCTGGCTTCTCAGGCAAAGGGTAGTTTTCTTCCACAAATTTCAGCAACAGCTCCCGAGGCCCCGAAATAAAATCATCAAGTTCAACACCCTATTCCAAACAAGGAGACAAGTAGCAATCAAATGACAAAAAAACAACAAAAACTGCATAGAATTAGATGGGAAATGGATATGCATTAGATATGGAAAGATACACACATATTTTGTCACGGCTTCTTCAGTCCTAGCCTCTCCAGTACTCTGAAGGCCCACGACCACACACTTATCTTCAGCTAATGCTTTCTTAGCTAGTCTCACAGTAGCAGGTACCTTAGCTGACATGCACATGTGTCTAAAGAAACGCTACAACAGCATATGGAGATACAAATAGCACAAAATGAATGGCTATGTAAATTACAAGAAATTTTAAAAAATGCCCACAAAAGATAGTAAAAAGATGAGAGGACAACCCAGCCTATTATTACCTGATGACTTGACCAGTACAATCTCCACAACTGACTATAATTAGCTCTATCTTCTTCTTTAAGAAAAGCAATTGCTGACAGCAATTCCACTCGCAAATCTGCCCAAAATTCTGCTGCTTTTTTATACATTTCCTAAGACAAAAGTCATCTGATATTAGGAAATTTAACGGATCCCAAAAGAGAATAAAAGAAGCAAGGGTGTGTTGACATTTATGTCTCTCCTTTAAAAAATTTAAATGTGGTTTTCTCATTACAGGAAACAATGCAACTAAATCTCTCAGAAACAGAAAGCTTCAAAAGCACTATCATAATGTAAGCACTCAAGGAGGGTCCAGCCCTGCAAAGCATCCAAAATGAGAATGAGACACCATCAACAGAAGATAAACGTTCAAGCATAAACTAAACAGTCCTGAAAGGAAAAAATAGAAAAAATCCAACAGACCTGCGGTCTCCCTGAGTTAAGGCTCCAAGAGATTCCAATTCTTGGCTACAATGGATGCAAACCGACGCTTCCACCAAGATTAGTAAAGAAGCCTACAAAATATACAAAGAAATTCAGATTCTGGTTTCAAAAATCAGCAGCCTAATAAAGCTCGCCATGTATATCTTTGAGGTATCCAAATATCAACATGTACCACAATACATCATGTTCAAAGAAACAGACCAATGTAGTCATTGTCATTCACTCATATCCCATCATTCCTTCACTGGTTTTGAAGAAGAAAATCAGATACTGGTCCAACAAATTTAGCAGCCAATAAAGCTCTACAGACTACAAAAGTCTCTTTTCTGGTATATATCAACATGTACCGCAATATAACATGATTAAAGTAACTGATAATAAGGCCAGTGGTTATTTCATGTTTCCCATGAGAAAATCACATCCCATTCATTCATCAGCAAGACAAAGAAGAAACAATATAACTATTAATTTATCATCAGCTCCACTCAAATCAACCATATTTATCCAAAATATGATGGCTTCTATTAAAAAAACCCTACCTTCCCATTATAACTCACAAGTCATAGCCTAAATTTTACATTTACGCACAGCCTTGTGTCCACTGTACTAGACAAAGTTGCACTCACTGTTCTAATGCACATGACAGATAAGGAACAACAGTCTTAGTGCATTCTTTATCCAGCTAACATACCAATTAAATGGGCAAAGAGCAACCAAATTTAATTTCTCCAACTTATCAAACTCATCCAACCTTTGTAATTCCTAATACTTTCCACCAGTCCACTGCACCATTAAATTACAAATAATGATAAACTATAAGTTCTTAAATTACTTGTTTTGATGTTCACCCATGCCAACAACCTCATCCTGGACGTATTTCCTAGACTCCCTGTCATTCTTTATAATGAAGCCTTTAGGCCTGATAGTCATCTATAGTTTTATGATACAGGAGTCAATCACATACGGAACTAATTGCTTCAATTTAACAGGTAATTCTCATATATGATCAATGAACTTCATTCATCCTGCTTTAACTTGAACTACACAAAATAGTGCTCTACCTAAACATCAACAAAAAGCCCCCTATTTGTATAGTTGCTATAGAATTCTGTTAAAAATCCAATAACTTGTTCATTTTCTAATCATAAATGGATGAGCCAAAGCCCTTTCAGGAGGTGGGATCACGGTACTCATTCTGTTCTACAAACTGGGGGGCGAAAATAAAGAGTCACATTCAATGTACAAGACAAATTAACAATAACAAACTACTGTAGCTAAATAAGAACATCTAATTTGCCACCCCTATATTAAAAAACCACCAATCTATAGGATGGAAGATTATATAACAAAAGTTCCACTGTATTGGGTGCTGAAGCTTGATTTGATCGGTGAGTTCTTCCAAACTGTTGTATAGCTCTGTCAGCACCAAGGAAGTTCCAATGTTATATGAACCTTCTTTTCGTAATGAAAAGAGTCAAAATAAAGAAACAAAACAACTTGAGAAGAAACTGCTGCAGTGATGTATCTTGAAAGCCCACTGTAGATGAATTAATTTTTCACAGAGCAGAAACAAGTCGGAGGCATCCAACCAGAGAAACTTTCAAGCAACAGTGCCATGCAGACAAGAAATCTTCCAAATAGTGGACATACCTGATTTTCTGCTTCTGTCAGCTTGTAAAGAAACACCAGCTGATCCAGCTTCAGATATGATTGCAACCAACTTCTTCCCGTCCATAAAGAGCTGTTCTCATGCATGTTGACCATTTCCATGGGACATCCTTTCTAGAATGATAACAAACAGAAATTCAGCTACCAGTATGACTTTGGCGGGCCTGTCGAGATCAGTTTCAGGTTTCAGCTCTTGACAATAATAACCTATTTAGTAATTCATTCTCTCTTTCTAATGTTATGATATTTTTACATATCCGGTATGAATACTTGTATTCCTGCTGGCAATTTTACATTAAAAGACAATTTTTTTTTTTTTTTTTTTCAGATTCTTTTACGAGAAAATTGATTAAGATTTTGTCTTTTAATGCAAAACTAACATCAGAAATGGAGATCGTGATTTAAAAGTAGATATTAAGGCATCCACACCTAAAAATTTCCATGTAAATTTATATTAATGCTCACAACTAGGGAACAAAAATTATCAATCTTTTGGCAAAATATGTGAAGGTCTTGAAATAGAACTAGTGATCGTGTGTAAAGCATCAGAAATATGTAGACTTGTTACCTGCTTAGAAAGGGCTTTCTCGATAGTGCCCCAAACAGGAAGAATAAGGCCACCCAAAACATTAACTTCTTGAATTCTTCTGCCAACTGTACAGAAGTTGCCAAGCTTACAGTTGGGCCCGTGCATGCACTGCAGGAAAGCACAACTTGTTATCCATTTCTAATCAATTATTTATTTTCATCTTCACTTTAGGCATCGTTCTATTTTCACATGTTCCAACGAGCTATTGTGGCACAACCAATCAACACATTCAGAAACTATATCAACGAATAATCATACCAAAAAGAAACCACTGAAACTTTTCATCCTATGCTGATAAATATGTCCGAATTTAGAATGCATACCTGTTTGGATGAAACTTCGTATTCATCTTCCCAACCACTACAAGCCTTCTCTAAAGAGGTCATTTTTCTGTACTTGTTTTTTAATTCTGACAGAGTCATTTCCCTGTAGGAAGGAAAATCAGAATTGTGAACACAAGATTTTAGCCGTAAAAGTTGAGGAGGACACTAAATTATTAATTTTGATACCTTACTGATTCCCCAACAGCAGGACGGACTATTTTAAACATTCCAGAAGCTGAAGCACTGGAACAAAATAGAAAATAAAAGGAGTAAGTCCAGCGGAAGGAATATGCACAAATACTCAGAAAATGAACTACATTAAAAAGAAATATTACATTTCATTCACAAGCACACAATTTGCATTCATACTAAAAAATTTAAATATTTAGACCTACTCCAAACATTATTTCCACAAATTTTGTTGAGTTATTATTCAAAATCTAATCATCACCATAATTAGGCCTATTCTGCTCCTTATTTTCACTAATGAGAGGAGATAACATTTTGATTAAATCTATTGAAGTACAAAAAATAATGTAATACTAGATAAAAGAAAAATACAATAGAATACCTCTCAAATGCTAAAATGAAGTGACGCCTCCCCAACCATTCTCTTTTAGATTCATAGAAACCATCATTTGGCGAACCAAGCCCATCCTTCTGTTTCTCTTCAAGCATGGCACTTGCAGACTAACACAGATAAATGAATTACAAATTTAAGCAGGTACTACAATACCATTAATCCAGTCAAGTACAATAAGATAAAAGATACCTCCCACGTGATTCCACGATCTAGAGTAAAAGTAAAGAGCATTGTTGATGCCCCAGACATGTTATCAACATGAACAGTCTGTAAGAAATAAAAATTAGTACAATTAAATATGTAAAGCCAGTAAGAGATCTGGCAAAAGACTTAACCTTGGGAGTTCCTTGTAATTCAACAATGTTAGCCTTCATATCAACAATCCCAGAATCAAGACTCCCTTCTATGCGTGCATTCTGAACAAGAAGATCCAAGATGCTGATGAACAATTCAAACAGCCTGTACGAAGATAATAGTGATTAGGATATTGAAGTTCCAATTGCAACAAGCACATTAACTTTTGAATGACAAATAGCAGACCTATTTTGAATCTCAGGTGGCAATCCTAAGAGCCGGTTTAGAAAACGTCCAACATCATGCATGTCTGAATCAACTATACGACCAGATATTTTTCCATTACCTGCATCATATATAGGACTATGAATGTTGTAATCATTGTATAATGACTAAATGAATTTTCACTATGACAGAGTTTTTAGAATTCAAATTATATTATAATTTACAGAAATAAAATTGCATAATAAGTTTGCATGACTTCAAGGGCAAGAAGAGGAAAATAAATAAGAAAATTTTGATATTTTCATCCACCCAATTGCAGTGAAAGAATATTGATGAGAAATTACCAAGAACTGTATCCCTAACTATTCCAACAGCCACAAGAGCAGCTTTTGCCTTCGTCAGAAATTCTTCAATGGTTTCTGGTTTTTCAGATGAACATCCAGGTGGTACAACTGGCAGATGATCCTGAAAATTGAACCTTAGTTACTTCCCCACAATATCTAGCTTGTTTTCTTACTTCCATTTTGTTCTTCTTAGTATACAAACATGAAGTGCAGTAATATAACATTATCAGAAGAAGATTATGAAAACCTGCTCCATTATTCCTTTATACATCACCGTCAAGGCCTTCTTCCCAAAAGCACTATCATAATTGTAAGCACTCAAGGAGGGTCCAGCCCTGCAAAGCATCCAAAATGAGAATGAGACACCATCAACAGAAGATAAACTGTTCAAGCATAAACTAAACAGTCCTGAAAGGAAAAAATAGAAAAAATCCAACAGACCTGCGGTCTCCCTGAGTTAAGGCTCCAAGAGATTCCAATCTCTTGGCTACAATGGATGCAAACCGACGCTCTCCACCAAGATTAGTAAAGATTAGCCTACAAAATATACAAAAGAAATTCAGATTCTGGTTTCAAAAATCAGCAGCCTAATAAAGCTCTGCCATTGTATATCTTTGAGGTATCCAAATATCAACATGTACCACAATACATCATGTTCAAAGAAACAGACCAATGTAGTCATTGTCATTTCACTCATATCCCATCATTCCTTCACTGGTTTTGAAGAAGAAAATCAGATACTGGTCCAACAAATTTAGCAGCCCAATAAAGCTCTACAGACTACAAATGTCTATTTTTCTGGTATATATCAACATGTACCGCAATATAACATGATTAAAGTAACTGATCAATAAGGCCAGTGTTATTTCATGTTTCCCATGAGACAATCACATCCCATTCATTCAGCAAGACAAAGAAGAAACAATATACCATATTTAATTTATAATCAGCTCCACCCAAATCAACCATACTTTATCCAAAATATGATGGCTTCTATTAAAAAAACCCCACCTTCCCATTATTAACTCACAAGTCATAGCCTAAATTTTAACATTTTACGCACAGCCTTGTGTCCACTGTACTAGACAAAGTTCCACTCACTGTTCTAATGCACATGACAGATAAGGAACAACAGTCTTAGTGCATTCTTTATCCAGCTAACATACCAATTAAATGGGCAAAGAGCAACCAAATTCTAATTTTCCTCCAACTTATCAAACTCATCCAACCTTTGTAATTCCCTAATACTTTCCACCAGTCCACTGCAACCATTAAATTACAAATAATGAATAAACTGTAAGTTCTTAAATTAATTGTTTTGATGTTCACCCATGCCAACAACCTCATCCTTGAACGTATTTCCTAGACTCCCTGTCATTCTTTATAATGAAGCCTTTAGGCCTGATAGTCATCTATAGTTTTATGATACAGGAGTCAATCACATACAGGAACTAATTGCTTCAATTTAACAGGTAATTCTCATATATGATCAATGAACTTCATTCATCCTGCTTTAACTTGAACTACAATTAATAGTGCTCTACCTGAAAATCAACAAAAAGCCACCTATTCTTGTATAGTTGTTATATAATTCTGTTAAAAATCCAATAACTTGTATCATTTTCTAATTCATAAATGGATGAGCCAAAGCCCTTTCAGGAGGTGGGATCACGAGTACTCATTCTGTTCTACAAAACTGGGGGGCAGAAAATAAAGAGTCACATTCAATGTACAAGACAAATTAACAATAACAAACTACTGTAGCTAAATAGAACATCTAATTTGCCACCCCTATATTAAAAAACCACCAATCTATAGGATGGAAGATTATATAACAAAAGTCCACCTATATTCGGGTGCTGAAGCTTGATTTGATCGGTGAGTTCTTCCAAACTGTTGTATAGCTCTGTCAGCACTCCAAGGAAGTTCCAATGTTATATGAACCCTTCTTTTCTGTAATGAAAAGAGTCAAAATAAGAAAACAAAACAACTTGAGAAGAAACTGCTGCAGTGATGTATCTTGAAAGCCCACTGTAGATGAATTAATTTTTCACAGAGCAGAAACAAGTCGGAGGCATCCAACCAGAGAAACTTTCAAGCAACAGTGCCATACAGACAAGAAATCTTCCAAATAGTGAGACATACCTGATTTTCTGCCCTTCTGTCAGCTTGTAAAGAAACACCAGCTGATCCAGCTTCAGATATGATTGCAACCAACTTCTTCCCGTCCATAAAGAGCTGCTTCTCATGCATGTTGACCATTTCCATGGTGACATCCTTTCTAGAATGATAACAAACAGAAATTCAGCTACCATGCAATAAGAGCAATCAGTGAAAGAAAAAACAAAGTTTTCAAACTCACGTGTTTCGTGCCTGATAAGTTACACCTTTTCCACTAGAGGCCCTTACAAGCATGCCTCGTCTCCCTGTCATTTCTGCAACCCTATCAGGACCCCCAAGCTACAGCAACATTACATGTACGGTCAAAAAGGATAAAAACATTACAATTAAAAACAAATTTAATAACCATAAATAAAATAAATTTCAGTTTATGAGTTTTTTTTTCTTTTTCTTTTTTTCTTTTTGGCAACAAAGGAAAGGACAAGCTTAGAGATGATACGAAACATATATAAATTTATAGATTTTTCCCCTGGGATAGGACCTGTTACACCACTGGATTATACAAAAAAAGTCTAGAATGCTTTTGGGATACTATTATAACTCTTTCGAGGGTTTCTTTTTAGTTTTTTATTATAAACAATTCTTAAAGCTTAAATCAGGGATGTGGCCTGTACCTGATCAATAATATCATCCAAAGGATTATTGGGAAGATCCAACGAACGAATTATATCCAAAACTTGTGACTTACGTTCCAAAGCCTCTTCATACCTAAATTTATAGAACAATAACTGACATTTAAACAATGAAATAACTGTGAAAAACCTGCCACCACCAGATCCTGGACAACCAATTTATAACAGTAAAGAGTAATATTAGAAGTTCATAAAAAAATCAAGAACAACTTTAATTATATAAAAACCTCTTCAACATTTGTGTCTGATAAATATGTTGTTCTTTAAGATATTCATCTGTTTTTTTCTTGCAAGAATGGCATGACCAATCACTGGGTACTAAATCCGGGACAGGTGGGACTAAACATCCAGAATGGACCAGTTGACCACAGCATGAGCATTGGAGCAATTTCTTCCTTTCCTGCAGTTGAGAATACAACGTATGATAAAATACTGAAGACACCTAAAACAACTAAACGAGCAATTTCTTCCTTTCCAGCAATGGAAAATACAATATATAATAACATATTGCAACACTAAACTATCTAAACAAGTGAAAATTATGACCTCCTCTCCGCTGCATATCTCACAGATCTGAAACTCATCATCAGATTCAGTAGATTCATGCACAGAATCAGCTGCAATTATCAAATATAAAATTAAAATAAGAAAGTAAATATTTCAGCATTTCCGTAGTTTGAAAAGAAAACATTTAGTAAAACAAAAACTTTAAGCAGTACTGTTGGTATTGTATGATCAATAAATTTGACTACAGCAAAGGTGCATTAGATATATATATTTAAAAACTGACATGGAAAATGACTTCCAAAAGAAGTTCCCACCAAACCAAAATCAAACAATAGCACTGAATTGGTCAGATGTTAATGAATATGAAAAATCTTCAGACTCCAATAAATCAAAATCTGAAGAAAACATTATATTTTGCAAAGCCATATACTATGAAAGAGAAAGTATACGGTCCATTGGCAAGTACACCAATTAGTAACTGTCCAGTTTCAATAACTCACAGTCAGATTCTTCATCACTTTCACCATCACTTGCAGGTTTCCATTTTGCAGCTTTCCTAACTCTCCCTTTTAATGAAACACCAGGAGATGCTGAATGCCGCTTTCGTTGAAGTTCCTTTACACTGTCCTCTCCTGTAACAAATTTATAAATTGACTGCAAGTTATAGCAACAATGACTTAAATAACTCAGTACACAAAAATCCATACCTGTGAGGGGTTCTGGCTTCTCAGGCAAAGGGTAGTTTTCTTCCACAAATTTCAGCAACAGCTCCCGAGGCCCCGAAATAAAATCATCAAGTTCAACACCCTATTCCAAACAAGGAGACAAGTAGCAATCAAATGACAAAAAAACAACAAAAACTGCATAGAATTAGATGGGAAATGGATATGCATTAGATATGGAAAGATACACACATATTTTGTCACGGCTTCTTCAGTCCTAGCCTCTCCAGTACTCTGAAGGCCCACGACCACACACTTATCTTCAGCTAATGCTTTCTTAGCTAGTCTCACAGTAGCAGGTACCTTAGCTGACATGCACATGTGTCTAAAGAAACGCTACAACAGCATATGGAGATACAAATAGCACAAAATGAATGGCTATGTAAATTACAAGAAATTTTAAAAAATGCCCACAAAAGATAGTAAAAAGATGAGAGGACAACCCAGCCTATTATTACCTGATGACTTGACCAGTACAATCTCCACAACTGACTATAATTAGCTCTATCTTCTTCTTTAAGAAAAGCAATTGCTGACAGCAATTCCACTCGCAAATCTGCCCAAAATTCTGCTGCTTTTTTATACATTTCCTAAGACAAAAGTCATCTGATATTAGGAAATTTAACGGATCCCAAAAGAGAATAAAAGAAGCAAGGGTGTGTTGACATTTATGTCTCTCCTTTAAAAAATTTAAATGTGGTTTTCTCATTACAGGAAACAATGCAACTAAATCTCTCAGAAACAGAAAGTAGTTATGAAATAAGTGATGAATAAGTTGAACCATTTATGCAACTACATATAATAAAAAAAATCAGAATTATTGAGAGAGAGAGACAGAGAGAGAGAGAGAGAGAGAGAGAGAGATTTATGAAAAATTAAAAAATTAAAAAAGGAATAATTTAATATTCATAATAATGGTAGATGTATAACTGACTGTATCTTAATAAATACCTCTTCTGAAGGTTTTGAAATAAGCGATGAATAAGTTGAACCATTTATTTATTTATTTTTGGTGCTATAAATAAGAAAGTAGATGAATTGCTCCATACCATCATTTCTGCTTCCAAAGGTGCCTCAATAACCTCAAACTCCGCCCCTTTGTAGCTAAGAGTACGACACACATACATTCCCCTGATTGTGGAAAAAGGAATAAACTAAGATAGTACAGTCACAAATAAATCTACTGCAGAAAGTTATTCTAAACTTTAGAACCTAGCTTTCATGTCCATGGCAACAAGTTCTAGCGCTCCAACACCGCCTTTATCAAGAGCACCTGCACACAATAACTTTTAACAATTCAATATGACTCATGAGATGTGAAAAGTGTAAGAGAAATTTTTGCATCCAAGAGGATAGGGAAAGAAATTTGATCAACTAATTTCATAATATTGATTTATCTTGTATAAAGTTGGATCTTAAAACCATAGAATATCATAATGATTAATTGAGCTATTTATTGTAATATAAATAAACTCTTATAACAACTGTATGCCTCACTAAGACATGGATGTACCATAGGTTCAGCTTTTTGACTTCTTAAAGATAAGAGTATTATCCAATTCTCTAAGAAACACACCATTTCAGTTAATCAAGTACAATAATAGTATTTATTAATTCATTGATTGATCGAACAACTTATTGAAATATCAATGAACCAAACATACTTCAACAACTGCATGTCATGCTAACATGTTTCTATTAAAACATGTACTACAGATAAATTAAAGAAACAATTTTTGCAAAAATGAGACTAGAAAGAAAAAACAGGAACTGGTTATAGGAAAGAAAATTCACACCTAGAAACTTCTGGAAATCATCAAAACATGTTCCAGCTCCCCAAAGACCAAGCCTGACCATATAACCCATATTGCGTGGCTCAGACGCACCAGTTGCTGAGCAATAAACAACACGTGCTTCAGGAAGTCGGGCCTGTTATAGTAAAATTAATATTAGAAGTTCAGGTGACCTGGTTAAATCATCCTCTCATTTTTCCCACAGCATATTGTTCTTAAGATGATAAGCTTTTGTGAAAAATAATGCACAGATCTGATTTGCATCATCAAGGCATGATTAAGTAACTGTGGGCATATATAATCAGCTTTTGTGTGTGCACGGACACACAGATATACATAGAGAGAGAAAGAGACAGATAGACAGACAGACAGAGAAGCTTCTGCAATATCTATCAAAAGGTTGGAGCATGCAGAGGTCAGTTCAGGAAACAAACCTGAATATCAAGAACTGCTTCCCCTGTGCGTGTTGGCTGACTTCCAGCTTCTGGTACCAAATTTTTAGCTTTGTGGCACTACAATTAAGCCATTGACCCTTAGCAACAAAAAGATAGAAGAACATATTGAAACCATAGAGCACCCATTGCATCAGTCAAACACAAAAACTTCTAGAAGCTTACACTATATCAAAATCAAAATAGATAACACTTCCAAATTAAACGAAGTCCAGTACCTCATCAAATATGACAAGGCCATCATATCCTGCTCCACACCACTGCACAAGCTGCTGCAGACGAGAGCGACCTTTCTCAGAAGATGCAATGAGGCTACTATATGTCAAAAACACAACTCCTTCCTTGATCCCAAGAGACCTTGAATCAAGCTTAGAATAAGGCAACTTATTCAAAGCATGCACTGCATACAAAAAACTAACATTTTTTATTGTTCTCATTGCAGGGAACTCATAAATTGGATAAACTGTAGCAATCATAAGATTACTTATGCAGACTGCACAAATTTGTTGCTAGTCTATGCACATTTCTTTACTTTTATCCTTTCTTTTTTCAACTTTACCCTGTGATAGCCTCTCCAAGTACTGATCACATTGCCGCTCAAAGTGAAATACCAACAAACTACACCCCCATCAAACCATATCACTGAGTTCCCAACTAGACAAGAGGTAACTAGATGTGCAATATAAATTCAGCAAATTACAATAGCGTAAAATGATAGTAAAAACCCAACAATAATATTTCAGCTCTAACCCGCAAAGCAACCAAAAAAAAAGTTAAAATAATCTCCCTCACATTTCATATTGAACTTCCAAACAACCAACATTTCCTCCCAAAACAGAACTATGAAACACATCCAGAAATTTGTACTTGGAGGAAGTAGAATTCAGCAGAATTGCAAGACGAAACTCAGAATGATGCATAACTAAGTCATGCCTCTATCCTCTCTAGCCTGAACCCAAAGATTTAGGTACTTCATTAGAAAAAGCACAACCTTTAAGTTTCAATCTTGATAATTGTTCATACGTTCAGAAATTCCCCAAATATTGAGATATCTAAAAGAAAGAAAATATATATAGTTTTATAAGGAAGAAGCAAATTTAACAAATAGGGTAGAATTGCAAGCAAGGGGGCCAGCAGTCCGTGAAATAACAGCAAGAGGGTCAATAGGATAAATCATCTGACAATGGCCTTGCAAAATTAACTAAATTTTTTTTATTCTTTATGTGATGTCAATATTCATTTGTTTTCTTTCTGTAAAAGAAATGAATACTTTCACCACGTTAAAGAAAAAATAAAGTGACTTAAGGATCTACCTTTAATGCATGTAGCACCGACATCGTCCAAATCTCTTCTAGCATCAAACTTTAAGTCTGAACCAACTGAAATCCACCTGTAAGGTCACAAGAAAAAGGAGAAAGCATTACAACACATAAGTTAAACTATCTAATAAATTTTCTTTCTTTATTTATTTTTTTCTAATTGAAAACATAATTTTTTTCTATAAAGTGATCTGCACACAGAGATCGCAACCTAAAACTTACAATGCTTTCCTCCTCCCATGGTGCCAATTCTCCCATATTAACCCTGCAACGGTTCGACCTTTACCCACCCCGGCTCCATCTCCAACAAAGAAACCTGCCCTAACACCATCTGGAAGGTGCTGAAGGTGTCTCTGTCATGTAAATCAACATTATCTTACAAGTTGAAGAAGCAGACTCGGAATTATCAAGCATAAGTTGTGTTTTATAAAGAAACCTGACAAGCATAGACCAATGTCTCAATCTGCAAGCATGACAAAGCCTTTGAACTTTCCAAATCGTCCTTGATTTGTAAATCATAAGTGGGCTCTGGCGGCTGTACCGCAGATAAGGAGGATGTCTCTACTATAGGATCAGGATGAGGCGGTCCAATAGATAGTTTTGGTGGGCGCTGAACACAAAGAACAACATCAACTTTATGTGAAATACTGGTTCTATAGTTTTGGAGGGCACTGAACACAAAGAACAACATTTATTTTATCTGAAATACTGGTTCTGAAAATCTTCAACCGTGAAATAAAGAAACTATAAGTTAATGAACAAGAAAGAAAAGGCTAAAGTAGATTTCTAATCCTGAAGTCTTCAAACATAATAGAGTTCCATTGCTGTCTTTTCAAGTGAATTTAAAGCGACACCATTGTTGTCTTTTCCTACTGACTGAGCAGACGCTACATGTTTTGAATCTTGCCTCTCTTTCCTCTGCTCTATATTAAATAATCTTTTATGTTCCCCATTTACAGAGAAAAAATAATAATAAAGGGTTCTCAAAGACAACAAACTTACATAATCAGTAAATGTTTCTCCCACCATGCCACCTCCATCTTCTTCTCGCTCCACTTCAATGGCTACCTGACATGTTTCCGTGTCATCAGACAAGAAAGAAGAAAATGACCAACAATAACATGGAGCATAGCAGTGCTAGAGAAAAAATCTCTATTCAGGGAGTTCAGCACAGAAGGCATTATTATTTAATATAAAAGTTGAATTTAACGGGAGATATGGTTACAACTATAATGAATAGAAAACTTATCAATGGCTGCAGCACAAGCATATGGTCAAGAATGGAAATCATCCACCAGAATAATCCATTTCTCAAGCAGGCAGAAGGTTACTTGTCTCTTTAGACCAAACAAAATCAGATTCCCATACATGCATCATCGGCACTACCAAACCGTTTTCATCAGTAAAATCTTTTATACAAAACGCCATGTGCGTAAAACAAAATTCTTTTAATGGTTTTCTAAAAATAGCTCTAAGTGTGGACCCCAAAAAGATTATTTAACAAGAGAAACTGACCTGTAATACAAACTTTATGGTGCAATAAACAACTATAATATCTACCCAAAATTTGATGAACCCCGCTTATGAGTCTAGAGTATAGCTCATAAGTAATCGGATTATACCAGAATGAAGTTAAGTCACAATCAATGCTACACAGATGTAAATATTCCTCGTAAAGCATTATTCCTAAACAAGATACAACATTACAAGATAGTAGCAACAGTATATGTATCCAACAAATGTACATTTTCGGACACAAACAAACAGGCATATTAAAAAAAAAAAGTACAAGAAGAAGACGATCTCAACTGATCAGAAGTTCCTAAAGTGTCGTCCACATTTCAATTTAACATAGTTGCTACTCAAAACAGCTAGCGACAAATTTCGAAACAGCTAGCAACAAATTCTCACATACCAGCAACTGGGCAGCTCCATCACTACCAATCCCCAAATAACCCTAGACCTTGTCACATCAGCCTAAACCTCCAAACTCCAAGGTACCACTACTATAAGTCAGTAACTAAATATCCCGGACCAGAAGAGGACTCCTCTTCTGCTTATTCGAACATTATACGAGTTTATAGGAGAATAAGAAACAACACTGTCTATAAAGTCTTCCGGAATAACTAATACACAGAATTACTGATGAGTAATTAGGTAAGTTCGTCTCATAAGTAAATTTTCCTATCAGCAACATCTGATCAAACTATTATATTTACTAACGCATAATTAACACAATTATGTAGCAGTACTAGTAGACACAGACCCAAAAAAAAAAAAAAAAGAAAGCTAGGTTTGGTAAATTAGACAATATAAAAGCAAACTTAAGAAGAGAAATGAGAAACCTCGTTGACTTCCTCAGGGGGCGGCGGCGGCAGAGGACGCGGCGGAGGAGGAGGAGGAGCAAAGAACTGTTTGACTTTGGACATATCGATGGCCAACTCCACCGCACATTGCGGACACGAGAACCGAACAAGTCCATGTGGCACGTTGAGAATCGCCTTACAATTAGCACAAGGTAACTGTATCTTCGTCGGATCGATGCCGTGAGCCGGCACGTGCGACAAGGCCTTTACATTAACATTCTGCAGGTGAGTGCTGGGAGAGGGAACCATAACGCCTCTAGTAGAAGAAGTATTAGTAGTAGTTGTAGTAGGAGGAGCAGGAAGAAGAAGAGGAGGAGGTGAAGCGGTGATGGTCATGAGCTCCGGCGGAAGCATTTGCGGAAGCTGACACGTAGGAGTAGGACAAATGAATTCGGTTACACCTGGCCCCACCGTTAAGATCATACGACATCCGGCGCAACGCACCTGTACACCTCCGCCGTTTGGTGGAAGCACCGGAGGTTGAGTCATAATAATTATTAATTAGAGATTAATATTCGTTTAATTTTGAATTATTATGTGATTAATTTTGGCTGGGAGAAATTCAAAATTTTTTTTGGTTTTGGTGGTGTTTGTGTTTTTGTGTGTTGCTAATGCTATGCTGCTAAATACTGTGGCGTTTGAGATGCATCGTTTCGTTTTGTTTGGCTCATCTAAATGCTTCCTACTTTAGAGCTTAGAATGACTGAGCACGTGTGTACCACGAGATATTAACCCATTCAATTATCGGCCCACTATTACTACTACAAAGTTTTGGGCCCACCATGTTAATGGCCCACTTAAAAGCCCATGAAGCTTTCATCTGCCCATTACATTACTACATTAGGCCCAATTTTTAGGTAGGACTCAAGCAAGTGATTTTGAGCCAAATCACTCTCGACTTAAAAATTTTTTTTTTTTGACAAATTTAACTTTAATTTAAATTACTAAAAATAGCATTATAAATTCTAAATACACTCATACTCTATTTTGTATTTTTTTTTTACTTTTAGCATTTAATCTAACATAAACCATAACCCTAAATTTTAATAACCTGATCCTAATTTTTTATAATCATTGGAATCTTATATTTGTTTGTTTGATGAAAATATAATATTAAAATTATAAAAAACATAACCAGATGAATTTGAATTTGAAGAATAGAAAGAAAAAAAATTTGAAATTTAAAAATTTGGGGAAAAAGGTGTAAAGAGAAAACTTAAATAAGTTTGATTTTTTAAAAAAATACTATAACAGAAAAAGCCTAATTTAGTTTGACATTGGGGAAAATAAACCTAAAATTAGGAGTGGAAAAAAAAACCCGAAACCGGTTCGAAAATTCGGTTTTTTTTTCGGTTTTGGTTTGCCACATTTTGTAAACCGAATATTCGGTTTGGTTTTGGTTTTTCGAAATAACAAAAACAGTTAACCAAACCGGATTTTTAAACCGGTTTAATGAATAAAAAAATAATTTCATATTTTTCAATTTTTAAAAAATTTATCCCTAGGTCTTCACTAATATAATTTTAAATTATTAATACTTGATGTACATTAAAATTATGTGAATTCAAATTATTCAATTACAATAAATATAACTTTAATTCAAGTTAAAAAAAAACCTGGAAAAAAAAATGGGCCAAAATAGAGGGTTTGACTGAATTAGGCTGAACAAATGCAGGCCATTATAATTAACCGGTTAACTGAACCGAATTTTCGGTTCGGTTTTTAACCGGTTTATAGTCAAAGCCAGACCAGTTTCGATTCAATTTTTTTTTTAAACTAAAAACCGGTTCGGTTCAACATACCGATTAATCGGTTTTTTCCACCCCTACCTAAAATACCATCTTCATGAATTTCTTTTCCGTTAAATTTAGAAAAAATCTAAAATACCATAAGCCCTATCACATCATATCTATAACACCTTCATGAATTTATGACCTTTTTTATTTTATTTTTTCTCCATTTATTTTTATATTAAATGTGATTGGTGACTAGAAAATGTATTAATTACTTGTTGGATGCCTACATTAACTTGTGATACCAAAAGAGTCATACAACGATGACACTGTATACTATTAGAACACATATATGATTCCATAATAACGTTATGGTCCCATTTATTGATGAATAGTGTATTTTTAAACCAAAATAAACATGTCCTTGTTACTCATACTTTGATTGAAACATTATTTAATTGAAATTGTTAGAGATCACGCATAACATATATTCGAGATTAATAACATAGGAATAAAATTAAACCATACAAAGAGACACGATATTTATGGTTCCGTTTGGTTCATGTTTTTTGCATTTTTTAGAAAAGTTTTTTAAAAAAAGTTAAAAAAAGTTGAATTAGGCGAGTATTATGATATAGGATTTGGAAATTAATAAAAATACCCTTATATTTGTTTATTTACTAAACACCCCTATAATAAAACTTTAAAAGTTAACAAAAATACCCCCAACCCACCCATTGAATAATCACAGCCGGCCACCACTGCCGGAATCTGGTATAATGTGGGTTTAGGGGTGTTTTTGCAATTTAGAAAAAAAATATTTAGGGGTATTTAATTAAATTAACAAATTTAGGGGGTTCAAAAAAATTGAATAATATTGAATACAATTCTCTTAGTTTTTACAATTTTACTGTTTAACTTTTTTGGGAATACTAATAATAGTATTCCCAAAAACGAAACAAACGGAGCCTATGTGGTTTGACATAATCCGCCTATATCCATATATGAGAGAAATCCACTATAATTTCATCAACACGCTATATAATAATATACAACATCATAAACTCAATACGCAAACCCAATCCTAATACATAATTAACATAAATAGCAAACACTCTACCAATCCAATGGTGTTTAATAACGTTTACATCAAATATTATGTGTTATCACATGATCATATTCTCTCATAATATTGAATTGAATGTCATCCTTATATTTATAGATAGGATATGAGACATTCCATTTCTAATCGGATATATAAAACAAATAAAAAAATGAGTAGGTTATTGGATTGACCTGATTGGGCCCTTAAATTTATTTAAACTTTTATCTATATTTTTTACTGATCGAATAGTTTTATAGAGACTCTTGATTATTGAGTTTATTACTTAAGAGATTCCGAGTTAAAAATGTAGAATAATCGGTTTACTTGAGAAACACGCATTCAATCCACAACCAGTACTGTTCTTCTCTTCTATGGCACGGAGAAGGGGAACATATCACATCCAAAACTCAGCACTTTTTCCCCCTTCTTAGAAGTATCGTCGTAACTTCATTGGTTTATGGGGCATCATTTTTTCAACCAGTCAATGCCTCACTCTCTTTTCCATATATTTAACTTCTTTAGTTATTTGTTAAATATTTGGAATAGGAGTTCATCATTCACTCATGCATTCATTTCCACATTCAATCCCCACTTAACGACGTTCGAATCTTTTGTGCTTTAGAACATTCCAGACCTTTTGATTTCATCAGCTACCCAAATTCCAATAATCTTGGAAAAAAGCAAGTGAGGCTCTCTAGTCTCTACTATGGAGTCGTTTACACCTGATCAATGCAAGTCAATCAGTGAAGACTTTGACGAATCTTACAAACATACTGTTGTAGTTACATTAACAACTTCGTAGGAAAGGACTCTTATTAGTCAGTAAGATGTTGAAACGTGTCAGTCAGATGGGAGTTTGAGACCCCGTGGGACCCAAATGTCATATCCANCATCCTTATATTTATAGATAGGATATGAGACATTCCATTTCTAATCGGATATATAAAACAAATAAAAAAATGAGTAGGTTATTGGATTGACCCGATTGGGCCCTTAAATTTATTTAAACTTTTATCTATATTTTTTACTGATCGAATAGTTTTATAGAGACTCTTGATTATTGAGTTTATTACTTAAGAGATTCCGAGTTAAAAATGTAGAATAATCGGTTTACTTGAGAAACACGCATTCAATCCACAACCAGTACTGTTCTTCTCTTCTATGGCACGGAGAAGGGGAACATATCACATCCAAAACTGATCACTTTTTCCCCCTTCTTAGAAGTATCGTCGTAACTTCATTGGTTTATGGGGCATCATTTTTTCAACCAGTCAATGCCTCACTCTCTTTTCCATATATTTAACTTCTTTAGTTATTTGTTAAATATTTGGAATAGGAGTTCATCATTCACTCATGCATTCATTTCCACATTCAATCCCCACTTAACGACGTTCGAATCTTTTGTGCTTTAGAACATTCCAGACCTTTTGATTTCATCAGCTACCCAAATTCCAATAATCTTGGAAAAAAGCAAGTGAGGCTCTCTAGTCTCTACTATGGAGTCGTTTACACCTGATCAATGCAAGTCAATCAGTGAAGACTTTGACGAATCTTACAAACATACTGTTGTAGTTACATTAACAACTTCGTAGGAAAGGACTCTTATTAGTCAGTAAGATGTTGAAACGTGTCAGTCAGATGGGAGTTTGAGACCCCGTGGGACCCAAATGTCATATCCAATATGCCCATGTCAGCAAAAGCGTGTCATCCAAAAGAAAATTTTCCTTCTACTTTCAGTTTCGGGTCACTCTTGTAAGAGAAGGAAATATATATGCCTTTAGTTAGTAATAGTGTTACTCTTTTGTTCTATATATATAACTTACTTGATCACTATTTGATTCTCACAGAGCAAGAGCGTGTTCATTGATTATTGATATTTCTGCAAGCACTTGTAAGTAAATCTCTTCTTAAATTCTATCTCTTTCTTTGCTTTACAGATAATTACTTTGTGGAATGTATGAGCTAGTTTATATGTTGCAGTGAATTTGATGCCTTTTTTTGTGATTAAGTGTTCTTCTGAGTCTTGTTTATTTCTCTACCTTGTTATATCAGTATGTTAGTTCCTTTTTGTATGGGTGGTGATAGATGAATTGCTTTGGAAAACTGGTTATATGAAACTTGAGAAAGGTTTTATCATGTTGTTTTAGATAAAACCTACAGACAAGAAATAATATTCTTTTTTCTACACCTTAATTAGCTCAAATTGACAAGGTTTTTAAGAGGTAGTTTATACATAAATGTGGAAATGAAGTGGATGACATGTAGTTCCTAGGACTTTGATGGCTTATAAGAAAGTAACTACTAGGATATGGCTTCAAAAAGTTCATTTTGGGTTCAACATTGTTCATGTGTAATAGATATGCCTAGAATAACTTTGTTAAAGTTGCTGACTTTTGTTTTGGATATGGAACTGCAGTTGAAATTGTTTCGACGAAATGGCTAAGACAATCAAGTTGTTTGGGTTTGATTCAATTAAGCCTACAAACGCAGTGAAGGAATTTGTGGAGGGATATACGGGTGAAGGAACAGTCTGTGACGTAGTAGAAGTTGGGCAAAAAGAAGGTTCAAGGGCATATGCCATAGTTGAATTCACAACCGTGGAAGCCGCAGAGTTGATCGTGCGCGGGGCTACTGAAAAACTTATATGGGATGGGGATTCATATCTGAAAGCTTGTTATTTGGACGGTGATAGCATATCACCAAAGGCGAGAACTCCTCAGCACAGGATTGACAATGCAAGGTTGAACTTTGGCTGCCAGATTTCAAAGGAGACGTTTTCTGTGCTCTGGTCACAGGAAAATGTTTCTGTGAAATTTGACTCCGATAGCAGAAATTTTACCTTCTTTCTATCATACGATTCTGAGGAGTATAAGCTCGAGGTTTCTTACGAGACAATTTGGCAGATTGAGCTAAAACGCCCACTCGATCAATCTGTGAAGTTTCTTGTCATCCAGGTTTGCTAACTAAAACTTATGATTATGATTATTTGTTTAGCATCTGATAAAATATGAATAAAGCTACCTTAATGTCCACCATGTTTGCACACATAAACCTTTGTGAGACTTCCTGAACATGGCTTTCTTCTAAAATAACTCTACTTATTTTCTGATAGTTACTTTAATTAAATTTCATCTGGTACACTTAATGTAAAATTTTGTTGCGTCATGTCTCTGTTTTCTTTGCTTCTTTTGGATGTTTTACGTCAAACTTGTTTTCTTCAAATTAGCGATGTCTTTCTTTTATTTAATAAATTAATTTCTTTGTCTTTTTTTTTAATAGCTATATGGAGCTCCTCTTATTTATAAGAGAGATATCCACTGGGAACGGACAATTGATTTTACTCCATCCTTCAGCATTGGAAAATCATCTGGTATGTGTTTGAAGCTTCCAGGCAGGGGCCATGTTCCAAAAGTTCTGAAAGATTTCTTTTTCTACAAGGAAAGTCCAGGGAACTTGAGTCTAGAGAAAGATTCTACTTTCTCCTGCAATTCTGATCTTGTCCCAATTGTAAGTCCACCTCAAGGTATTGACTTGCCATTTAGGATCTTGTTCAAAATTAATTCCTTGATTCAGCACGGTTGTATTCCGGGGCCAGCACTTGACGTCAAGTTCTTTCGCTTCGTTGATCCAAGCAGAATAGATATAGCACTCATAGAGCATGCTTTGGAGAAGCTGTTTTATCTAAGAGAATGCTGCTATGACCCTGTAAGTTGGCTCAAAGTTCAATACAGAAACTACTTAAAGTCTAAGCCAGTTCTTGGATCGCCTACCATTGCCTTGGATGATGGGTTAGTATATGTGCACAAGGTTTTGGTAACCCCCACCAAAATATACTTTTGTGGTCCAGAAGTCAGTCTCTCCAATCGTGTCTTACGCAGTTATCCTGATGACATTGATAATTTTCTTCGAGTTTCTTTCGTTGATGAGGATATGGGTAAATTGTTTTCAACAGTTTTATCTCCTAGGACATCAGAAGAAAGGCGTACAGGAATATATCAAAGGATAATGTCAATTCTCCGAAATGGCATAGTCATAGGAGACAAGAAGTTTGAAACCCTTGCTTTCTCAAATAGTCAAGTAAGAGAGAATACTTTATGGATGTTTGCATCTAGACCTGGGCTTACTGCAGCAGATATTAGAGAGAGCTTGGGTGATTTTCATGAGATAAAAAATGTGGCAAAATATGCAGCCAGACTTGGTCAGTCTTTGAGTGCATCCAGGGTAGCTGTGCATGTTGATAGGAAGGACATCGAAATAATTCCTGATGTGGAAGTCGAAAGAAATGGAATTAAATATGTTTTCTCTGATGGGATCGGGAAAATATCTTCCGAACTAGCACAAGAAGTGGCAAAAAAATGTGGTTTCACAAGCCATACTCCATCTGCCTTCCAAATTCGATATGGTGGGTTCAAAGGTGTTGTAGCTATTGATCCAAATTCTTCAATGAAGTTATCATTAAGACCCAGTATGTTAAAATTCGAATCAGACAGCACTAGTCTGGATATTTTGGAAAATAGCAAATATCAGCCTTATTTTCTAAATCGCCAGTTAATCACCCTCTTGTCGACCCTTGGTATTAAAGATGATGTTTTTGAAAGGAAGCAGAGAGAGGCGATAGCTCAATTAGATGCAATTTTGACAGACCCTTCAAGGGCACTTGAGGCACTCGGATTGATGTCTTCAGGGGAGAGTACAAATGTTCTCAAGGAAATGCTTAAGTGTGATTACAGGCCAGATGCAGAACCGTTTCTCTCACTGATGCTACAGACATTCCGCGCATCAAATCTGCAGGACTTGCGAACTAAAGCAAGGATATTTCTTCCCAAAGGACGAAATATGATGGGAACTCTGGATGAGACAGGGACGTTAGAATATGGACAGGTCTTTGTGCAATATTCTCACTCAAGATGTAGTCAATTTTCTGATAGTCTCTCCCCCCAATCTCGTGGAAATGAATCAGGTCAACGCAGTGTTTGTAAGGGAAAGGTGGTGGTTGCTAAAAATCCATGTCTTCATCCGGGAGATATGCGTGTTTTAAAAGCTGTGGACGTGCCAGCTTTGCACCATATGGTGGATTGTGTGGTTTTCCCAGCAAAAGGAAAAAGGTAAGCCCGTTTTTCAAAAAAGTCTTATATTTCATGTTAGATATTTCTGAAATTGAAATGCTTCGATAATTTTAATGATTACGTGAAATACATTTTGTATGCATGTATTTACAAATATTTGTTCTGTTCTCTTTTCCTGCTCGGTAAGTTCATAAATTTGTACAGTGCAAGCTCAAGATATTCTTAAATCCTATATCTGTGTATCCAAATTCTATTTTACAGCCTTTTTTTTTTATGGATATACCAATTCGTATCCATGATTATCAATTTAGAAACTGACACTAGTTTCATTATTGATTAGGCCCCATCCAGATGAATGTTCAGGGAGTGATCTCGATGGAGACAATTATTTTGTATGTTGGGATAATGATCTCATTCCTCCTCGTCAGTTTCCTCCCATGGATTATAACCCAGACCACCTAAGGTTTTGCATCGTGAGTTATGATTGAGGTATTGATCAATCTTTTAGACACTGCATGTTAAGACTTATTTAGTCACATTCTTGAATCAACTCTACTTCTAGTTGTTTTATTTGATTTAATTCCACAAGTACACTACATTAGATAGACACACAAACAATAAATCCTATGATATTCAAATTTTTCTGTCATTGCAGTCTGCCTGTAATTTTCATATGAAATTGCATCGAAACATATATCATCTTGTCCTGCCATTTGATTGTTAGATTAAATTTTCGCTGTTTCTAGCAAGCACTATTGATGTACATTAGTTTCTCTTGGCTGCTGTCTTGACATTTTCTCATAAAGTGTTCTATAATACAATGAAAGTATATAATTCAGCTAAATCTGTTAATGCTGGATGTGTAGCTCAATGCTTCATAGAGTGCAGATGGGTAATTAGGATACTCCTAAGAAACATTTCATGAGTTTGACCTTGAATTCTATTTCAGTATGCATCAGATTAGAATTTAATATACATGTGGTGTTTGATCATGCTGTAATCTGTTGTGGTCTTTTTCTTTGCTTAACATATATATTGTTGTTGCAGGATGTTGAGGAGTACTTCGTGACTTTATTGTCAAGACACGTTGGGCATAATCAGTATGCCCAGTGTCTTTGCAGATAAAGAACCAAGAAGGCAGGAGTAAGCAATGTTCAGCTCGCCCCCACTATCCTCCATTGCCGTGGATTTTCAGAAATGGTGTGGCAGCGAAATACCAGGTGAACTACGTGTCAAGAAATATCCAGACTTCATGGATAAGCCTGACCATATGACCTATCATCAGAGCGTGTATGGGAAGGCTGTATCGAGAGTTAAAAGGCATTGCACCACTACAGCAACTATCAAGCCTTCACTAAGGAAGTAGAATGAGGTCTTTTGATTCGATATGTTAGTAGGTGGTTTCAAGAAATATGTCAAAGAAGCTCTCTATTACAAATGCGAGTATGATAGTAGGTTGAGTAACCTGATGAAGCATTATGGAATCGAAACTGAGGCTGAAATAGTCAGTGGATACATCATTAAAATGGCAAAATGTTTTCATAAGAGAAGGGATCTGGATGCAATTACTTCTGCCACAAGGTCAATAAGAAAGGAAGCCAGGGCCTGGTTCAACAAGGCAAGTGAGTCAGGTTCTAGTAATTCTGATGTTAATGATGTAGATGCAAAGGCTTCAGCATGGTATTATGTCACATACCATCACAGTTGTTGGGGTCATTGCATCAAAGAAGGAATTACGCGTGTACATTTCCTCAGCTTTCCATGGTGTCTTCATGACACACTCATTGAAATCAAGAAGAAAAAGAAAAATGAGCGACTAAGAGCAAGTGATGGACATTATTTTTCATCGCTAGTGCGCCATTTCAGTAATGGCTTGAGCTTTTAGTTGGTGGAGCGATTTGAATGGTGTTCAGTACCTAAGTATCTGCATATGCTTGTTCCTATACAATTAAGCTGCTTGTGTAATAGCGACTTTAATTCCTTTACTCTATGGTGGAAGTGTGTTGTTGTAATATAGGTATATTTTCAAAGTGTATTTTGATCAGTACTGGAAACCTGTATTCAGTTCCTGTAATAAAATAAACGACCGATTTGTTGTGTGATCTCCTGGATTTGTTTTTTCTTTTTTTTAATAAGATTTGTTTAAAATATTAAATTCTAAATTGACTATGAAATGGAGGAGGATGGCTTTGAAGACAAGAAGTTGGTAAAATAAAAGATGTTTATATCTAAGAATTAATTATTTCCTCTCATTGATTCCTATTGTCAATTTGTATTCTCTAATGTGTGAAACTATGGAGACTGTCACACTGGATCAGCCCAAGTCAATAAATAAAAGTCTTTGAAGAATCTTATGGTACTTGACATAAAACTAAATAAATTCAAGATTCTCACACATAGTACAAAGCTCATATTACTTCTGACAGAAGTTTTGGTGTTAAAAAGAAAACCTAGCTGGCCCATGTCCATGTCCATGTCAAAAGTTATGTTACTGTGAAAACCAATAGTATCTCTCCCTTCTTTGACTCTTGTTTATGTGTTCTACTTTTATCACTTAACTAATTCCATCTCAGTTTACTTACATAATGCTATTGATTTGAGTTAATGTTGGGAAGGGTTTCTTTAAAGACATACAATTTTACATGAAACAAATAAGAAAGCATATCCCAACACATCATCTCCACCTCCACCACCATTACCACATTCCTTATAGCACTTTTATAATCAATTCTCTTATCATTTCAACTTTCACCATACTCTTTTCTCAGCTTCTAATTATATATTACAATACAATTGTGATTGAAATTCACTACAAAGTGATTATAAGACTGCCAAATTTTGCAGTGACATTCGTTAACGATGATCACATAAACATAATTAAGTTGTAGTATGCAGATCGAATTAATATGGCTAAATATGAAATTACTTGCAGAAGGAATATAAGTTTGAACAAGCCACAAGTCAAGAAAAAAAATAGTAGCTAGTATTATTGATTTTGATTCATCAGTTACAAAACTAGCTAGCTAGTCTATCTTATTTATATGGAGGAGGAAGTTTGTAATTAACCAATTTCACTTCTGAAGCTTCTAATGATACCCCTTCTGGAGGTGGGGCAGGAGCATTGTAACGCACATGATGATGATGATGATGATGATGATGAGGCGACCACTCTGGAGATTTCGCAGGCTGATCTCTGCCCTCTAAACCAAACATTGCTGATTCTTCATCTACACCTTCGGTTGTGATTAAACTTTGTTTTGTAGGGAAATCTCCAAATGAGGGGTGGTGGTGTATACGGTGGATAATCTCCACATGCAGTGTCTTTTGAGACCCCTTGCACATTTGCCCTTAGAGAAACCCTCAGATATGCATGCTTTTTCACATTGATGTTTCCTGCTGATGCATACGCCTTTGAATGATTCGCCATCTTCCATGTGTTTGCTTTGCACCACCTTTTTCAAATTTTCAGGAACGTGCTCATGGATAATACTCTTCAAAATGAGATTAAAATTAGTTGTTCTTACCAGAAAGCAAGAAGATGAATGAGAAGAACTTCTTTCTTTCCATGGTTAAGACTAAATTTGACAGTGCCAATAAGCACTGGTTGATGGCTTGTGACATGCAAGAGGCCCACTATTTACAGGCATACATTATCTATATTATTATTAATATACATAAAATGAAGGTAAATTAAAGTCATTTACAGTTATGTTACAAGGGGCTATATCTCTTCATGGAGATCAGCTCTAGATTAATAAACATACTTTGACATGATAATTATGGATATATAATTAACAATAATACTATTTCTTTTTTTTTTTTTCATATCACTTTGTATGAAATTTTTTATAAGATTTCTTTGTAAGTGTACCATTGCTCTACAATTTATTTATTAGGAGGTCTAGGATCATTTGAATCTGAAACCATATTATGGTTTATAGTTATATGATAATCTGAAAGCATTTTTCTAATATTAATTTACCAAATACGGCTTTAATATATAACAACATATCCCATCTTTTATTAACCATCTCCCTCAGGATTTTTCCGCGCTTAAAAACATATATTTTTTGAAAATACAAATTGACTATCGTTAATCTTTCATTAACCAGCCTTAGTGGCTGTTGGATTTGCAAGTCCTGTTCCTGTTGGAATAGATATGAAGCCTAAAGCAAAAACTTGGAAGGGCTTCAACGCTTGTTGCCAAAAATGACAAAGTATTAAAGAGCTGAAAATAATGAAATAACATAGCATGAGGGAAAGAGAAGAGAAGGCTCGTCTTTTATTCCACAAGAAAATGCATATACCATATCAACAATCCCATTGGCTGGGAAAGTTGTGTACCAATTGTCAATACAGAATAAAGGTCTTGAACTAGAAGACATTTTTCGGGTTAATTAGTTTTTTTTTTTCCAAAACAAACATGAACTGATTTCACAGGGCAGCACAACTACAATCACACTAAAGAAAGATGATCTCGCTTCATTGCAATATTCACCAGAGCAGTAGTTCATCATCGCGATTGTGAGATACCATTTTCATTCAAGTATTCAACGAATTCATCAATCAGATAAGGCCAGGCGCCTTCGGCGTCATAATTTGATAACTCAGGGTCCACCGTCTGAATAACAAGAACAAATTATGATTGATATCAGTCATATCACAGACCAAAAGTAAAGGATAGAATTTTAGAATTCTTGCCAATGATGCATTAGCGATGCATTAGCAAGACTGATGCATTAGCGATGCATATGATTCGGTTTAAAATTAGAAAATGATAGGTGGAAAGAAGAACAAAACTTTCTAAAAGCATTTATATACATAAAATTAAAGCTAAGATTCTCTGGTCCTACTGGAAAAGGAACAAAAAAGGGAAGAAAAAATAGAAGGCTAAGATATTCATATTCTTTAATCTAATCTGTAGGGAATGTACAGGGAAAAAAAAGGGTCTTCCTTTTATTTTATTTTTTTTCAAACTTGCCCATAAGTGTTTCAAATTTAATATTTATTATTTACTATCAATCATGCTCATGCTAGTTCGTAACTGTTCAATGACTGTGGTGAGAAAAATAACACATCAAGCAGGCATGTGATTCAAACTTCATCTTACCCGTGCAAATTCCAATAGTTGAGCCCATGTGTCCCGGGAGATTGCTTTATTATGCTTAGCCTGATCAATTGCATCAAAATGGAAACATACATCAAATAGAATTACTAATAGACGCACCCATAAAAGATAACAGAAGCAAAATTACAGAGATAATGACAATAGTCCCATAAATCTTCGATAATTCAACATGAGAATCTTCATTAATATTTACAAGTATATAGAACTATAAACAAAACCATACAAGATGATAAGACATGAATAGTCGCACAAATCACATCATTACAACCTACCTGTAAGAACTGGCACCAATGATCAACCAATGCCCACTGCTTCTCCGCAAACAGTAATTGCCACATTCCGATTGCAGTATCCAGTGCCAAAGACTTCTGACCCTGAAATTGAAAATAAAAAAAATCAGTTCATGAACTTAGAAAACCATAAATTAGAGCAAAATGAATATTTAAAGCATAACTATAATAGCAACACAATTGATTTATAATTGTCTAGAAATGTTAAAGTAGCACATGAGACTGAAACATAACTGTTTCTACAGCTGAGTTGATTACACTATTAACTTAAGCATACAGAGGAGCCGTAAATGCATCTGTTTTAAGTCTAAAAATAAGATTCATGTCTGTCATGAATATTGAACATTTGCAAATCCAACCAGAATCAAAATGAAAGCAGAAAAATGACTTCCCTCGCATAATGGTGTCTTTTATAAGACTCAAGTTTCTCAGTGAAACTAATTAAAAAAAAAAAAAGAGCTAAATAAGGGCAATAATCACCAGAGTACATCACCAAAAGAATATTATAAATTCTTGAAGTTTTTGGACATATTTAAAGATAAACAGTTGGAGAGGCTTCAGGTTGCCATTGTTATAGAAAATTGAAGCAAACCAGTCAGTGAAAACATTACAGGTGATCCTAGCTCTTCTTTAAGTTTATGTCAAGGGATCATGAGCCATAATACCCAGAACCTTACATCATGTGCTACATGAAATACTAGCTTCAGTGCCAGATTGAAGTAACTTTTAAAAAATGATAGATGAACATTTAAAGGGTCATTAATCAGAATATTTACAAGTTCAAGTCCTTATGGAAGGCTTAAATACCTTTTCTTTTGCCCAGCTAAACGCGAAGTTGTATATCTCACGGAATTTTTCTGTACAATCATAAGAAGAAATATTACTTCAACAAGAATATGTAAGTACTATCTATCCACAACCATAAAGAAAAGTTAAAAGGATCTGTTTGGCAAGATATCATATCTTTCTACAAATATACCAAATCTAGAATCAATTGCCACAAAAAGTGACACTTTCAAATTTATTATCAATATTTAGGTAAATACCAAAAATATACACAAGATCACATACGTTCATCTTTCAGTTCTGAACGCATATATGGTATCCTTTCATGGAACTTATCCAGAGAATCTATCCTGCCACCAAAACAGAAAGCCTTCAATAAAGTTGCACCATGAAGCTTCCAACCTTACAATCTGTTAACAACCAGAAAGAACATAAAAGATTACCCTAGTGCTTGTAATCCACCTATGAACTCTTGCTTGGAGAATTCACACATTGTTGCAGCCTTCATGTGCCATGAAACAACTAACTGAAACAACAATAATAGCTAACATTAACAACAATACTCAGCAAAGCAATAAGCGTATCTACATAAATTTCATCAGGTTGACAGCATATAAACCAAAATTCACAGGAATATAAACAAAACTAGATTGTTTGTAATGCTCACTTTTAAAGGCTAACTTATACCATCACTAATTTTTTTTCAATGTAAATTAAACTTCCAGTCGCCTATCCTTTTTCCCCACAAGACAACCTTTCAACTCTTTCAACCACCAAAACATTCATAGATATAACAATCACTGCAGTAAACCTAAGGGCGAAAAAGGTTGCATTAAACTTCCAATCAGATATTCAATTGTAATTTATAGAGGTTGCATCTCAAAGGCATTATTTCTTATAAAAACGAGTTTTCAGATCTGGAAGTATCAATAATTTTCTCCCAAAAAATTCAAAAATGAAAACAAAAAACTATGCATGTCTAGTAAAAACAGAATATATAATAAACTTATATACATACCATAACTATATCTTGAGGATCCACCTGCAAGAAAACAACGGCTTAAAGGTCAAATGTCTTGTCAAAAATAATTCATTATAGCTACCATTCATACAGAGTACCGGGCTCAGAATTATAATACTCAAAACCACAACAATCAAATAAATGAATAACTAGTAAACAAAATAGATACCTGAAGGTCGTTGCAAAGAAGTGTTATACCATCAACCATAATCATATCAGCATATGGATCTGCAGAGACATTTCAAAATCAAAATTTTTGAATATCCAATGATTCATAGGTCTTTCAATATTTCAGCAAGAACCAAAATAAACCAGTCAAAAAATCAGTACTCACTGACCAAGACCCCATTAAAGGTTAGTCTAGCACACATAGAAGTATGAGAATAGAATAATACAAATAAATGTCTTCAAATCATTAATAAACAAAGACATCTGAGCTCATCAAACTGAGAAGAGAAGAAAATTCATGAACCTCCTCAGAAGAAATTGAGATATCATGTCATAGAAGATTCTTAATTTCACCAAATCTAAACCAACAACATCAAGATTCAAATCAATCTGGAAAACTTTTTCAACTTTGAACAAAAGATTCACCATTGGCAATCATGTTGAGACCTTGACTTTCCTAAATTCTATAGAGTTCACATTCTGTAGCATGCCCGTGAATTTCAAGGAACTCAACCACGTTCCCAGAAAAGAAAAAAGCAACTAACTGAGTGCAAAATAGATGAAAAAAAAAAAAAAAAGCTAGTTAGATGGTTAAGCTTGCCTTTGTATCTGTTATAAAGTTCCTCCAAATGTCTGCTATCAGTTACTGTTTTTACTTGAGGTTGGCTGTAGAATACATCAAATGCTCCTTCAAGATTCCAATCACTGGCCTTCAAAGCCTGATATGCAACTTTTTCACTGCATTATGAAAAAGGAAAAAAAATTAAATAAATAATGTGCAAAATGTCAAATGAAGACAAACAAGGCCATCCTGCATGATTAATGCAAGCAAAGAACTATTATGTTCATTCTCTCTATCATCAAGACATAATCTACCCAAATTCCATTATAATTTTTTTGTGTGCACCCACAATTTTACTTGCTTTGGAGGAGGGCTTAATGCCCTCTTCTCTCTCCCTCACCCCTTCTTACAGTAGAGGTGACGTTTTGGGAAGATTTTTTTAAGAGATAAGAAAATGAGTGAGTAGGCAGTTTCTAAGCAGCACTTACGTGAAAATCGACATCCATGCAACATATATTCAAAGTACGCTGCTGCTAATTCATTTGCATTACCAAATCAGAGTTCACATACGAGAACAAAAGGTTCTCAAATTTAGAACCGACAACATATCCAATCTTATACCAACGATTCTTACATTTCAACATTTCTGCAGCTCATTTTCAAGCCAATAAAACTTAAAATCAGGAGAAAAATACTCAAAGTTTTCGACAACATAGTAATCTAGTACCAAAACACATACCTCGTCCACAATCATTGAATTATCATCCACTGTACAAAATAAACAAAAGCAGTAAAATCACATCAACAAATGATCTGAAAAGAAATTACCTCGCTCCGGTTATAGTCACAAACTGCTGGAGCTTGTCACGGTTGCTTCTATTTAACTTATGCTGCAAATAAATCCATATTAACATACGAATACAAACACATAAATACAACTTACATTTCACACATCAAAATCCCATCAACCCGAGAACAAGATTTATATCAACACCAAAGATAAAAACCAATAACAGATTGAAAATTTAGCAACAAAGCAGCAAAGTTTAACCCTAAAAGCTGAAAACGTAATAAACCCAGGTGGTGAATTCAAGTAAAAAAAAAAAAATGTTATCTCCAATTCAAGTGAATGTAAAAGAGGAACTAACCATGTTTTCAGTAGTTTCAAAAGCGACCCTTTTGCCTTTGGAATCAATTTTGCAGTGGGAAAGTTGATGGATGAATTGACTGAGTGAGTGAGAGAGAGAGAGGCAGATAGAGATAGAGAGAGAAACTCTAGGGCTTGGCCACCTCCTCCTTGGCTCTCTGTATCTGGCTCTCTCTCTTTTTACACTCCTTTTTTTCTTTCGTTCTTTGTTACTCTGTTTTAGTTTTAGTTTTAGTTTAGTTTTTGGCGTTTTTTTACGTTTTCGTTTTATCTGTTTTTGTTTTTTCTATTTTGTAAGTCGTAAAATATTTCACTTCTGGTTGAGATTTCTTTATCCATTATTAAATATAGAATTCAATTCGCCCCCTGAATTTGAAAGAAACCCACAATTTATTCAAATTAATATTTAATTTTTTATATGAATATATGATATCATTATATGACGAGTAATGCTATATTTACACTACATAATTTTTATTACATCATGATGTGATATATGTCACAACCACACAAATTCTATTATAATATTAAAAATTCAAAATAATTAAAAATTTGTGTGGTTGTAACATATGTCACATCATGATGTAATGAATATGGTGTAAACGTAGTATTACTCATATATGATACGAGGATAATATCATATGTTAAGAGTTTTTTTTTTTTTTTTTTTTTTAAGTTGGGTCTTCGAGTCAGCTAGCACGCAGTTCGACTAATCTTTTGAATCATTGAAGTTAACAACCGAATAAACCTTTTAGTGGTCACTCTTATTAAGAAGAAAAATCGAATTCAAAACCTTTTGAGTTAGAGTATCTCCAAAAGACTATATGACTCAAACTCTTTATTATAAAGAGTCTATCTATAAAAACAAGAGTCTAATAGACTCTTTATCTTTAAAATATAAATTAGAGAGTGAGTTTGACTCTCTACATTTAGATGGTCAAATTTGACTCTCTATCCTAATTTTAATTAATAAACTACAAGTTCTTATATATTTTATTTATTAATTTTCTCTCCCACTAAGTCTCTTTCTTAAAAATAAAGAGCATCTTCATTAAATTTAAAGAGTCTATTGGATTTGAATAAAAATTGTATTCTTTATATTTAAAAATTAATGAAGATGTTCTTTATTTATATGAAATATGCTCTTTAAAATAAAGAACACTATTGGAGACGCTTTTGCATAGAGGCGGATCCAAGAATTTCTGTTCGGGTGTGCTAAATGAAAACTAATTATACATAACCTTCATATTCTGTCTTTCTAGTCAAAATTTTCACAAAAAGAAAAAAAAAGTTTACATTTACTATTGTCGTCGGCGGGGTTTCATATTGAGGAATCGTTGCATCACCATCTCCTTATCAACACTATCAAATAAATCTTTCTCAACATATGGAATTAGGCTATCATTCAAGAATTGATCTCCCATCTAATTGCGTAAATGAGTCTTCACAATTTTCATAGCAAAAAATGCCCTTTCTACACTTGCACTTACAACTTGTAAGGTTAAAGCCAATGTGATGAGCAAAGATACCAATGAGTAAATAAGATGCTTCTTCTTTTCAACTATTTTCTGAACAACACTGGTAATATCATTTAGTTCTGAAAAATAACTATCCAAGCGCATATCATCAATGTAACTATCAAGTTGAAGTTCAAGTGCCTTAAGATCAGTAGAAGAAAATTCAAGTGGATAAAATTGAGCCAAACGAACTAATTTTCCCTTATCAAATGCTTGAAAGCAATCACTTGGATTTAGGGAGGCCATGCAAATAAGTGATTCTGTATTACCTTCATTAAAACGACTGTTAAGCTCTAATAGTTGCAAATCTATTATGGCATAGAACAACTCGACACGATAATGAAATAAATTTGTTATCTCTTGAACATTACGCCGCGATCTCCCTCGTGCAACAAATTTCTCTTCCATATTTGGCACATTTATATTATGAACAATGCAAAAATGAGAATCTTCATCAAGTAAATTATCCCATCCATTATTTCTTATCAACAATAATCTTCTTTTCGACAAGTGAACCAAAGACATAGCATTTATAATATCTTGATCCTTCCTTTGCAATGCTTGTGAAAGTTCAAATGTGATTCCCAAAATGTTTTTCATCATGTGCAGGTTAAAAGCAAAATCAAAAGAAGTCATATAATCCACCAAATCACCTGCTTCAACTCTATTATCAGAATTTTTAGTAAGATCCTCAAGCACTTCAATAACAAATGAAAACAAATTAATCAAGCTCAATAAAGTCCCATAATGTGAACCCCACCGTGTTTCCCCTGGCCGTTTAAAACTAGTATCTTGATTAAGGGCTTGCCTGTTGAAAGCTCACCACTTTCAATAGCTTTTTTCACCTTCAAAGCTTGTTTCTCATTAAGAAGATCCCGACATCTCAGTGACCATCCGACAATATTTATCACACAAGAAACTTTCAAAAAAAGTCTCTCAATATTTGTATCCTTTTTTGCCACAGCTACAAGTGCTAGTTGAAGTTGGTGAGCAAAACAATGAACATGGAAGGCATATTCATTATCTTTCAATATAAGTGTTTTTAACTCATTAAACCGACCTCGCATATTACTTGCACCATAATAACCTTGTCCACGTAATCTTGATATGCTCAAATTGTATTTAGAGAACAATGTTTCGATTCCCATCTTTAGTGACAAAACAGTTGTATCTGTGACATGCATAATGCTCAATAGACACTCAACAAATCATCCTCTTTTATTTACATAAAGTAAGATAATTGTTATCTGCTCTTTGTTGGATCCATCATTAGCTTCTTGAACTAATATAGAAAAAAAACATCTCCAAGATCACTAATTAGTTTGTTGATGGTTTCAACTGCAAATGCTTATGTTTTTTTGGATACTTGGAGCAATCAATTTATCATGTCCAAAAGCATTCTCCATGGCTACTAATCTATATTCTTCATTTTGCTCAACTGTATAGTGTAAAAGTTCAAGAAAGATTCCCCGATTCATTGAATTATTAGACTCATCATGGCCACGAAAAGACAATCCTTGCCGAAGAAGAAGCCGACTAGCAGAAATTGATCATTTCAACCGAATATGATAATCTTCTCGCTGTTGGTCAGATTTCTTATTAATAATTGTACTCACATGCTGCTTTTGGTTAATCAAAGCTTGACAATTTTTCAAAGCTTGGTTATGATAGCTGTTAGGACCTCCAATATGATATTAAAAATTTTCAAGTCTCTTCCAATTGCGAAACCCAACAAGAACAAAAGAATCACCGCCACTTTGCTCACCTTTATCTGGTTTGAAAAGATAACAAAATAAACAATATGCAGCATCATTCTCAACACTATATTCCAACCAGTAAGGATATTTGTCAAACCAAGAACGTTGGAAACTCCGTTCATGATCACCAGATTTTGATTTGGGAAACTTATGGTTGCGAGGTTGACAAGGACACTTTTGTAAATAACGTATTCTGACTTGGTCTCGAACATTAGGATGATAAAAAGTAATTCTTGGTCGAAATCCAGGATCAAAAGAAAGATTTTCCAAGTCAACTTCGAAGCAATTTTTCTTTGAAGAAGGTTGGTTTTCATTATCATTGACACTAGAACAAAGTTGAGATATCTCAACAATTGACTTTCTTTTAAAATATTTTTCCATATCTAAATACAAAAAAATAAAATTATATAAATGCAAAGAAATAAATTAACTCATGAATTGAATTCTATAATAACTATGGAAATTCTAAATTTTCTAACTTAAAGTCTTAAAAGACTTGAACAATATATAAAAATAAAAGCCTCCTTGGTTCTATCTATATTTCTATTTCTATTATCTATATATTATTTTTCTTCTAAATTTTGGGACCACAAAACAATCATTTACCTATCACAAAATATTGGAATTTAAAAATTTCTCCTTTTTTCCTAAAAGTTTTCTCAATAAAAAATTTAATGTACAATGTTATTATGCTAATACATACTACACAAATAAAAGAAAAGGATTATAAAAAAAAAAAAAGTACTAACTAGAGAGAAAATAGCTGATTAAATTTTGTTGAAGTCTGAAATATGAAGAATTAGTGAGAACAGTAAAGGAACTGTGCAAAGACTCGAGGGACTGTCGGACTGAGGGTTTGCAAATTGTAACAGTAGAGTAAGGTTTTGCTTTTACAAATTTTATTAAAAAATTGACGGTGGGCGGTGGGCCAAGTCTTTTAGTATTAAAATAGAGAGTGGGTCAAGACTTTTTAGTCTTAAATTTGAGAGTTTGCCACATTTTTAATATTTAAAAATAAAAATTAAGAGTAGGCCAAAGTTAAACCAAATAGAATAACATGTTTAATTTTCTTTTTTCTTTTTTCAAATTGAGGCCCACCCTTAACACACTTGGGATCCGTCCCTGCTTTTATACACTTAAAAGTTTTTATCATCTTATCCGACCACTCAAAGATGGTTCAAATATTAGAGTTATGATCCACTAATTTATTTATTATTTAATTGGGTATAATGATTTGTATTCATATCTTTTCATAGTATAGAATAATTTTTGTTTGTTATATATATATATAATTAGAAAAGCCTAGATGCTTCTGACTCAGAAATTGGTCAATTGGATTGTAGGAATTGAATTCAACTTGTTTATAATAATATATTTGTTGGACCATTTTCGGGCCAATACAACATAAGCCTCATCCAGAAACAATGCGCTAAAAAAAAACCAACAAATGTATAGATAATCACAATGCAATAGAATAAAATTCAATATAATCCAATATTAAGAAAAAGTAGCAATGACATCCTCTATTAAAAAAAGTAATATGTATACGATTAATCACGATTTATCACATGGAAGAAGCAGGGTATAGAATGATGTCTCATTCTTTCTATATGTTATATGAGAATGGCACAACACTTGTAAAATGTTGGAAAATAGTTGGTAGTGTGAACAAAGAAATGTGATGGTAATATTCCTGAAGTAGGATTCCTTCCCCACTTGACCAAATCTAAATTTAATAACATTATATTCTCTTTAATAAGGCATGAGTTTGATGATGTTTACTTCGGTTAACTACTCCAGTTTCAATTTTTGATTTTATATAAAAAAAAAAAAAAAAAAAAAAGCAACCTTGAATAGAAGTATAACATATCAGCATCCAATTGATTCGCTTCAAAACCAACATTCTCCATGCTTTCTCACTGAATCTTTTCTTTTCTTTCTTCACCTCAGTTGGAGCGTTGGATTTCCAATTGTCATTCTCTATTTGTTCATTTTCTAAGTTTTGAGCATTATATAACAGCTGCAGCTCTTCCTTCTACTGCAAGAAATTGATCAATCTGCTTCATGTGTTGGGAGTAAACATGGCGAACAATCTTCGAACAGATTCATCCGATTACCGGACAGAGCTTCTGTCTCCTGCACCTGATGGAGACAACGTTGTCGAATCAATGGAACCCTCGTGGAGACTTAACATAAATAAGTTTCACGTTCCTGAGAAACATGTTGACTCTAGTTTTGGTTTCGGTCACTTTGTTAGAACCCTAAGTCAGTCCTTAATTTATTATATTGTATTTTACATGTTCATAGCCTTAATTTGCAGAGTTATTTTGATACTGAATTGGGTTCTTTTTTCTTAGGGAGACGAAGGAAAATTGCGGAATATTACAAAGGCAAGAGAAGCTTCTTAGGGCTACAATGAAGTTGACACATTCACTGAATTGGGAATTTTGCCTGAAGTTTTAACTGAGGTTTGTTCTGCAGAATCTTAAGTTTCAAATCAGCTTTCATGAAACAATGGAATCACTTGGTGTTTCAAGTGCATTCTTGTAAATCATTTGAATGTTTTCTGATACAAGAGCTCTCTGTTTCAGGATGAAATGAAGCAGATTGCAAGGAGTGAAAGGGTGGCAATTTATGCATCAAATGTAGCAAACTTGGTGCTTTTCTGGCAAAGTTTATGCTTCTGTTGAGAGTAGATCATTGGCAGTCATAGCATCCACTTTGGACTCCCTTTTGGATCTTTTGTCAGGATTCATTTTGTGGTTCACTGCTTATGCAATGAAGAATCCCAATCACCACAAGTACCCTATTGGCAAGAACAGGATGCAACCTGTGGTAAGCTTTTCCACTAAAATTAATGACAAAGCAGAAACGCTAAAAGATAAAAGAAAAACTGACACGTACCCTTAGAATGTAAAATCCGTGATACCTTTTTTGACATCAAACAACGAAATTGACTCAAACTTGTCCTACTTTTCAGGGAATTGTTGTTTTTGCATCAGTAATGGCAACTCTCGGACTGCAAATTTTGTTCGAATCAGGTCGAGAACTCCTCATAAAGGTGTGCACAATAGTTGTCTTGATAAGTTTAGGGAACATAGTCACTTGCAATTAGCCTGCTCTACAATCAAGCTTATAATGTTGTTTGTTAACTTTGTGTAGGCTCAGCCTGATAGGGATCCTGAGAAAGAAAAGGATGATTGGGATTATGGTGTCAGTCACAGTAGTAAAATTTGTGCTAATGATGTACTGCCGTAGATTCAAAAATGACATTGTCAGGGCCTATGCTCAAGACCATTTTTTTCGATGTCATTACTAACTCCATCGGTCTTGCAGCAGCCATGTTAGCCATCCAATTCTACTGGTGGATCGATCCTGTCGGTGCCATCCTAGTAAGTTAAAATCCGAAATTCCTATCAGAACGTTCACACCTGAAAATATATTCGAATGAAACTGATATGATATTCATTATTGTAATGCGCGCAGATTGCTTTATATACAATGGAAACTGGGCAAACACAGTGATGGAAAACGTGTGGTCATTGATTGCGAGGACAGCTTCAGCAGAGTTTAAGGCAAAGCTAACATATTTGATATGGAATCACCATGAGGATATCAGCCACATTGAGACAGTGAGAGCTTACACATTTGGGAGCAACTATTTTGTGGAAGTTGATATAGTTTTACCAGGAGAAATGACCCTCCATGAAGCACATAATATTGAGAGACTCTACAGGAGAAGCTTGAGAAATTTCCTGAAGTGGAGAGAGCTTTTGTTCATGTTGATTTTAATACTACTCATCAGCTTGAGCACAAGCAGAAACCTGCATAACCCTCCAAGAAAATAGCATATCTAAACTGAGATAATTATTCAATTTGAAGTTATTTAATCAGTATAATCTTTGTAAAACCGAAAAAGAGATTAAGATTATTGTTTACTTTATTGTAAGGTGTGAAATTATTTTTGCTATTAGTATGCTAAGATATAATAAGAGATTCTTTCTTTACATAAATATAATTAATTTTTTCACCTTTATATAAAAATATACCTGAGTTGACTCTTACGAGAGTTAATTTATATATGCAAGAGTTAACCCATCCATGGGTAGCTCAGATGGTTAAGACGAATTGGACGTCTCAGATTTGATTCCCTATCTGAGTATACCCGTTTAAGTGGAGGGTCGTGGCATGATGGTAGGTTATTGCGCTAGTCTCCCTCAAGGATTAGTCAAGGTGCACTGGGTCATAGCGTGGCCGTGGGTTGTTGTATATATTCCAAGTTTTTCATGGATGTTTAGACTTTTCTAAAGTACCAACTATTGGTTGTGGGTGATCAGGTGGATTTCTTTTGGTTGAATAAGCAATTAGTGTATGACTAGAAACCCAATTGG